AAATATGATATCCGATGGTCTATAATAAGAGAAACTGACGCTAATTAGTATAAAAGGATAAATCTGTGTCATTTTTAATTTTTTGTGGGTCACTTAAATTTTTTTGTTGAAAACAAATATTGTAAATACATAAAAAACTTGACATCTTATTTTTTTATCCACTTCAGTATCTAAGAGTTCATTATTCTACCGATTCACATTCGTTTCATCTATGGGTAAAAAACCTTGTAGTGTTATTACCTTTTATGTAATAAGTTTATTTTAATATTTGGTGGCAATTAATCTATTGTAATTTACCACAAAAAATATTGTATCATATATATCTATGTATGATTAGTATGTATATAAACTGGATGTTAAATGAAAAAGAGGTAAATAAAATAATCTAGAATATTAAATCTTTATTTTTTAATCTTAATAGTTTGTCATACTTATTAAATAAATAATCTAATCATAACAAAAAATAATAAATAATTATTATCTTATTTTTAAATATAATCATTACAAAACTTATTAGCTAGTTAACCTAATATATTCTTGAACCTAAAGCTTGCCATTCCTCTGAGTCTGCACTTCCATTTCTCTTATCCTATTTTGCTCCCTTTTCGTCTCTATATGATTTCTTATGTTGCTGTATCATTTTTGTCAACTTGAGACTCGGATAAAATGGGTAAGACTTCTTCAACATCCGATAATAGAAAATTATTGTTTTTAAGTCAGCAAGCTAACACTGCTAATATTGTCAAATAAATGAGATTTTTATTTCTACATGCAATATTCTCTGGATATTTTCACTTATGATTTAGATTAAGTACAATATAAGTATCAAGTAACATACTTTCTATGATTTCAATATCTACATTGAAGGCTTGGCTAGGAACAGGCTTAAAGGAGGCTCTACATGCACTCTGCTAGAAGGTCCAGGCTCATTCCATGGCTCGATACCTAAAAAATAAATATATATTCACACCCATCCTCTCCTATTTATTTATAAAATGATAATATCTACCTATACCAAACAACTTACATTCATGAATCGGACCTTTTTCCGCTTCTCTGTGGTTTTGTATCATCACTGCCATCACTGTTAAGCACTAAGCAGTGATGTAAGCTCCTTCCAATACTGGATGGACACAATTCTACCTCTTGCATTAATTATTGGCTTACTAAGATCTCCATGTCGAGCAATAAGAAAACAAAAACACATATCTATCACAAGTTCACTTCAACAACTCGCATTCAATATTGTAAATAACTAATAATTTGTTTAGGTTAGCACTTACTCCTCCATAAAAGTTACTAACAATTCAAATTGAGTTGAGTTAAATAATAATTGGTACATACACAGTTTGTTTACACAACAAATTCCAACAAGTTTGAAGCTTTACGCGATACGTAGCTCGACTATTTAGTATTTAGCTATTACATCGCCTCCATACGGTTTATTGACATTATGACTTCGTATGGCAATGAAGCGTTGTAATTTAAGTAAAATATATAAAAATATATTTAAAACGTGTCCAATAAAGATTTATTATTATTATTATTATTGATTTAATAATGTGTTTTTTTCAAAGTCGTGATACCAATATGTCACTCGTCTTCGTTCAGATTTAGACTTAGATATTGTGTTAAATGCGTGATTATCTCTCTCCTTTCCATAATGAGTAGGTAATAGGTATTAGTTTGACGCATAGAGTATATTGCTACTGGTTTGACGACACGTTTGGCTCACTTTGTAGTGACCCTACTTGCTGTGCCAGCGGTCGCGGGTTCGAGGCCCGCTGGGGGCGTTCATTTGTGTGATGAGTACAGAGTACGAATGTGTGTATTCCAGTCATGGGTCATGGGTGTTTATATATTTTATAATATTTATGTAATTAAAGTTATATATGTGTAGTGTATCAACTCTCTGGTATTCATAACACAAGCCTCGTACCTTACCATGGAACTAGATGGTGCTGTGTGTAAAAATGTTCCAATATATTCGAAACATATCTTTTCGGGTTCATGTGTCTGGGAGGTTTAAAATACTTAGATCTAAGTCCTAAATGAATCAGTTTCTACGAAACCATCGGTGTAAACGTCCACGTCACTGTCTGGGCAATTTGATGAAGCGTGGACTTAATAAGTAAAGATCATTATAGTTTTTGCATTATTAATAATTATTATTATTTAAGTTATCATTTACACCAAAATATTTATGAAAATTTAAAAACATGATATTTTAGAAAGAACTATTTTTTCTCCACTCAGTTATATGTGTGAATTGCAACCCTTATTTATTATTCGAAATTTGACCACAATATTGTCTAGTAGTTCACTTTAGACCTACATAAGTTTCAGTTTTATACAACCAATATTGGTGGATAAAATGTTTGTAACATACGAAGAGGCGAACTTAACGAAACTTACTGGCTATGAAATCTACTTTACAGTATACATAGTATACTAGCATTGCCCGCGGCTCCGCCCGGGTTTAGATGACCAAAAACCAAATTCTTTGGTTTTACATATTAGTAAAGGTACTCTAATACTACTTTCTTAGATTTTTTGTGAATAGGTTTATTTAAAATAGGTATTCTAACATGGCAGTTTTAGTATTTTTTCTCAGAAATGAGAGATTTTCATCAAAATCCCTTCAGTGGTTTTTCCGACAGACAAAAATTCTAAAAACTATAGATTCGGCCTCTGTATCGATAATAATGTCTATTTCAATAAGATTTTCCAAAAAATATTTAATGTACAGATTTGCCTTAGTTACTATTTTATTATATGTATAGATTGTAAATATGTAGCTACCTACTTTACTTTAGTCGGAACGTTCTGTTGATTTACATTTTAAAGAAGTTTTCCGTATATCAAACCATATTTAACCTTTTAAATTAATCAAGTTGTAAACTCTGTTTATTTTTTATATTTAATCTACAAAGAAGATAAAGGACGCTATTAGTATTATATTTATGTAAATACTCTTAGTATATTTGAATAGTTGAACCACAGGAAGTATGATATCTTCCGCCTATGCCTACTTATCCTTAAAATAGACTATATGGAAGGTATCCCACGTCCCGACCCTTAAGCTATTGCTATGCAATCAAACCGATTGCCATGAAACAAGGACAAAGTAACAAATCGGTTAAGCATTAATTCTAATAAAGGTTCCCAAAATTCATACACGAAGTTTCTGTGATAAAAAACACAGGTTTTTATTAAAAAGTTCAAATTTAGTTAGTTTACAGTATTTATCGATCGGACCATATGTCTCTCAAATCTCAGGTACTTTATCTGTATCCACCCTGTTATGACTAATATAGACTATATAGTTTACGATGCATTCAATAATGTCATAATCACGTTACCTTGGATTGATGGATATATTACAATGTCACCAATCAAGCATGAAAAAAGTCGGCCCAATGAAGCTTATCATATCGTAATAAGTATACATATATTAGGTACTAGCACTGCCCGCGGCGCCGCCCGCGTTCAGATCACTAAAAAGTAAATTCTTAGGTTTTACATATTAGTATACTCTCACATTGCAGTTTTTGTATTTTTTCTAGAAATGAGATATTTTCCCGCAGTAAAAATCCTATATGTTGACCCGGATAACCAGCTATCACCATACCAAATTTCATCAAAATCAGTGGTTTTTCTGTGATGCGGTAACAGACAGACAGAGAGACAGACAGACAAAAATTCTAAAAACTATAGATTCGGCCTCTGTATCGATAATAATGTTTATTTTAATAAGAATTTCCAAAAAATATTTAATGTACAGATTCGGCTTAGTTACAATTTTATTATATGTATAGATTATAAAGAAAATTAATTGCAAGGTGCTCCCTTATCGCCGCACATCATAGTAATATGACTTTTTGATTTTATCAACATTTGTCATTTATTAACAAAACTTGTAAAAGTTGGTAAATTGTATTTATTGGCGGAAAGTAGTTTCCCTACCGGCAAGTTTAGTTGTGTTTAGTTACGTCTATACTAATATTATAGAGATTCAGAGTTTGTTTGTTTGTTTGTTTGTTTGTTTGTTTGTTTGTTTGTTTGTTTGTTTGTTTGTTGGTTTGAACGCGTTAATCTCAAGAACTACTAATTCGATTTGAAAAATTCTTTTTGGGATTGATAGCCCGTTTATTAAGGAAGGCTATAGGCTATGTATTATTCCAGAAAATTTTACGGTTCCCGTGGGATATATTTGTATTTGTCTAGGGATGAACCCGAAGCGAAGCGAGGGTGAGTCGCTAGTCTATACTTCTATACTAATATTATAAATGTGAAAGTTCGTGAGTATGTATGGATGTTTGTTACTCTTTCTCGCCAGAACGGCTGATCGGATCTGAATGAAATTTGGCACAAAGATAGATTATAGTCTGGAATGATACATGGGCTACTTTTATATCCCGGAAAAATATACGATTCCCCAGGGATAGATTTGTTTTCGTTTTTCTGAAGGCGAACCCGAGCGAAGTGAGGGTGAGCCGCTAGTACTGAAATAAAATAACTGCTACATTATTATTCAATTTTGGAAAGTTGATGTCGAGGGTATTTATTTTTCTTAACATTAATTCTTAACATGAATATGATACTATCCTTGAGCTATATTATTATTTATTAAAATAATGCAATAAAATACAACTGCAAATAGTGTTGATATAGCGTAACATGACATAAAAATGTAGGCACACCTGAGTTTCTTTCCATTTTTGAAATCAATCAATAATATTTTTTTTGTTTACTAATTTAGTAATAAAAAAGAATTAACTGTTTATGTAATATATATATGCTACCAAGATAAGCAAGACACTTGTACCATAAGGATTCTCCTTTCGGAAGTTTTTATTTACACCCGATAAGATATTGATACATAATTGATATGCGAGGTAGGTACACAATTATAGTCGTTGCTCGGTCCGCGGCGTACTGACACGCCGATAACGCGAATTGGTTTACGATATATTTAAGTTCTTGTATATTGCTTTATAATGGACAGAGACAGTGAGGATACGGACGAGGGCGCGCATCTATTAAGGAATCCGGATGAAATACGGTGTGGAAATCGAGGGATGCATGGTAATAGTGAGGCCATGGCGTCTTCGTCTGAAACGATAGTATTTGATACTAAGCTGATGAAAACTTCAACGCTGACTGAAGAATTGGCGGCCACGTGGGGTGGACGCTGCTCACTCCCTGATTCTGGGAGGTTAAGAAGGGCGCACTCGTGGTCAGCTGGGCCACCACATGACGTTCCGTCCGAAATTAGAATATTAAGAGAAAGGTAATTTCAAAGTGTATTAATTTATACAGCATTTGTTATATTTTGGAGCTTTTAAAACTTATACAGTGTAAGTAACGATAAAAACAAGGATATAAGACTTTTAAAATGCATTACATACGTTCTAGGTTAAAAATTGACTGATTATGTTTTACAATTAGTAGGATCAAACCAGATTCTTCGTGTTTAGTTACTTTAGACTTGAAAGTTCAATTGACTTAGATATCAATTATACAATATGATAAAAGATAAGACATTCGAACATACTCAATGCATGTTGTGGTCTACTCATATTGACTATTACTATTATTATTTTAGGAAATCATTTTTGATATATCTGGGAAAAAGTTTTTTAAAAACGAAATTCTACTATTATCTACAAGTTACATTGTCATTGTAGTTTAAAGAATGGATATTTGGGTCATACACAAAACGGGATAAGAAAAATATTGAAATAAAAAAATGCCATATTTCTTTAAAATCCATCTAATTTTTTATCTCATTAATTCTCATCTCATTCTAATCTCATTAATATATTTTTTTATGACCACAGAAAAGATGCAATTCCACAGAAAAGTAGAATGTATTACGAATACCTACATTAATTTGGTAATTAATTAGATAATCAAGTTAAACTGGTAAATAAAATGTTTAACAACAATTTTAATCATTATCAATCGTTTTCAAAAATATATATATTCAAACATATTATTATTATTATAATTAGATAGGAACCAAATCAAGTTTTGCTTGCTAGCTTATATTTTTTACTTATAGGTTCTAGTCAGTCAATAGAAAATATTGAAGGTATATTAAGTAATTGTAAGTAGTTTTCATTACTTTGCAGCGAATTCGAAAAAACTACAACATAATATACAAAATTAAAAAATATCAAATGTAATGTTTACAGAATAAAAAAAATAGCGGCTTCTTGAAATAATTATAAAACCAGTGAATCCAAAACACTTACTAATTGTTAATTTAGTTTCTCCTTAAAATATTTGAATTAAAAAAGAACATCACTTTCACCACTTGAATGAAGGAACATTGATCGTGCCTTAAAATTTTTTGGGGGTGTAACTTTGTAATCAAAGTAGCTAATCTCTAAGAGAATACTTTTTTCTGTATACGTGGCTGAGGCGTTACATTCGCTGAACGATTAGGTGATGGTGTGTACAAAAGACGACAAAGGCGTTCTCAGGCCAGAAACGGTGGATGCAGTTGCTGTTCTGAGAGACCTGGCTGGACAAGGCACATTAATTCCCAATGATGAAACCCACGTATCCGTGAATTTGTTCAATTTCAAAATGATGAAAACTAGCGTTAGGGGTGCACGAAGTACAGCTTAGTTTTCTAGCATGAAGTACATTAGTCTCGCTTACACTCCATGTAAGCTGATGAATCTTGAAAGTTTGAATGGACGGCATTTGGTTGCATTTACTATATGTTATATTTTTAATCGATTTCCAAAAAGGAGGAAGTTCTCAATTCGTCGGAATCTTTTTTTATGTATGTTCACCGATTACACGAAGACGCCTGGACCGATTTGGAAAAATCTTATTTTGTTTCAAAGGGTATTTATTATACTTCCCAGGTGGTCCCATATAAATTTTATCGAAATCGGTCGGGCGGTTTTTAAAAAAATCAACAATAATTATTTTTTTAAATAAATTTGTTTTTGTTTGTTTAATCGATATGTTATTAAAAAAAACTTTCTTCTTACAAATTATCTGCATATTACGTCTACACTAAAAATGGAAAAATAAAACCTTAAAAAAACCGACTTCCAGGCACTAAAATGTAAAAAATAACTAAACGGGGGTTTTCATTTAGAATAGATACCTAATCAGTATTTTCGAAGTCGATGCCAGCTGACAATATTTTAAGATATGAATATCTAATAGGTAAATATGTATTTTACGTATCGAAATATATTAGATTTGCTTTGGATCGGCTGGCACCTATTTCGAAAATATGATTAGATATCTATTCTAAATGAAAACCTCCGTTTAGTTATTTTTTACATTTTAGTGCCTGGAAGTCGTATTTTTTAAGTTTGTATAATTATAATATTCGTCCAATCAGTCTCAACTCTTAAGTGATCGTGAACTCAAAAAATACGTAGATACCTAGTGTATCGCTGCATAGCATGCAGGGCATAGTCGCTAGTAGCTAGTATTTTTTTTTGTACACATAAATAATGTAAATGTATCTATATACTAATAATATGTCATTTAATTTAAGATTAGTGCGTACACAAGCTAAGCTGCGACCAGGGGCAGTACGACACTTGTCCCGACATCAACGACTGACGCTGGCGTCACTTGCACTAGTGGACTTCATGAGTTTTTGCTCTATGAGCATTATGGCACCGTTCTTCCCACGGGAAGCTTCTGAGAAAGGATTGTCTGAAACCATGTGCGGTGTTGTGTTCAGCTTTTACGCGGTTATCATGTTCCTCACTTCGCCACTTTTTGGTAAATATGTAAGTATTTATCTTTTAAAATTAGCGTTTGTCTTTAATAAAGACATCAATAAAATAAATAAATATAAATGATATTCACACAATATTAATAAGAATTTTTTTATCTAAAATCTTCAGTAGCATGTCAATGGTAAACACAATTAATAGCTGATACAACTCACTGGGATAACTTTGCAACCGTCAATTGAGATCTATATATAAAGAGACATTAAATCATAAGGGTGAGAGTGTATCTGGGCGCGCCCACTCATTGATATAACACAGGAATTTTCCTAAAAGGATATTTATAAGCTTCCCCTGCGCCATTATGTATATAAACTTATTTCTGTCTGCAATTTGCCGCGTGTAATATACTCGTACATAATGTTGCGCTTCAATAATTTATATATTATTTTTGTAAGGGGTATACTCTTATTCTACTTTCTATATTTATGTATTTAATCGCTGCTCGAAATGTCCTATACTAAGCCTGTGCTTTCCATACGTTCGCCTGTCTGTTTATCGGTCCTACTTTTATAGAACACTAGCAACTCACCCTCGCTTCGGGTTTACTTCGCCCTATCCTATGTCGGGAACGTACGTTACGGTACGGTACGTTAATATTCTGTACGTTAGTAATACAAATATTTCTTATATATGACAAAGTGCTTATATTTCAATAAGAAGCAGAACCTCAAATCTAAGTCTAATGTATTAAACTTGTCAAAACAAACCACATAGGTATAAATTCAAGAGGTTTAAGTACAAGCAGCGTTAGGAGAATTTCACAATCCACTTCCTGGCTCCATTATCACATCAGTAGATCAAACCAAATTTAAATTTATTTAAAGTATGTACAAATCGAAATACTAAATTTGTTTACTTACTTATCGCTATTATAAACTTACGTCTCTTTCTGATAAGGAAAAATGGTATAAGTATTTCACGTCGGGTTATATTATAAGTATTTACTTCAATATGTAATTCTAAATATAGTAGTATAATACTAGCATTGCCTAAAAACTAAATTCTTAGGTTTTACACATATAATACTCTTACGATGCAGTTTTTGTATTTTTTCTTATAAAGTATCCTATATGTTGAGCCGGATAACCAGCTATCACCATAAAAAATTTCATCAAAATCTGTCCAGTGGTTTTTCTGTGATGCGGTAACAGACAGACAGACAGAGAAACAGACAGACAAAAATTCTAAAAACTATAGATTCGGCCTCTGTATCGATAATAATGTTTATTTCAATAAGATTTTCCAAAAAATATTAAATGTACAGATTCGGCTTGGTTACAATTTTAGTATAGGTATGTATATATAGATTAACATCTGTCGTAGACAACAACATTATTTTAGCATTTTTCTTTTTATAAGCTTTGTTAAATATGTTAACACAGGTAATATTCATTTGCAGTTGCCAGCAATAGGAGCTAAGTTCATGTTTATAGCAGGGATGTTTATCGCTGGTTCTTGTAATGTTTTATTTGGGTAAGTAAATATTTAGATTTTATTTAATCTGTACAATTTTGTGGGTGTTTCTATCGCCTAAGTACTAAAATTAATTACACATTGTTAAAATAATTTACTTAGGGTCCCAATATTTTAACTTCACGTTCGTAATCTTCTAGATTATTCTCTTCTTGTAACTGTTAAATGTTTTGTGTCAAGCAAACCCGAACTCGTAAAAACAAATCACATTTTTTTAATAAAATTAATATAATACGCCTTCGCCTCGTACGATAATCGAAACCACGAAACCACGACTTGTGGTGCTTATAGTGCCACGGCGATCGGAATTATATTTGGTGTAAACAGTGTAATCTTCTTTTTCCGTCATTAAAAACACAACATAACTCAAGGGAAATTATTATAAATAGTTTCCATGATTAATTTTAACAAGCAAAAATAAAACTTTTGGTTTCTAGAAATTCCACTAGCTTTAATGTTATGCATTTACTAAACAATAATACATACATACATCTAATTAAATAATTTTATCAGATAAGATAGTATATAGCGAGAAAATGACCGTAATTTATTTCAGAACTCTAGTACTAATAGAAGATCCTACAACATTTACCGTATTCTGTTTTGTGGTTCGTGGTATGGAGGCACTTGGTGCTAGCGCGTACTCAACAGCTAGCTACGTATTCGTTGTGAATGCCTTCCCGGACACTATAGGCTCTGTACTGGGTATTTTGGAAACCTTTGTAGGTCTAGGCATGTCCGTCGGACCGGCAATAGGTGGTCTTCTGTATTCGGTATGTATTATACTAATTTTTGTGTTATTTTTTATTTATTAATCAGGTACATCCATATATAATTTTATTTATTAATGCACGGAATAACGAACAATAAACCTTGGTGGTGTATTTCTCTATAGTCAATTTTTTTTTAAATAAAAATAAAGTTTTAATCAGACTGTTAGTTGAAAAAATATCTTTTAACTAACAAAACAACAAATGATCTAATTAGCAAGAGTGATTGTCTAGTTATCAGCAGCAGAAAACTCAACCAACCATGACATCCAAATCTAAAAATAAACCTAATCATATTATTTACGTGCATAAATAATCATATAGAATTCAAAAATTTTTGAAATTCTTAATGTTTTAGATAGATAGGAGGATTTGGGCTCCCATTTTACAGTCTAGGAATCGTGATGGTGTTAACTGTACCTATAAACTTTTTTTTGCTAACTGATTGCGATGGTAAGTACCTACTCTAAACATTATTTAATTCCGTACAAGCATGTTAAAGCTCATTGAAAAAAAATATAATGGGTAAATTTCTTTTAGAGTACGTATCCGGATCAAAATCAGCGTCAATTCTGCGACTTTTCACAATACCCTCTATAATTATTACTGGCCTAGTGATTGTAATTGTTTCCAACACGTGGGCTTTCTTAGACCCCACACTTGAACCACATTTAAGGCAATTTGATCTATCAACTAAACAAATAGGGTTGATATTTCTTCTGTTCTCCAGTTTATATGGAATCTTCAGTCCTATTTGGGGATGGATGGCAGATCGGTAAGTTTTATACTTCTTCTTATCGATATTGCATTGCTATGTTTTTCATATAAACTAATATAATAAAATTCATAAAATATAACAACACAATTTAACCAATTTCACAATTTTAATTTGTATCTACGAAAATACTACTAAATTAAATTTGAATGAAATTTAATATTAGATTTACGTTAATTTTTTACATTTTGTATGTATTATTACTTGTGAAACAATTTTTCTAACAAGTAAAATGGCCTAAAAATGTATTTATTTTTTATAGAGTACACAATCATTGGTGTATGATGGTTTGGGGTTTATTTCTCTCTTCAATTGGCTTGCTACTATTGGGGCCGTGTCCATTTATACCTGGTCTGCCGAAGTAAGTGTATAGTATCGACTTTTTATAACATAGATAGTAATAATATTAAATACTTCTTGCGTGCTCCGTCTGGCAAGTTTTTTTATATGTATAATTGCTCTGCTGTTTAAGGTCGTATCATAATGTTGGATGGCCTAATTTCCATATACAAGCTGTGAAATTCATATAAAGTCAAATAAAGTCTTTGAAAGTTAATTGATAGTCCCAGGGAATAGCACTTACAAACAAACAATTAAATTGTTTCAGGTTGATATATTAGTTATAATTTTAAATAACTATTTAAAAATAATACTTTTTTATAGTAATATTTAAAGTGTTTTATGCTATTTTTACAGAGATTTATGGTTGGACTTGGTAGCGCTATCAATATTAGGAATGTCAGTAGCATTAACTCTGCTGCCTACATTTCAAGGAGTATTGACTAGTTCTATGTGAGTATTTCTTAGAAGCTTACATTAATAATAACATATATTTATCGCCAAATTCTCTCTTGCCACGATGACTCAGTTTGTGTAGCTAATGTATCCCGTATTTGTCAAAAAAGTGTCCAAACCTGATGACATACATATTTCAATAAATGTTGCTTTATAATTTTTGATTACATTAAAATACTTTATTATAGCTACGAGGGTGGCTGTCCAGAGGCACTCGCTACATATAGCGCGGTAGCAGGAGTATGGTCATGTTGTTATTCTTTGGGAGAAGTGCTCGGACCAGCCTTGGGAGGTGCTCTTGCACAACGATATGGATTTCCACTATGTGCTACTCTTTGTGCTGCTGCTTGCTTTACGATGGTAAAAATTAATATGTTACTTGTATTTCTACTATTAAATCGCACTTTTAAATAAAGCTAACATGTTTTTTCAGGCTGTTATAACTCTAATATTTTTCTCCTTAAGAGAGTCAGCTAAATGGGATATCTCAAATTCATCTAATTCGATTCCGTATTCCGACACTACATGGAACAGTAACCAATTCTGCCAAGAGCGATCGCGAAGTGCACCAGAAAGCCGTCTTGCAGAAAATTCACCTCTCATAAAATCATGTTCATGTTCTTCTAAAACTGGTAAATAATTTGATTTTACTCAATTCTATTGTATTGCTACTGCTGGGCACGAGACTCGCTTCAATAACAAGGGAATCAGGCCATTGTCCACCAAGTTGTCCAAGTGCGGGTTGACGGACTTCAGATGTCTTTCAGTTTCGATAACTTGCTACATTCTCTCAGACATGCAGATTTCCTCACGATATTTTCCTTTACCGTAAGTGGTAATCATGTTGAAAAATTATTCGCACCTGAGAATGTCAGAGATGTGAGATCCGGGATTTGATCCGCGCCATTTGGTATTCCAAGCAAGGATGTTATAGCAACTTGGCTATCACTGCCTATATCTCAATTTGATATGCAGTTTAAATTATGACAAATCTTTATTTTTGGCCTCTAAATTTACTATAACTAATGCTAAGTCACGTTGTGTTATATAAAATGATAATTTACTAGAAATAAATAATTATAATAATAATAAAAGCCATTTGTGATTTTTAGCATTTTACGTGTACCAAACTACGCCGTCGAAACAACTCTGTTTCGTACATAATAAAAGTAGAAAAAGTCGTTCAACAAGTGTTGCAAATTTTATAGCATACTTCTTAAAATTCCAGTATATGACTGATATGTATATAAAAATAAGAATGAATAAAGCAAAAAAATTATACAGTAACACAGCAAATAACGAAGAGTTGTATCAAAACTACCTTGAAAATAGTGAAGAACCTGTCAATGACGATTCAAAGGTTATATTTAAGGAAAAAAGAGATGAAAATGAATGTATTTATACAAATAACAGTATTACAGAAAATGGACAATGTCAAAACCACGAAAATAGCTATTGTTCATATTTAGAAAGAACAATATTTGGGCCTGTAGTTATGAAAATGAACAAAGAAAATGTTATTATTAAAAGAAACAACAAAGGTCTTATTGCGAAATTCATATCATTTGATGAGAGAAAGAGGCCTTCAAATGAGATAATAAAACACAACCTTCAAAAAGTTCATTTTTACGAGCAAAGTCCTGAGTGCGCAACTCTTGAAGATATTTTTGTGAGTAATTATTTTATTGATTGATAAGATTTTAAATATTAGTTAATTCTGTCGATTAATATCTATTATTATATTAATTTTAATGTAAATGATTAAATTTTAAACAAATGTAATTAGGTCGTAATAAAAATTGCCTTTAAAATACTTTTTATACATAAAATAACATTCCTAGGCGTAGAATATTTTTTTCTTTATATGGGTTTATATTTAATAATTAAAAAATAAACAAGACAATCGGTTCACAGTTGGCGAAGATAGCGATAATATGGAAAAAATTGTACAACCAAATTGAGTCTCTTTCGAAGTGGGTTAACAAATTTTGCTTTAAAATATTATAAAATTGACTCTATAGTATTAACGTTTGATTACTTTTAAATGCAATGTTTCGAATCTTTATAATTCATGCTACTGATATTGTTCTTAACACTAAAATAACTTTTTCGGTAACACATATTTTACAGACTTATTTTAAATTTTTAATTTGCTAATTTACATTTTATTTTAGGATGGATGTGACTGTAGAGATGAAGTTACCTACGTAAGAGGAACAGTCACTGTGTCCTCGGCAGGAGCTTGTGAAGTATAACCAACACCGCTTTTTAAATAATTTGATAATAAAGAATAAAAATTAATTAGTTAGTAAGCTTATTATATTTTAAATTAACTTAATTATAAATAAATTTTATTAATTTTGATAAATTAAAAAAAATCTTTTTTTTATCCTGGCGGTTTAAAACAGCAAAGAATATTTTCCCAATCGCGCAGATTACTAGGACTTTATAAAGCCAAGGGGTAAGATAGGAATTTACCAACACATTCAAAGACTAAAACCTCCCCTATTCTTTGAGTGTGTGCCTCTTTCTTTACGTACAGAATATCCCTTTATAAGACATGCTATCCTAGTAAGATCGACCTCTGATGACGATTTTCCGACGTTGCTATGGTTGCAAAGCCCTTGACCACTGTCCACGTGTGAAAATTTTCATAATAAGTTTCCCTGGATAAGAGCAACCTACCCAAGGCTACGAAGGCTACGACCTATTGAAAACATTGATACCAGGAAAGTATGAAAAGAGAGCGGTGTAGCAGCTACGAAAATTTTGCTTCGTCGCTTGGTAACGCACAGTTGTTCTTTCATAACATAGGATGCAATCTAAATTAAGACAAACTATATTATTATTAAAACTTTACATATTCTTTACTAGCGACTCACCCTTGCTTCGCTCGGGTTTATCCCAAGGTACGTTTTAACGCTTAGTATGGAATAGATACAAAATGTATAGGTACAAGTTCTGAACTTTTTGACTTTCCAGCCGTTTTTTTTTGGGTTTTCCCTATTTTTTAATACTTAAACCATCCCTGAACACACATACACACACACCAATAAAAAAAAAAAAACATTATTCGAATCGGTCCATCCGTTTTTGAGTTTTAGCAAGACTAACGAACGGCAGTTGATTTTTATATATATGTACATATAGATATAATAATAAGACAATACTAATTCATTTTCTTTTTAATAACTTCCATAAAATAAATAAGATTTTCTTCTAGACCTTGGTTCTAACACAATACATACATAATTGAATAATTCGTGACACATTAATTATTATAATTCGATGTAAATACTTCTATTTGTAAAACGTACAAAGATGTTCAAAAATTTATAAAAATGTGCAAGATTTATTATAAAGCTTTTAGACTTGAGACTATTGACCATATATATATATATATATATATATATATATATATATATATATATATATATATATATATTTAGTAGACAAATCCTAAAAGGTTTTATTTTATTTTTCTTATTTAATTTTATTTTGTTGGATCAATAATGTAGAACTCAAATATTTAAGAAAAAAACGTTTTATTACGTTGTGCGAGTGTTATCCGGTAACAACATACATACATAGCTTGGACAAATCACCCGGATTTAATCGGAATACAGATGAGCCTATATACATTATTCATATCATGCATTATTTACAATTACATTCAATACATTTACATTTTAATTATATACTTGCATATATTTAGCACGATCGTTGCGAAGGTTCTAGAAAATACTATTTCGATAAAACAATCAATGAGTAATTTAGTTTTATTATCTACATAAAATTCTTTTAATAATGATTTTTATTCCTCAAAAGCAATTTAATTTTTATTTACGTTATAAATACAATGTTTTATTATAAGTGACAATCAGATTGTTTTCACTATCTAAACATAGTAAAGAATGAAAATTATACCAATTAATATAAATAATGGTATTTGATATTCTCTTTCTCCTTTATCAAAACAAAACAAAACAACGTTTTAGAATTTAGATAGTGAGTAATAAAATAAATAAGGCAATGCGCACTTTGTGCCCTTTACGATTTAATTTTTTAATGGCTTAAAAAAATGGTTATTTTTCCTGTCCGGTGTATATTTTTCATAAGAATTTTTTTGTAGAGTACCTCCTCTATACGTAAAGTGGGGGTGCTTTTTTATTGTCTACCGCATGGTATAGGCATAGGGTATAGTTGGATAGGTCTTTCAAAAATATTGCGGGTATATGAAAACAATTTTTTGATTAAGGATACGTTTGTGAAATATTAAGCTTTAAAGTGCTGATTTTTATTAGAGTCAAGTGTCCCACCGCTGCCAGTTATAAAGTTGTTTTTGGTTATGTGAAATAATTCACGGTAGTAGTATATACCTATAACGAAATTAAAAGAAAAACTATCACAGCTAAGTAGACTTTACAATATTACAGGTAAAATATAAACAAACAAACACCCTTTCATATTTTTATTTTGTTTATTAATCCTTCATTACACCAAAAATAAAAATACAATATAAATGAATATATAACTTTACAAATATTAGTGTAAAGACGGCCTCATCACTAAAGTGATCTCTTCCAGGAAACCTATATTATAAAGAAACTCATAGGGTGACATGGATTATGGTTGATGCAGAAAAAAAGAACTAGTCTATAATAAACTTACTTAAACGGTACATACTATAAAGTACACACAAGCTTACATAAGTAACGATAAGGACATACATAAATATATTTCATTTATTTATTTATTTCATTTAATTCGTGGTAACAAAAATGTATACAAATATACTCCTTAATCTAGCAACAATTATTGTTTAACAAAACATTGGCAATGGAGTGCTGAGACGCACGCACTAGGATACCCTGTGTCGCGCACGTCTAACCTTCCACAGGACCCTCTTATTTAATTTAAGACTATAGCTTAAGGAGATAAGTTGTTACATACTTAGAAGTATATAATAATAATAATATAATATTAAGACAATGATAATTAAGTTATACATTATTTTTAGGAATCCAATATAATAACTTAAAAGTAAATTTGAGCGCGTGTGTGTGTGTGTGTGTATGTATGTGTGAGTGAGTGTGTGTGTGTGAGTATGTGTGTATCCTGAGGTTATGGCATCTTATCAGTATCAAGTTATTACTTTTAGTAAATCTTCAGTTTCTGTGTAGTTTAGTCCCTTTAGCCAAGTTTTAATAGCAGATTTGCAACAATATAATATTAGTATGGATTATTTCAAGTTTATACGTCAAACCGTATTAATTTTTACTTATACTAGTATATTCAAAGTATTTTTGTTCTAAAAAAATTATGATAAAAAAACATTTTTTGATTCGTTCACTTTACATCACCTTTTATGACGTCGATGCTTATTGTCACTATTGAATAGATACGGCGTCGTGTGCAACAGTGAAAGCGTATTAAATTAAATAATTAAGGAACACCAAAAAAAGTTTGAGAAAAAAGGCATTCTATTTCATATTCATTAAAAAATATTGTATAGAAATGTTTTAAAAAAGTCCACAAAAATAGTACAATATATTTAGATATTATTTTATATTTAGAAAGGTTATAACCTCTACATCAAAAGCATTGACGTCACTACACTGTACACATTCATTGGGAGGATGGATACCGAGGGTGGATGAGAGGGATAGAGGAAAGTCAACGAGGGAACAGCCCTCTCAATACGAAATCGATATATCGTTCCATCCCTTTCTATTTCTATGTATCTTTTCTATACTCTGATATCCTGGTAAGAGCTACGATGTCGGAAAATTCTACGAGCTATTTGAAAGTAACGTAACTATATATGTCTGTTTATTAACTTTTCACGATAAACTTCTCTGAACAAATTAACCATGTGAACGACAAAATATGCAAAATATGAAAAATGACATAGGAAGGTCAGACGGACGCGAACCAAAATAAGTTGTATATAAATAAATTACACAGAGCCGCCGGCCAATATTATTTAAAAATTATTTAGAAAATGAAATATTACTTTATTTTTGCTCAATTTATATTGTATTTTATGAAAACTATATTTAATAAAAAATATATTATAAAAATAAAAAAAACTAAATAAAACTAAATAAAAAGATGAAAACAACTTGACGCTGTATGTAGACCTACACCTTGCGATAAGGATGAAACGTGTATGTCTCCGACTGCACAATACCTACTATATTTCTTCGTCAATTTATTTTCATCTTTTTAGTTAGCTTTTATGCAGTCGGGTTTTTTATTTCTATAATATTTTTTTTTATTTCCAGCTTTTTAGTTTTTGCCAATTAGACATTTGAAGTTATATTTACCATTTTTTATCCTGAATTACTTTTAACATATAAGTTGTATATATTTTTGTAATCGTCTCTTAAAAATCTTTATTTCGATACCCCACTCGATTGGTTTAGAACATTAGTTTTATAAAGACACACAAGTTGGCGCCTGAAATCCGCCATTTTAATTTTAACTATTTTATATAGCTTATGACACTCATGTTGTCAAAACGAATCTAACGACGTATCATCAAACTCACGACTCAGAATCGTCAAAATTGGCCTATGCGTATGGTCTCTAGAACTCCACATAGGAACAAACATACATACATACATAGACTAATAAACACATTACCCTCCTTTGCGTCGCGCAGTCGGATACAATAGAAAAGTATACCTACACAATATAATAGTACAGCTCTCTAGGGTTTATAATTTTAAAAATTGTACTTTCTAGAAGGTACTAAATTAAATCCCATCTAATATATAAAAATCTCGTGTCACGGTGTTTATGGTCGCACTCCTCCGAAACGGCTCGACCGATTTTCATGATTTTTTTTTGTATATTTGGTAGGTATGAGAATTGGTCGTAAATAATTTTCCACCCACCTACCCCCACCCCCCATTTTTTAAACACGATTTTAGTATTTTTGTATGAATCATATTATATCAGTACATAGCGACGAACTCAAACGAAGCGAGAGTGAGTTGCTGTAACATAAAGCGTTGCTGTAACATAGATTGAATGCGAGCGTAGCCGCGGGTTCTGCTAGTATTTAAATAAAAGAAAGCACTTCGCATTATAGTGTGGAAAAAATAATAAAAATATCGTGTACACGTGACTCAGCTATCATCTAATAATGATTCCATAGCAGATGCCCATTGTATCGATTTCAGTTAATTGATCCATGCTCTCATTTGCGTTCCTATATCACATTCTGATATAACGTGAATACGACGAACGTGGTCATAGTTCACCAATTTAACCTTTATTTTATTCTGAAAGTATACTTTAAAAATTTGATTACGATGCAAGTCGTTATTTTATTATATGTTTTTGCTTTAGTAAGTGTTGATAAAAGAGGTGCCAAAGCTTCAGAAGAAAAAGAAAATTGTGAAGGTGTAGAAGTGCATGATAAATTTCACAAAAAGCATGTTATAGGGATGGGGCTGAATCGGCCTTACCAGTTGGCATACGATCACAGCGAGCACAAAGTTTTCTTCAGCTATAACTTTGGAAAAGACGACGAAGATCTTTTTGAAATTGGCTATATTGAAAAAGGACATATAAAACATAAGGTAATAAAAGAAATTGAAAATGGATTTGCAATTGCTATAAATAATAAGGACAATATTATTTATTTTGGCGGTAGTAATGGTATCTACAAACATCATCTAAAATCTAATGATAGTAAAGTTGAAAAAATTCTCAGCGGTCACAATGTTTGGGATATGTTCTTCAAACATAATCTGTATTTCATTGATTATCCAAAACAGCATTTGTATAAATGTGAACATGAAAAGTCTGGAATGAAAATTCAACATCAAAAACATATTCATGAAAAAATTTTTCAGTTTGCAATCGATGGAGACAACGATATTTTTATTACTAATGAGACTGGATTGTACAGAATAAAAAACGGTACTGATCATCGAATATTTTACGAAGGCCCGAAACTTTTTAGAGCAATTGAAATAAACAATAAGGGTAGAGCCTATTTTACTGGTCAGAATGGCATTTTCATTGCCAATAAAGAAAGTAATACATTGGAGAAAATAGCCCATATCAAGAACATTTTCGGTTTAGCTTTCGATAATGATAATAATATTATTTACTCAAACCCCAGTGAAATAATTAAATTAGTGCCTGAGGAATGCAACTAAAATGAAGACTTATCACTTCTACACGATATTGAAATGTATGTACGAGTATATGTGAAGATTACTTATCGTTTATAGTTTTAAGATGTTGTTATATGATTTGAAATTATTCAAAATAATAAAAAAACAAAATACAATGTATCATGTTTTGTTTTATTACGCATTTAAGTAAAATATACGCAATTAATATATAGTAAATAGGCATTAACAAAATATATTAAAATATACTTAACGTTATCTATCTTATTACTGTTTTTAAATAAAATATTTTTATCAATTAAATTAGTCGATTATTGTAATAGCTATATAATTAAATTTATTATATTAAATTATTTGGAAAAGGGTGTCAGGAAAACTTTATATTACAATACTATTTAACAAGATATTCGTTCCCTGACTGATCCGACAAACATTTGTGATCCAATTTACAACAACTGGTATTTACGTGTTTCAATATAGTTTTCAATCTTATAGTATTACAGTAAAGCTTCATTTTCAGTGACTTTGTGTTTCAAGGGTAAATGTCAAAGGCTTTCATGCAATGACGTCATTTCTCCGTCGTGAAGCGGGTTGGGTTGTAAGGCTTTCTTTGAGCTCATAGCTTTAACGAGAAAATGATATTAATCTGCACAAATACATGACTGCCTGCATTGTATTATCTCAGTTCTTTTTGACAGACATTATTTTTCTCTAATTTTATTATGCCTTTACTATATTTGTAATAATAAGGTTTTGTTGTAAAAAGGAAAAAGCTTAGCAAAAGGAAACTTCCTAGCCGGAATAACCAAATATTCTTTTATATACTGTCTGCCTTATATTGGTCTTGGCGTTATTTATTTTTATAGAAAAAAAAACAAAATCTGAGCTATTCTTTTTTTTTGTGCTGACACTTATTACACTTACACTTATACACCCGTACTATATTATACTTCCGTATACAATCTCCTCTACAATTCTTTTATTTATACGACTAATACAAACCTACTACCGTTTTATGTGTTATCATTATCTATGACAACAATGTTGTCAATCCGCCCACCTTGCAACGTGAAAGGATGAAATAACAATCACACTTTTGCGATTATAATATTTTTTATTATAGTAATAACGAAATACTAGCCCATCTGAAGCAGACCTACAAAGCAGCCAAATAATATAGTTAAATCAATAAATCCATACATATAATAAAATTGTAACTAAGCCGAATCTGTACATTAAATATTTTTTGGAAAATCTGATTGAAATAAATATTATTATCGATACAGAGGCCGAATCTATAGTTGTGAAATTTTTGCCTGTCTGTTACTTACCGCATCACAGAAAAACCACTGGAGGGATCTTGATGAAATTTGGTATGGTGATAGCTGTTTATCCGGGTCAACATATAAGATATTTTTCAAAAAAGAATGAAAATGAAAATGTCTCATTTCTGAGAATATTAAAGAATATGAAAGAATTATGTAAAACCTAAGAATTTGGTTTTTGGTCATCTGAGCGCGGGCGGAGCCGCGGGCAATGCTAGTAGTAAATAAACTTTATGCCAAGCTACGTAATATGGTCTCTTAGGATAATTTCGCTTGCAACGTGGCGTGGGAGTATCACAAAGCTCTCCTATTTCCTACAAACTTTACAAAGTGACAAGTTTGAAGTTGCCAAGTAATTCACTTTATGTTGAACAGCTTGTTATACCATACATTTAGTTATATAAAGTAAAATAATGTTTATCACTCTTCGTAAGTAAATACCATATTCATACTATTTTGATACATTGATATCATTCATTTTTTGTGAGTGTGTATTATAAATAAATAATATTTTTATAAATGTGATATTTAGCTGTCAAGTCTTCAAATCGAACTGATAGGTTTTTCTTGAGATAAACGAGTAGGTACAAACAACAAAATAATAAACTGCAGCTTTAAAACTAGTTGATCTTTTATTATTTTAAAGTAAGATGTTGTATAACATATTATACAGGTGTTATAAAAAAGTACATTTATATTTTATTAATGATAACAAAAATATGCCTTGTAGAGAAAATTAAATACTAGCGATTCGCTCTCGCTTCGCTCAGATTCGTCCCTAGGTACGTTTTATCGGTTAGTATAGAATAGATAGTCGATCCCTTGCACAGTTAAAAACAAAAGCAAATCTATCCCACAGGAACCGTACATTTTTTCCGGGATAAAAAGTAAACTATGTGCTATTTCCGACTATAATCTATCACTGTGCCAAATTTCATACAAATCCGTTCAGCCGTTCTGGCGGGATTGAGTAACAAACATCCATCAATCCAAACTTTCACAATTATAATATTTACGGTTCTATAAATAACTTTTATAAATTATGTAACTATAAAGAGCACAACTATCGTCTATATGATTTTATTTAAAAAAACGCAAAAATTAATTTCTTAAGATCTCTAATAAATAAAATTGTCAATTTAGATTTAGATATTTAATAATTAAAATTGATAATTTAGTATTTGATAATAAAATATTCTTCTTATATTATGGCTAACGCATTGACTCATCTTTGCCATGTTTAATATAGGTATTACGAATAAGTATGTATCTATATTAAATCATTTAACATAATTTAGAAGTCAAAATCAACTTTATGAATATAATTTATCATCTTCTGTAATCCACACCTAAACAAAATATGTATATAAAATATTAGATATACAATATAAAAAATCCTTATGACTTATGTTAAAGCTATGCAGTGAACACCGTAAATCAACTTTTGTGTTCCCTAGTAAGGTCACGTCGAAAAGTTTTCATCGTGAGAGATGTAATAGACTTGAAAATTGTATATTACACTCTAATAACATAATTTATAAACTTACGAGGACGGTATTAAATTAGATTGCATATATCTATACAAATATATCTTTATCATAAAAATACTTTTATTTAAAAATGCATAAAGAAGTCTCTAAATAGCAGGTATAATATAATATCCCCCCCAACGTGCGTTCACCTTCTCGTGGTGGGGGGGCTCAGTAGTACCCGGCAACCCAACCGGGCGCGAAGCCAAGAAACGCACAGGGAGGTTGCCCACTTCGGTGGGCGGTGGGAGGTGGCCCTCTTCGGGGGGCGGTGTACCATGCGGGTTGCTCCTGGTACTTCTCTGATAGCAGAGTGGACTGTGGAGCAACCCCATGGTTGTGGTGGTCTGCTTCGGCGGACCTGCCGTCGGGGCGTCGTAGTTGAATGCGTAAGCGATCCTGCGACGCCCCATTAAGACGGGGGAAGGTTTTGTTGGGTTTTAGTGGGTAGTACTGGCTGTATTACACCGGTGAGTCCCACACGTCGTGCGTAAATGCATTTCCCAACGTTAAAAAAAAAAGGTATAATATAATATTAGATAGAAGAACTTAAGTATTACATAAAGTTGAAAACCTTATAACATTTTCCTGAAAAAAGTCGTAGGTATAAAAAGTATGTTTTTAATGACAATATCTTTTTAACAAAAAAGTTAAGAACTGATAATGTTGGCTATCAAATATGATATAATAGAAACAGCTAAAGTTATTATGGGTTTGTCAGCGCTATTTCCGCATACCATTCGTCTTGAGGCCACAGATAGATTTTTATTTTGAAGTAACGCGTGCACCGATTCGATTTCCCAACGTGCTAATGTACCAGGATCTCTAGAGAAAAGAACGGAATACAGTTGTGCTGGTGAATTGTTTGTTGCTTTCTGACAAAAGTTAAGGACTAGATGATCACTAACAGCTTTTAAGACTTGTACTGCCCCGTTAAAATGCATATACGATGGACGAGAAGCCAATGTACCTGTAATAATAAACAATTAGGTCATTCTTGAGAAATACAATATATAATTAAAAAAAACTACTTATTAGCTTAAGATTTTATCTGATTATGACAGACAAACGATATTTGCCGTTGATTCAGCAACGCCTTCTTATGATTTTAAAATAAATGTTTTACGTTTACAGACTAGGACTGCCTCATCACTAATAAATTCTGTTTTTCAGGGTATAAGATATAACAGATATTAGCGAAGGAACTGTTCCGATATTCCTTTCCAATGATAATATTTTTGACTCCTACCGTCTATTAATAAGCAAGTATCTGAACAATCCGATAACAATAAAAACCATATCGTTGTCGTATTCTTTAGTATTGTTATATTTTAGGCAATCACAAAAGAAAGTACCATTTTGTTCATTGTACACATGCCAATAACCGGCTGAGTCGTTGCGGAAGTACAGCGAGTACTCAATAGTCTGGCCCGCTTCGTCCCACAGAAGACGCAAGTGACGATTGTCCCGCTGGAATCTCTCTTTTATATGCTGCACGTGGTATAGTTGACCTTCGGTAGAAGGCTGGAAATAATAATATTTTTTTTTAACAAACTAGGTACGTTTTAAATAGATATAAATAGCTATTAGCCAGCGTTAGCCATATAATTTTTTTTTTCGTTAATTTTTAATTTTTTTTCTTTCATAAAAACCTTCTCCAGACAATAACAAACACAACAAAAAAAGTTAAATCGGTCCAGCCGTTCACGCGTGATGGCGTGACCAAGGGAAATAAGGATTCATTTTTATATATATAGATGTTTTTTTTAAAATGACACTGGCGTCGGAGTAACTTTATTTTCCTTATTTAAAAAATATTATTTTTTTTCTTTCTTCATATTTAAATGAGAGTATTCTAGTTATACAGTTTATTTATTTAAAAAAAAAAACATTAAAATCATATCCGTACGTTCACGGAAAGATTACGCATGGGTATATACAGGCATACACATTCTAATAGAAAATGGTATGTAACATTATAAACTGTAAATCTTTAAAACGTTTCCAATAAAGATTTTTTCCTTTTCTTTCAATCGATGTAAATGATCTTATGATTTTATATTTAAATTCTAGTCCGGCATTTACCTTTACAGTGCGTTATGAATCAAAGAACTGTACGATTCACTTTTATTGAATCAATTGGAAGACAATATTTCATAACCGCATTGGTAGTCATTTTTATCTTCCACTCGCAACAATTTTATTATATGCATACTATCCAACTCTCAAGTAGTGTTAAAATAGTTTTTTAACACTGTTTTGTTACCTTTACTTGTAACTATCTTATTAAGTATATTTAATCAACTTGGCTGAATTTAACAAAAATCTACAATTCTGATCATAAATAATTGTTTGCCCATATAAACTTTATTACGCCGTTTTAGCCTTTTAAGGGATGAATTTCCAAATAAATCTAATAGGCACATATATTTCTTATTTTTCATATTAAAGCTAAATACTAATTGTACCGTGCATTTCGCGTTAACAATGACAGAGGTTCATACAATATTTTATCCCCTATTGTACCCCGTTGGGTTGAATTTCGAAAAATCCTTTCTGAGCGGATGCTTACATTGTATAAGGAATACTTCCTCTAAATTTTACGTTTTATATGATCAGCGGTTTAGGCTGTGTGTTGATCGATGAGTCAGTCGTATACGTAGATATGCATAAATGTATACCTATGGATCTTATAATTGCTACCCACATTATTATGGGAATTATAGTAAATATTTTGTAAATTTTAAATTTAAGTTTGATATAACATAGGACGAACTCAACAGTTTTATGGTTGCATAGGTATATCTCTTCAGTCAAGAATAGCTTTTAACACCGGTTTTAAATATCAGCATAATAATTATTTAACACTACTTTCTATGAGTTACCGCGCCCTATAAGATGAGTATGTACAGTTAAATCACTCATGTATCCTAGGTCACCTTAGTCACCCTCTATTGGTATAACCAAAACATGTTTCGTAAAAGGAACGTTTTAATTCCACTATGAGATTAAATAGGTCAGTCAGATTGACCTGCCCGACATGACTCAAGTGTAATTTACGTGGGCGACCAAAGTTAACCCACAGGTCGCTTCCAATAACAACTTGGAATTAGATAAACAATAATAAATAATTTTATTTTATTATCTATAGTTATTATAATTTATAAAACTATAAATTAGCTTGTTTGTTCATTTGAACAAGCTAATCTCTGAAATTAACAATCAGACTTAAAAAGTCTTTTTTCTTTCTATAATTTTTCATGGAATCTAATATTTTGCTCCGAACCTTAGAAGCAAAGAAGAACAATTTTGTATTAATAAACTATACAAACGAAGCCTGGGTCAAAAACCAGTGTACTTACAAGGAGCGATAAAGCGATCATAGTTATGACTTATAACTCACAGTGATGTTCTCTATTTCAAAAAAGTATAGCATAAAGCTACCTCATGATTTTATAATATTATCCACTACCTTTAGGCTTTTTCGCATATTTTTTTCTTTAACCTCACTCACCAGCCTCTAAACTAATTAAAATAAAGCTGAATAGATATAGAGATATGTACATAATAAGTGGAAAAAAATGCATCTCGCAATTTATAAGTAACACTTTGCCAAACCTGCAGACAAAACCTATATGCAATAAGTACATAGTACATACATATATCTTTAGTATTGTATTAACGTAGACTAAATCCATCATTTAAAATGAATTTAAAATATAATTTTTCTTTTCATTAATCACTTAATGATCTGCCTGCTGTATTAATGATGCAGTATATTATGTGTATGACTGTGAGTGCACTACAAGGAAATGAGGACTGGGAAGGGACCGCCGGATAGTGCGAATCAAAATTTCAAATGCGTTGGGAAACTAATTCATGTGGTAATAAATTCAATTCAATATCCCTATATTTTATTGAATTACAAAAAGTTAAGAGTATACATCTGATGTATGTATGACTCCTAACTTATTATTAGGTATTATTTTTGTAATTGAAAAATAGCACGTAAGTACATAGAATAAGAGTATATATTAATTTGACCTAAATTAAAAATATCTGTCTGTGATAACTAAAAAGATTAGTTAAGGTTATTTATTTCAAAACACGTCAACAAAATAAAAAGGCAAAAATATTTTATGTTGCCCAAACTTTTTCAGTACATTTTCTAAGCACCTTTCGACATGAACATTATATTAACTAACTAGAGATTTACCCACACTTTGCTCGGGTGCGTCTCTAGGTACGTTTTAAATACATATAAATAGTTGTAAGCCAGCGTTATCTATGTAAATTGATTATCTATTTCGTAAATTTTTCTGCTGTTTTCATAGTTATTCTGCAATTGGGGGCGGAGAGAAATCCAACAAAACAAAGATCATAAAAATCGATCCAGTTGTTCTTAGGTTTTAAATGGTGTAACTAACCCGACGTTGTTTTATGTATATAGATAAAAACTCAGTAAATAATTATTGTTGTAGTTCCTGCCTTTAAAATAAAAGTAATGTTACAATAAAATAATAAAGACACATGAATAAAATCTGCTTAGTATACATTTATAATACCAATCGATTTATTTTGATTATCAGTTTAGTAAGAATTAAGTTACTAATTTTGATTTAAAATACTCGTCTAATGCATTTATTTTGCAAATTTTATCTGCTAAACATAATTACTATAAACTTTTCGAATTATTTTTATCATTAGATATATTCTTTTCTTGAAGTTTAATCAAAAATCAAAAATCACAATATAACGTATTGGATATATTTTATTATATTTATGCAATAAATCAGTCAATTGATGTCGTGTTCTGTTTAGATTGGGCATTGTGTGCAGATCCATTTATATCTCCCACTTTAACTAGCTGTGAAGGTGGTGCTTTATTAATATTACGTTAGTGGTATTGAAATATGAATGTATGTATATTGTATACATTTTATATTTACAAAATTATTAAATAACATTAGATTTTTAGAAATACTATATTTATACGAAGTTTAGTGCTATAATATGATGTCATGTGTGTCTCTACATATAACTACTCTTATGCATGTTTGTTCAGAACTGTTTATTAAATACGTTATCTAGCACAAAATTATTATAACGTAAATAAAGTTTTACCCTTGAATGTGTCTATTGTAAATATATAAAAATTGTGATCACTATTCTATTAGAATTTTGATGAATACCCTCTCTTTAAATATTATGAATATTTAACACATATGTCATTCATTTAAAAACGTACCCCATAAGTAGTTTGGGGAATTTCATGTGTTTCCCATATTGTGATCATTGGGCAAGTCTGATACATCTTCACGCCTTCCTTACTGAGATGCGTGTAGAGTTCTACTGCCCCCCACTTTCCCATGACTTTCCTTATGTCCAAATCATCGTAATCATGTTCTTTCTCACACGTCACGGTAACATTACTTTCGGTAGAGTTAGTAATTTCATCCGCGAAAACAACCAAAAACAGAAATAAGATCCAAGGTAGTTTTAAAATAGCACAACCTTGAAAATCCATTTCGTCATGAGTTTTATATACACATAATGAAAATGGAATTATTATCTTCTTATAACTTTTTATCTAACAGGACGGCACGTGCGAGAAAATATTGCGCGGATAACCGATTGGAGTCGACTGACAATTCGAGCGGTATTGCGCGGGCGCTCCTGACTCACATCGTCGATGTTATCGTATTTGACCCTTAGCCTTACACTCGCATAGAGGTGCCGCTCATCTCTAAAATCTCCCAAGAAATAATCATAATCATGTAATTATTACAGGTATTATGATGATAAAACAAACAAACAAAATAGGTTAATAATTAAATATGAAATAAAATTTTGCTTGATTTTAAACTGAAAATATTGTTACATCGACACTACCTATGAACAAACTCCTTATTGTTTTTTTTTCAATTTAGATGTAATTAACACTTATGTGTAAATTTAAATAGCAAAAAAATAAATAGGTACGGTCTTTTTAGTTCTCATCACACTGATGCGCCTTACCTACCACTTATAACTCTATGGCGCATCCTACAATGGAAGCTGGTATTTGTCGCAACGATTGAGATGTGAACCTAGACCATTAATTGTCATTGTTCGAGAAGTTTTATTATGTCCAGTAGTATATTATTTTTATTATTTAATAATTTAAATAGCAATTTTGTTCTTTATGATGTATGTACTTTACGTAGGTCTTCTATTTTTAGCTCATAGCAGATGTATACACAGAACAGTTAGTTACATGAGCTGTGTTTATATAGAATGAAGAATACCTTTAGATTTTATAATATATTTTAAATACCGTTGGGTTTCGTAGTATATTTATAATACGAAGCAGTGAATGTCTTATCACTGATAGGGTGGGTGCTCGCTTACGTTGGAAAGAAAGTGAAGCGGGTTCAAACCCGTGCTTCGCGCACGGGTGGGTTTTGGTTATTTTCAACATGATAACCACCTACTAATTAATACGATAAGAGAAATACCATAGGAAAATCGCGCGTCTGAGAGAATCTAACTTATTGTCAAAAGATGTGTGAAGTCCACTAGTTCAGCGCGGCGTTGAGGACTGACAAGTGCAATAAAAGTTAAAAAAACTTAACAATATTTAATATTTTTTGCTAAATATGTATATTGTTAATATCATAATATAATTTTTTAACATTAAATAACTTACCCTGTCCCTCGGTTCCGATATATGTATAACAATGCACGTCCTTCCGTAGTCAACTCTTGCATCCCCCGCTAAATGCTGAATAAATTCTACACCGTACCACATTCCCATCAAACTGTTTACCCAAATTGAATTTTGGGGTGATCTATCTACACAGTAATCTTCGTTATATTTAAAAAATGGCATTTCATATGATGTCATACCCTGATTGAAGTTTTGTCTGTTATATCCTTGTCCATATCCATAGTTTGGGGTCGTGTAACTTGGATTTTGGTAAAAGCTACCTGAAGACGCAGTATTGAATACGTTAGAATTGGGGGTTGAATATCCCATGTTTGGATACCGAGTAGCTTCGGGGTAAGTAGCGATATCAGTTCCATAATTGGTTTTATAAGGATACTGATTTTGGTTATAAATACTCGGGGTAGTGGTATAAGTAGAATAGCCATTAGTTTCACCAAACCTTGAATAACTTGCACTATAAGCTACCGCGAAGAAAAAGTATATGGAAATGAGTCGATGCATGCTTTTATATTTGTAATAGAATTTTAGAATATAATGTTATGTGACGGTTGATAGCGTGTGACTGTTCTAACTTCTACAAGAGTGGGATATAAACTAATTAACCGTAATTGCCTTCATACAGCCGAGGCCAAAAGTTGTAAGTCAAAAAATTAAGTTTTTTTTGTCGTAGTTAAATGCAGTTCTTATTTAATATTTAAAGATACATTTAGTATACAACCAAAGTAAGTACTTTTTGCTATGATTTTCCTGAGCATATTTCAGATCTCTTTGTAAGAGCCTTATGCCCATCATTAATAGACGACTCACGACTGGGACGACCATACAAATAAGTAATAATTAGCATATTAACGCACAAATATTAAAATTATCTTGTAATTCTAAATAAAACTATCTTTTCGGATCTATTTTGATTTTTGGTTCCAGACGTTTCGAATGCATTACATGGCCATGATTGCTGTAAAAGAAAAAAACTAAAAAGCGAAATAATCCGATAAGATAGTTTTATTTAAAATGTCAAATACTCGCGTAAATCTAAGAAAGTATTATTGTCTTGTAACTTAAGAAGGCCAAAGACAATATAATTTTTTTAACCTTTACTGAAAAATATTTTTTTGAAATAACATATTTTTTATAAAATTTTCATTACTTAATTTAGATTCAGTGCTCGTATCGTTTATCGTAATTTAAGCTTTAGTTACATGAACTCGTATCCGGGAAACATCTCTGATACGGTTCCATCAATCTTTGATTGGTTGCGATCAGGGCTCGGAACCGCTTTAAAAAACGGTTTATTTCGCTGCTTATGTAATGGTTAATTCATCGCTCATTCTTTAACCGGTTAATGAAAACTAACGGTTTAGTAAATCGAAATAATATTTTTCAACGGTAATTTTAAGGAAGGTTAGGCTTCGGTTTTAATACCGAAAAAAAACTATGTATTTAATTTATTCATGAGTAAGAAACGTATATTTATCTTTCTATTAAGCAATTTACCATTAGCGAAGATTCACCAAATATAAACGCACAAAAACTCATTTTAACCGGTTAATTTTGATCATGGAATCTAAATTCGTCAAAAACCTTTCTCCAGGTTTTGACCGGTTAAAGAACCTAACCGAAACCTTAAACCGGAAAGCCTTTCAGTTTGGGGTCAATGACCAAAACTGGCTTTAAAATTGAACGAGTTTCCGAGCCCCGGTTGCGATGTGTGATCATCTTGTCGTAGTGAGAAGCTCATTAAGGTCCGACAATAAAACCGTCTGCATTTAGATATGTACTACTCGTATTGACATAAAATCCATACTTGTTAATATAGCGACGTTTTCAATCTATACATATAATAAAATTGTAACTAAGCCGAATCTGTACATTAAATATTTTTTGGAAAATCTTATTAAAATAGACATTATTATTGATACAGAGGCCGAATCTATACTTTTTAGAATTTTTCTCTGTCTGTTACCGCATCACGGAAAAACCACTGGAGGGATTTTTATGAAATTTGGTATGATTGTAGCTGGTTATCCGGGTCAACATATAGGATACTTTTTACTGCGAGAAAATATCTCATTTCTGAGAAAAAATACATAAACTGCAATGTTAGAGTATATTAATATTAAAACCTAAGAATTTGATTTTTGGTCATCTGAACGCGGGCGGAGTCGCGGGCAATGTTAGTATATAATAAAATTGTAACTAAGTCGAATCTGTACATTAGATATTTTTTGGAAAATCTTATTGAAATAAACATTATTATCGATACAGAAGCCGAATCTATAGTTGTTAGAATTTTTATCTGTCTGTAGATTTCCCGTCACCATTTCATTGTTCTTACCATAGATAAAAATATAATAGATATTGCGATTGAACTGATTTAAAAGACTTTCATAGTGTGAACGATGGTCTAGAAATATATACGTTTATTCTTCTTTGTGGTACTCGATAGAGCTCTATTACACTAAAATTGTGCCATATTAGCTTTTTTACAAAAAAGGAACTAACTGAAGAATTCTTATTCTATCCTTTAATACATTATCTTTTTGCAATTATTTAACATTGTTCATTTTTGTATTTGATCAAAATTGAGTTACATTACTTTGCTACTGAATCAATTGTTCAAAAGTAAGTAGAACGATAAGCAAAGTGTGAAGAGGCAAAAGGTGATGTAAACGATAGATCAATAGCATTAAAGCAACTATAAGTAAAATATAGTTAAATAATAATAAAATGATGACAAGGTCAATAATAAAATTGTACATAGAATATTTTATAGTTTTTGCATTGCAGCCCAATGACTATTTTGAATATTTCGTGTATGAACGCGCCACCTAAAAAACTGAATTTCATTTGAAGTTTTAAATTACTAGTATTATTTTAAAAGAATATCTATACATATAATAAAATTGTAACTAAGTCGAATCTGTACATTAAATATTTTTTGGAAAATCTAATTGAATAGACATTATTATCGATACAGAGTCCGAATCTATAGTTTTTAAATTTTTTGTCTGTCTGTCTGTCTGACTGTTACCGCATCACGAGAAAACCACAGAACAGATTTTGATGAAATTTGGTATGATGATAGCTGGTTATCCGGGTCAACATATAGGATACATTTTACCGCGGGAAAATATCTCATTTCTGAGAAAAAATACAAAAACTGCAATGTAAGAGTATACAAATATGTAAAACCTAAGAATAGGGTTTTTGGTCATCTTATCGCGGGCGGAGCCGCGGCCAATGCTAGTAGGTTTATAAATTAAAATACTTTCAAAGATGTCGTATAGCCGTATTTAATATTATTATCATAAAATGTATTTAAATTAACTTCTTCACCATTCGTTACCGTGTTCCGATTTAGTTTAGGAGTAGGTACTGCGACAACTAAGAGTTCTAGGCGTCAGCCCATGGTATTAGGTTTTTTTATGTAAATAAAAAAATAAAACCTCATACAATACCCACTGTCTGTCACTGTCACTGAGTTTTATTAGAAATGCCCACAGTCAAAACAGATCCACTCCCTTTGAACGTTGAATTTATTACCTATTTTAAGATAAACTAGTAGTGAATAAGTATAAAAAAGATTCCGACGAATTGAGAACCTACCTCCTCCATTTTGGAAGTCGGTTAATAAATATAAGTTCATTCAATAGTTAGCATCATAATTTATTAGCTTCATAGGGCTTATAAAAAAGGTTTATAATTGCCTTTCCCTATAAATGAGTATTCATCATGTTTTGAGATCTCTGCCTTGTTTGACGACACGTTTGGCTTATTTTGTAGTATCCCTACTTGCTGTGACAGCGGTCGTGGGTTCGAGTCCCGCTGGGGGCAATCATTTGTGTGATGAGCACGAATGTTTGTACTCCAGTCATGGTTTTTATATTAATAATATGTATGTATTTAAAAGTTATATATTTTTAGTGTATCAACTATCTGGTATCCATAACACAAGTCTCGTAGCTTACCATGGAACTAGATGGTGCTGTGTGTTAATGTCCCAATATATTTATTTATTTATTTTTTAATTTACTAACAAAGTACAAAAAAACTAAAAAAAATATCATAACCAATATAATATATGTAGTTAACCTGTATCCATGCGCCCTGAATCATCTGTAGTTAAATGTTAATGAGGGTCTCAAGGAATAATTAGGAACTGCGTCTACCGGACGAAAACTTAATTACAACGGTAACAATTGGTGGGTTAATTGACACAATTTATTCTTATAGTTCCTGTCTATCTAGAGGGACCTCATCTAATGGTCAGGTTATAGGTTACTTACCACATCCTCACAAACAACATCATTAGAATAATCCTCAGGAAAAGAAGAATATTTGTCATCAGTTACACAATGCAATCGATATATACTTATAAATAAAAATGAAATGCTATGCCTTGGTAAGTGCATCACTTCAGAACAGCTTCATTGATTTGGCTAATCTGATTTTAAACAAATTTTTAATAATCCAAATAAGATTTTAATGTATAAAAATTGGAAAAGTTGCCCAGAAAATTGGGACATTTGGGAAATCTAACAGTGTTTTACTTTTTATTTGTACTAAGTCAAAGATAATAAATTTTATTTGGACAGGACAACGTCTGTGCGACCAGGTAATCAATACATATAATAAACTTAGCGATATCTGTACATAAAATATATTTTTTTAAAAACAATGACTGGAACGTATTGTGTACAGAATATATACACCAACACAATAGTTACCTATGAATATGTTTGTCTGTTTGTGTGTTCGCGTTTCACGCAAAAAGTACTGGACCGATTTTGACTAAATTTTGTGTAGTGATAACTTTTTATTTGGGTTATTTAGAAAATTGTTTACTATAGGAAAATCTTTCATTCCCACAGAAAAACACAATAACTGGTTCTATCGAGTCTTACTTAGAAATTTATTTAGCTAACGCTGGCTAAACCTTAAGAGATATTTTAAAACAATGTACTAGAAAATTATAGGTCTTAAAAAGTCCGCAATAGCATATAATAAAACAGTAACTTAGTAAAAATCGATGTGCGTGTTTCACGCAAAAAGTGTAAGTAAATTTTGTGTAGTGATAACTCGGGTAATTTAGGTACCTTTTACTATAGGAAAATCTTTCATTCTCACGGAATAACACAAAACTGGCTCTATCGAGCCGTACTTAGTTACATTTCTAACGCTAGCTAAACATTAAGGTATACTTCAAAACAATGTACTAGAAAATTGTAGGTCTTGATAAGACTTACAGAAAAGTCAGCATTAGCCTATGTCTTTCTCTTAAGGTACACTCACAATAACTATTTAAATCTATAAATTTACGTTCCAGCGACGCACCCGAGTGAAGCGAGGGTAAGTCGCTAGTAGGCCTAATTATAATTATTAAGTGAATAGAATTAGACATTAATCAATAAATAAATAGATTTATTGAAACTTTATTCAAAAACTTTTTCAATTTAGTAACTAATAAACTAGCTAATACTTAAGACAAGAAAATGAAAATAAGTCGATAATACTTAAAAGTTGTTTGGCTTAGATCCAAATTCAATCTTTTGTCTCCTTAGTAACTTTGTCAAATGTCAATGACACATATTGACACTCAGGAATAAAAAGACATTCTCCAGCTCCTTAAAAAAAGTTTACGCAAAAAACTCTCATCCATTCATTGATCCATTGCTACATATGCAATAGAAAAGAAAACTCAATCTTATTAATTACTAGCGACTCACCCTCGCTGCGTTCGGGGTCGTTCCTAGGTACGTTTTAGGGTTAATATAAATTTTTCAGACATAAGATCTTTGCTCTGCATTTTTGTTACATAAAACCTAAGTGCATGAACCGTGGGTATTATGGGCGACACGTACTGCTTTCCATCAGGGGTCTATATGTTTGTTTGTCACTGAACACCATAAAAAAATATATGTTCATTAGTTGGCAGGCCACTGCTGGTTATCTAACCAGCTTTCATCATACCAAATCTCATCAAAATCGGTCCAGTGGTTTACTCGTGATGCGTTCCCAGACAAAGAGACAAAAAAATAATATTTTAAATCAAAAAAATTATATCAAATATACTATAATTATTTTTTTTTTTAAATAATTAGGGTTCGGTGCAAATAATAAAATCCATGAAATTGTGAACAAAATCCGCGTAAATCGTTTGTCTACTTATATGGAAATAACTATACGGTATTTAAAAAATCTGGGTGATATTGTGTGCAGTGTGCAATCTGTTGAATAATAATAAAAAGTGTCCGCTAAATAAAAATCGACATTCGGTTTTTTTTAGTCTTCATATAGTGTGTAGAGAAAAACAAGCACGGGGGACAGAGGGAGGGAGGGGGGTGGAGCAAATTTCTGCCTCCCCCTCTGGACCAAAAGCTGGGTACGCCCATGATCGGAACCAATACTTTTTTTTGGTAGGTAATTGCAGTTTTTTATAACTAAAGTATTCAGTGTTATATAACTAAAGTATTCAGAGTTTCATAGCTAAGAGGCACAATCGCTTATATGTTCATCATATTCATCGTCAGTTTGTACGTAGGTATATCATAACCATTTTATTCAGAAACTATTAATACTCTAGCTTTAGAAATTTAAAAGATAGGAGTCTAGTGGGAGCCGTTATGTTCTCCATAATCAACTACTGTATGTATGTAGGTATATACCTATTCATTTTCTCAAACCATAAAATACACAGAGATAGGGCTGGTAGCCGAGCACACACTGTGCAACACACTCATGTGACTTGAACAAAAATTATCATGAATGAGAAAAGGAATTGAATAAAATTTCAATAGAAATCAATTAATGTTTATTATTTAAATATAATGGCGAAATATGTGTAATATGAAAACACAAGACAATTCAAATATATAAAAATAAAAAGAAATTATTTTAGCATCTCCAGCACACACAGCAGCATGTCTGTAAGCATTTGGTAAATCAAATTTGCTAAATTCCCTCTCATACTGATACCATTCCCATCGTTGAACCTTCGAGGGTGATCTCCTTAAGATAAGGGAGAAAATACCGCCGTTGCCAATTTCAGAGCAATGGTTTAATACTAGTGTGTATTGTGTGACCTTCAATAAGCGGATTACGTCTGGATGTCTGGGTGGATCGTCGGGGTACCAAACGTCTGAAAATTATTAAAAGTTATTAATATTAATGTATTATAATATAACAATTTTGCCATTTTATTTTAAGTATTTGTTAAACTAACCAATTCCTCTCGACATCAATTCTTTTTCCATAGGTCGCAATCTCTCTACAGTCCATAAACCAGGTTCTTCTGGATAGTATAAATAAACTTGTTCCAAAGTATGTCCATCCTCGTCCCATAATACACGGACTCGATTTTGGTCTTCTAAAAAGTTTCTTTTAGCTTTTCTTTTCAACCTCACATCAAGCCATGATCCGGACATTGAATTTTCTGACCAAGGGTTACTCCTCGAAGATCGCCAATTTTGATCTGAATAGTTTCTTCGCATAATCTGTGAAGCAGATACAAGTATGTAAATTAAATATAATAATTAATAAAATTATTATAATACTAAAATAAACTCGATAATAAACATACATACTTACAGACATACCGAACCAGTTATCTCGAAACTCCTGTGTAGCATCTGATATGTATAATGTTACACAGCCTACTTTATTTGGTACATTAGTCATGTCTGGATTGTGCTGGGCATATCCCACGCCATACCACACCCCGTAGACGTCGTCCATATTGACCCGATGTGACCATTTGATGGAGTCACCGCAAAGTCCGTAAGCGCTATGCCCAAAAGATAATATAAGATATAAAAGCAACACTGTAAACATGATGATGCTTAGAATACCAAAGGGAATATGGGACAAGGCGTCGTTCGTGGCCGTAATGCATTTAATTAGCAAATTGGTTCAGGTAATTTTTCATTAGTGACGTAATATCTCTATGAATCAGTGTAAATTAAATGATATCTACCTAGTCTAATTTATAGGGCATTATTTTATTGAAGCTTAATATTTTTAAACCTTTAAATTTAAATTACATATATTATTTCAATACACTATTGTTTTCTTATTGATAGATATAGAAAATTCGATTATATGATATTTTGAGTTGAGTGACGGCAGAAACTTTCATTTTAAGGGGAAAACTTTTTCCTGAAAAAAACTATAGGATAAGTATATAATTTTTTTCCTGAAAAATAAATACTGTTTATGTGTAAATGTTTTATTTTACTCTTAATCTACAACTCTACCTTAGCCGGTAAATTGCAATCTATGGAGAATATAAATAAAACTATATAACTACTAGAGACTCACTCTCGCTTCGTTCGGGTTCGTCCCTATCTTGCTTCCCAATACAAACTTTCATCCCCATTTTTCCGAGATAAAAAGTATCCTATGTAAGGACATACAACAAGGAGAAGATAGTTTAAGACCCTGAGAAGGCTCAGGGTCTCAAACTATCTTCTGACCAAATTTCATCTAAATCGGTTCAATACATCCAGAGATTACCACTTACAGCCTCACAAACTCACATACTAACAAACTTTACCTCTTTATAATAATCTTAAATTATGAACTACAAATTCACCTTGCCCATGTACTTTTATTAAATACTAGCGACTCATCCTTGCTTCGCTCGGGTTCGTGCCTAGCTTGATTCTCCATTTTCATACCCTTAAGGGATGATTTCCAGGATAAAAAGTATCCAATGTCCTTCCCAGGGTCTCAAACTATCTCCTTACCAAATTTCATCTAAATCGGTTCAGCAGATCCTGAGATAACCCCCTACAACGTCACAAACTCACAAACTTTACCTATTTATAATATTATATTAGATATTTAAATATTGTTTTTTCTTTTAAATAAACATTGTTTCGATTTTTTTCTCAAACTTGTTTTCGTCAAGCACGAGGTTTCGAGGCTGTCTCGTGACCATGTTTGTTGTAAGGCATTCGAAACGCCGAGAAAAAAAAATGAAAATTAAACAATAAAAATACCATGTATGCATGCTTATTTCTTGTAGTGTTGTTTATTATTTTTTATAACTGTCACCATTATTTAGTTTATTTTATAGATAGTTTAGTTTTAGTTTATTTTATAGAAATTCATTTTCATTAAATTTTCGCCACAAAATATGCACACATACGAGTATGTATTGGGAGAAAATAAGTAAATCTTGTTTTTATAAAATGATTTAATGACTGAATAATGTGTTTATTATTTTTTATAACTTTCACCATTATTTAGTTTATTTTATAGATAGTTTAGTTTTAGTTTATTTTATAGAAATTCATTTTCATTAAATTTTCGCCACAAAATATGCACACATACGAGTATGTATTGGGAGAAAATAAGTAAATCTTGTTTTTATAAAATGATTTAATGACTATGTAAAATATATAATTCATATCTTTTTCGTTACAAAACATTATATAAATAATTAAATAAATTTCTCATATTAGAAAATATGATTACAGCCCTCTATCAACTTTTCAAAATAACAAAACAAATAAACAATATGAGTGTACTAGTTAACTGAATGCTTGTCGCAGAGCTTTCACATACGCGTTTTAAAGAAGATGTGGAGAGATTTTTATAAGAAAATATATTATGAATACTAGCTAAGTCTTCTCGCGTAAGTTGGTTTTCATTTCTTGCTAATACAACGCTGTAGACCTGAGAGTGAGGAAGCCTCATACAGAAATTCAGCACGAGGTGATTGTTCGCCACTTTCAAAACTTGGATGACTCCTCCGAAGAAACGATACATGTTGTCCACATCTGCAATTTAAAGATATTTATGTTTTTATTTCATTCTACAATTACTATTTCATATGTATGCAGTGTATGCAATAAATATATAATACTCGTAGTTTAATGTACATATATAAAGTACCAAGTAAATGTATAAATAAATGTATTTTAAACACATGGATCTTTCAACATTATACATAACTAGCATTGCCCGCGGCTCCGCCCGCGTTCAGATGACCAAACACCAAATTTTTAGGTTTTACATATTAGTATACTCTTATAATTCAGTTTTTGTATTTTTTCTCAGAAATGAGATATTTTCCCGCGATAAAAAGTATCCTATATGTTGACCCGGATAACCAGCTACCATCATACCAAATTTCACCGTGATGCGGTAACAGACAGACAGACAGACAGACAGACAGACAGACAGACAGACAGACAGACAGACAGACAGACAGACAGACAGACAGACAAAAATTCTAAAAACTATAGATTTGGCCTCTGTGTCGATAATAATGTCTATTTCAATAAGGTTTTCCAAAAAATAAATAATGTACAGATTCGACTTAGTTAGAATTTTATTATATGTATAGATAAGTAAAATAATTTAAAATCTTGAATTCGTATTGTTCAGATCAATTGAAAATTTGTTATAGGTATCAACTATCAATTAATAAATATTTCTCTCTTACTTTGGTAAGGCACATCCGTGGGCCAAAATCCTTTATGAGAAGTGTTGACTTTAACATGGTAGTCGTCCTGGCGATGTCCTTCGTGCCATTCTAACACAAAATGCTTTATCCTGTATTGTTCTGAGACTACATATGGCTTATATACATAGGGTGAATTTGTCATTGGCGGATACGGTGTTGGTGGGGTTGGCTGAAAAAAAAACCATTGCTTTCAGTTGTCCAGACTTATTTTTCTAAAATGTAAACTTTAACAAAAATTTATCGAGTGCACAAAAATATTGTACGAATAAAAAAATAAGGGGTGGGGATGGGGGGCTCGTTGGGAACCTACAATGTTACTACTTATTTAATTTTTATAAATAAAATATTATTAAGACTTTATTAGATTATACTAAGTCTTTGAATAAAAAATATAACAATTGTATATTTTCAACATCAGGAATATAATTTATTTTGTAATTCTCAACTCGCCACTAGCTAAATACCTTGAGAAGCCACAAAATTAGAACCACTTTTAAGAATCACGAGACTAATATAATAACAAATGTCACAATAACTGTAGGTAAATCAAAAAAGTTATTTATATTAAAAATAATCTTGATTTGTAACCACTTACAAGATTTCTGTTCAAAAGACCACCACTCACATAATCTTCAAATTTTCTAATTTGCACGGTAGGACAGTAAGGGTTATACTCAGTTTTAGTTACGTTCTCTTTATGAAATATGTACTCTCGTATGTACCATAGACCTAACAGAGTTTCTTCATCAAAGTCTTCAACTGGATGTAAGTTTGGGCAAAAATTGATACTAGTGGCGAGGGCATGGGACAAGATTACTAACAATATTATTACCGAACACATTGTACTAATTAATAATTTTATTATTGTCCTAATTATTGTAGAACTTAAAGGCACCAAGTCAAATGTTTAATTGAAAGTGCCTTCTGGCGGACAGTGGATGATTATGACACAATTACGTCGTTCACGTTTAACCTGCTAATTGACTCAACGCGACCCCACATCCTGAATGCGCCTGACTATACTTTATTTTATTAAAAACTAGCAGAAATCGCGGCTTCGCTCGCGATAAAACTACAAATAAAATATCTAAAAAGGTAGATTTCATACAAACTTTCATCCCCTATTTTACCCTCTTAGGGGTTGAATTTTTGAAAACGTTGAAATACGTAACTCATTATTTTTGCCGTACTCAATTCATACGAAATAACATGCAAATATGTCCAAGGAATAAAAAGTTTCATACAAACTTTTATCCCCTATTTCACCCCGTTGAAGGTTGAATTTTGAAAAATTCTTCCTTTGTGGATGCCTACATCATAAGAGGAATACGTCTGCGAAACTAAGTTTCTGGCCCTAAGGGTTTGGTCTGTGCGTTATTTAAAAATTCCATCCCCTACTTTACCCTCTTAGGGGTCGAATTTTAGGAAACGCTGAAATACTTAGGTCATTATTTTTGCCGTACTCAATTTAAACGAAATTTCATGCAAGTATGTCCAAGGAATATAAGTTTCATACAAACTTTTATCCACTATTTCCCCCCGCCTTGGCGTTTGAATTTTGAAAAATCCTTTCTTAGTGGGTGCCTTCGTCATATGAGGAATACGTGTGCGAAATTTCAATTTTCTAACCTTAAGGGTTTGGCCTATGCGTTGATACATCACTCAATCACTTTTCCTTTTATATATATAGATATATTCCAGTTCTTTGTCAGTACCAAGCAATGTTATGAAAATATAAATTTTAATTTATTGAAACCTAATAAGCTACAAACAATTGTTTCAAGAAGTTAAGACATGTATGTATGTATCAAAGTAGCTACGAAGAAAATTTCCTATTCTCTTTTCAACTTTCCTAAATATTATAAAAATATGTCCAATAATTAAATTACCTAATAAATGAACAATTTCTCAATGTAAACTTATAATTAATTTATAATTTTTAGTATTTAACGTATAATTTATTGTTTTAACTTTTTTATAGATGTAAACACAATTTTACCCTCCCATTATGGAATATAGTATCTATATAATTATATTATATAACCAAATGTTAAGTCATGCATTTTAAATTGTTATTGTAGTTTAATAATATGTAGGTACATATAGTTAGTAATATTTACGTTTTCCCTAATTATACAGCAAACTTAAAAATATGTTTTCCTCCCAAAAAAATGACTAACTGAAACTTATTAAAAATATATAGTAATTAAATAAAGATTTTTTTAAATTAAGTTTTATAATTAGTTCAAAAATCACAAAGCAAATTAATTATAAAAAAAGAACCAACCTGTATATAAAGTTCTCGGATATCAATATAAAAGCACTCATTAGTATGTTCTATACGATATTCACCCTTTGTGTGTGGAATTTTTTCGACTCCATACCAAATGCCCGAAATTTGGTCCAAATTTAAATCACCAACGTATGGGGATAAGTCATCACAGTATCTATCATTTTTTATGTAGCTTTGGTCATAACATTGTATGGCTCCCAAATAGAATATAAGCAAAATAAAATGAAAAACCGCCATAGCGGCTTAACCGGTGGAACCGGATAAGATATCGGATAAAGTGAACCGGGAATACCAGGCGACTATACACCACTGGAGGTGTCGTTCGAATTAACTGTTGAGTTTTAAGGATTGCTTAGGGCACGTGGGCGAGAGCCCAAATGAAACAACACACTCGCTCAATTGACAACATCATCCAGTTGGTAATTTGCTCGTTATACGTGAATACTTCCTTCATAAACATTACCCACTACGTATCAGACCCCTACGACCGATCCTAACTAATCCTACCTATCATCTAACGTCATCAATATTTAAAAATAAATTTACATTTGAACATTAATGTTCAAAATTTCTTATTAAGTTTTTATTAAATTTTCTTAACATATCTTGAAACCTAATGAAAATCTTTTCGTGGCTTTTTGAAATAAAGTCATCGACCGTATATTTTACAGAATATTAAAAAAATAAACGCAATTTTATCTATAATAAATAATATTATTATTATGTTCAATTAAGAAACGATTGTAATTCTTTTTTTCAAGTATAGCACATTGGACGACACGTTAGCTCAATTTGTAGTGACCCTACTAGTTGTGCCTGCGGTCGCGGGTTCGAGTCCCGCTGAGGTATTCAATTGTGTTATGAGCACGAATGTTTGTACTCCAGTTATGGGTGTTTATATTTATAATATTAATGTATTGAAAGTTATATGTATGTAATGTATCAATCTGGTATCCATAATACAAGCTTCGTAGCTTACCATGGAACTACGAGGTGTATTGATGTCCCAACATATTTATTATTTATTATTTCTAAGAATATTTTTATTATATTTAATTTAATATATTTTTATACGTCAAATTTATAAACAAACTCCAATAAATATAATCAACAAACGTTAAAAGAAACTTTCACCTGTCTTTTTTATTACATCTCTCTCTTTAGTCTTCGTCAATAGTCGTTCGTTTCGTCAATAAAGTCTATTTTCGACGTTTTCCCGTCGGCGCTGAAGTGCTTCGAGATCGGTTTTCCTCGGCATACTTTGCTACCAGGATAACATAAACGTGAGAGTATGGAATCTGGCTTAAATCAATAAAATCCAATGACGTCACGAGGGTTGTTCATCGATCGCGAGCGATTAGACGTGCCGTGTTGTGACTTTATTGATTTTCCATCCCTATGTGTGAGTTCGTAAACACTTCGGTAATCGGTATTCCTATCAAATGTAATGCTAGAGAAAGATGCAACACATCTCTTCTGCTCGCACACTAAATAATTAAGAAACATAAATATGAATATTTTTTATATATAATTACTAACAAAAGACTCTAATATATAATATCTTTTTATATTAGTTACTAGCAGACCCGACAGACGTTGTCCTGTCTACACGTCTTTAATTTGAAAATTTCAAACTTTTTTTAATAAGCTAAAACATTCTGGACCATTTTGATGAAAATTATTATTCAAATTGTGAATCTAAACCATTCCCAGATCCCCTTGAACACACACAAAAAATTTCATCAAAATCGGTCCAGTCGTTTGAGAGAAGTTCAGTGACATACACACTCACAGAAGAATTATATATATAAAGATTACACATAAAATAAATTTTACCATAACTCGAATCTAATGTATAGATGACAGTAGACGCTGTGACGTAAATTGAGGTTGAACTCTTACGAATGACGTCATATGGCGTGATTTAAAATAAGGTTGAATGCTCTAAGGCTTATAGAAGGTTATAGAGGAAAGATTTATTATAATTTCTTGGAAATATGTAGTTGTAAAAGGGATGTAAAAAGAGTTGCTGAAATGATAGATATATTAGATGTAAAATATGAATAAATATGCAGATAAAATATATGTATTTTGAGTCAATTACACATATATTCCTGTAATAAACTAAACAGTCTCTACTGCCTACATTATCTACTAATTTACACACCAATACTTTTTATGTAGATTTTTTAAAACTTAGGGTTTCCACTAGAGCTTTCATCCCGGGAGTCTCGGTTTTGAAAATTTGGAGTCTCATGATTTTTTACATATTTTTGAAACTCGAGACTTGCAGTCCGAAAATAACGAGACTTAAGTCCATTACCATTAATCATAATTCTATTAAACCACCAAATATCTTTTTATTACGGTTACGTGACAGTACTATAAAGTGAAACTTAGGATAACACGACAGAGGGAAAGACTTAAGCTATTGCTATATCAGGAGTGGGCTTTTTCTAACGCAAGTTACTCTGTATGTAAGAAAATCACATCCTCTCTGTGTGAAAGAACAATAAATGCTCTTTTTTTTAAGTGCCCACTGTAAAAATGAAAAAAATATCCTAAATAATTTTACTGGTTTTTGAGTTTGTAACAATATAATTAATACTTTGTAAAAAAATCTTGTATTGATTGTCTTAGTAATGCCTAGCCTATGAAACCTATTTTTGAAATAATCTCGAAAGTCTCGTTTTTGCCGGGAATTTCAAGACTGGACTGAGACCGATTTTTTCCCGAGAATCGTAAATATAACGATACTGAAAGCCTTATATGTAACAGTTAACAATTTAAAAATTTAAAATCTCTGAAATCTAGGACAACAAGTAGATTTATACGTTCTTTTTGTATATTTAAAATTTTTGATTATTTTACATTATTTGTCCGTGTTATAGTACTTCCTTTTTATTTAAATAAAATAGTTTTAATTTTATATTTGGTATGTTTATTTATAATATAGTATAATAACTACCCACAGCTGGACACAGTCCTCGAATGAGAAATGGATGAAGACAAGGCAATAGTTCACCAGTCACCACGCTGTTAAAATTTAAATTAATAGACAATTATATAGACTTTACACGTCTTTAGAAAAATAGTTCTAATATATTATGTATGCAGGTTTTTTGATACGTGCAGGTTTTCTTAACGTTTGCTGTCACCGTATTAGTATGTGGGAATTGTGTTGAAAAAGATTTATATATAAAAATGTTTCTGGGTGCCAGATTTTAACCCGCTCTACTTAGTTTTACAAATAGGCACGTTATCAATCTTGTCGGCTACCACTGTTGCATGGGTACATTATATACAACCCAAGTTTTTGGGTATACCTAGTACCTAAAATATAAATGTAGGGTGGACTCAATTTTCCGCACTTAAACTCTAAGTTGGTCCGTTGTGCGTCCTGAATCTTGGTTAATCTAGCTAGCCCAGCTCCGCCCTGAAGCGCAGAAGTTACCTGGGAACTTCACAGGCTTCGTGGAGTGACCTCACGATTCAAAGATTTCTTTGCGTTGATGGGCCTCGGATTTCAGGATCACGTGGGTGACTGATTCTTCGGCACTGAAACATACTTTGCGTAGAGGACTATCAGTCCCGCTTGTTTACCTGGTACCTAATGCAGTATTGTGTCATCTCACAATTTTATTTGTTACTTGTACATTATTTATCAAAAGTATATTAAAAGTTACTCGTCTATCTTCTATACATATAATAAAATTCTGTTAATTATTTTTTGGAAAAATATTATGAATCATTCGATAAGATTTTCCGACAAATAATGAAAATATTTTTCGGGAAAATCTTATTGAAATAGTTATTATTTCATCGATACAGAGGCTGAATCGTAGTATTTAGAATGTTTGTCTGTCTGTAACCGCATCACGAGAAAACCACTGGACAGAATTTGATGAAATTTGGTATGGTGATAGCTGGTTATCCTTGTCAATATCTAGGATACTTTTTACTCCGGGAAAATATCTAATCTCTGAGAAATTTATACTAAACGTTAAAACGTAGTCGCATAAAAGTTAAACTAAAACTTTAATAATACTTTCTTAGATTTACGCGAATATTTGACATTTTAAATAAAACTATCTTTTCGGATTTTGTCGCGGATTTATTTGCATTTTTGTTTCCCGACGTTTATATACTATACTATACGTATATATACTATAATAAAAGAGTAGAGGTCGAATGTCTGTACATATCAAAAAATGCTAAAAACCGAGTCAGGGCGATGTAAGAAGACAAATAGAACAAATCCAGATTTTTTTCAATTTTTTTGTTTCTTTGTCTGTTTGTACGGGCTAATCTCCGAATCTATTGGACCGATTTGAATGAAATTTTGCATGATAGTACCTTATATCCCTGGGCAACATCTTAGATACTTTTTATTCCGGAAAATTAAATAGTTCCCGTGGGATAGTTAAAAAACTATAATAACTTATACAGCTTAGTACACAAAAACTATCGATTCGATTTTAATAAAACTTTACAATAATATAGTTCATACATGATAATAACAATTCGGCTACTTTTCATCCCGGAAAATTAAAGGGTTACCGTGGAGCAGTCAAAAAAACTATAGTAACTTATACAGCTTAGTACACAAAAACTACTGATTGGATTTTGAAGAAACTTTACAAGAATATAGGTTGTACATCCGAATAATAAATAACTTACTTTTAATCCCGGAAAAATGTACGGTTCCCGTGGGATAGATGTTTTCGTTTATTTGTAACGTATTATGTACACAACATAGACCCCAAAACAATAGTTATTAAAAAAAATGTCTGTTTGTTTGTCTGTTTTTATATGCGCGTTTCACGCGAAATGTAATGAACCGATTTCAACGAAATTTGGTGAAGCGATAACTTATTACTCGAGTCAACGTTTAGGATACCTTTGTCTTCAAGAAGATCTTTCTTTCTCCGGGAAGATACAATAACTGGTTATAAATATTTTAACGACTCTACATGACTTATACACAACAACTTATGCACCTAATTTAGTAAAATTTAACATTCTGATACCTTATATTGCCGGTCAAACAACAGGTTTCTTTTCATCCCGGAGAAATAAACAGTTCCCGTGGGAACTAATAGATCTCTATTAGTGTTTTATTAGAGGCAAACCCGAGCGAAGCGAGGGTGAGCCGCTAGTATAATAATATAAGTGCCGTTTTATAATTAGAGTACGTACAATAAAACTGTTACAGCAATGCTTTTGGGTAAAATATTTTTCATCCTCGACCTCGTAACTAAATTTTCACCAGATCAGACATCAAGACTCAATGAAACAACAGACACTTCAATACTTATTGTAACTAATTTTTTTCAATACTTTAATAGACTATTGGCAGAAAAAATATATTAAACTTACAACATAATGTTTATGAAGAATTTTTTTTGAAATTATATTTAAGTAGAAAAGATAACTTTTAGTTTTTAAACGATACGTATACTTCTAAAACAATATCAATAAATATCTAAAAAAATAATAATAATAAAAAAAATGATAAATATTAAAACTGTACGTAGAACCTCTAAGCTACACGAGCATTTTCGTAGCCTCTGTAGACCAAACCACTACTACACTTATGCACAAAATTCAAGTGTGATATTTCCATGGTGACGTAACACCTTAGCTACGAAAACACCAGGGTAGCATAAGTTATACTGTAGTATACCGACGCTTATAGTGGAAGTTGAAACCAAACGCGGGCACCCCGCGTAAGTTAGTGTGCGTCAATAGGATAACAGGACAGCGAATAGGTGTAAATAGTTCGCCCTAACTATCACTGGGGTTGAGAGGGTGAGGGCGAGGGTGGTTTAGTATACATAAATCAATTGAAGTGCCGATTTATCCCTATAATATTGAAATAGTGTCTATAATAAGAACTTTGTTAAGTACATTAATTTAGTTCATATGTTATAATGGTAATTAAAATTAATTACGACAAAAAGTATTTGTTAAAAATTATTATTTTTTAATAAAAATGAAATACTTGCACAAATAATAAAAAAAAATTAAATGTGGCACTCGGAGACTGCCGCGGTAAAGCTATTGCATAGCATTTTTTATCAACTTATGCAATTATAATTATTTATTTATTTTATTAATGCAGTATTTTTTTTCCTTGACTTTCTTCATTAATAAATGCACTTTGTTTATTCATATTTAAAACACTTTGTACACAAATTATACGAGTACAGATATTCACTGTTGTACATAGATGATAAATACCTATACACCTATATACTTTCTCACAAACAGCTGATTACGGTAGTTTTCCAATACAACCAATGCCACCTAAAGGCGGGTTGCTGAACTAAAGAGACAAGCGTGATATTCCAAAAAGTCATTAAAAGTTCTGGTATTTATCGAAAGATGGAAAAACTAAAAAGTATCACCGCTGTGCCGGTCGGAGTGGGGGGTGTCAGGTTTTTTTCGTTACGGAATTTCTGGATTCGGTCCCCACAAAACCTAAAAAACCTAAAAAAATACATTATTTAATTAAAAACCAAGTGAGATGTGAGATATGGACTCGAATACTTACACTTTGATATGGTAATAATGATGAGTGAACGGAGGGTGAGGGTAGCGTAGGAAATTGATATCTTTCTGTTACAAGGGGTGTCCTGGTACAAGGGGTCACGAACAAATGCTGACGTGTCACAATCATGTATGTGTATTGTGTAGTACAAAACAGGAACTATTTCTAACAAACAAATAACATTTTAAATAAAACTATCTTTTCGGATTTTGTCGCGGATTTATTTTGATTTTTGGTTCCCGACTTTTCAAATGCTTTACAGCATTCATGGTCTGTAACAACTATACCTTCGAGACATCTAACACCTCAGTCTCTCCCGTGACCATGATTGCTGTAAAGCATTCGAAACGTCGGGAACCAAAAATCAAAATAAATCCGCGAAAAAATCCGAAAAGATAGTTTTATTTAAAATGACAAATATTAGCGTAAATCTAAGAAAGTATTAAACAAAAAAACAATTTTATTGTACATGAAAAAAAAACTTTAAACACCTCATTTTCTAATTGTTTTATTATAATTAACAAACCTTTTTAATTTGGTTTTGGTTTTCGAAATTCAGCAGTACAGTAGTAGTAGTAGTTCTATAGCATATACCTACATTAATTCAAAAACTTAAAATTATCTTCTAAAAACCTTTGGCATTTTATTTGATACGACCTTTTACTGAAAAGATATGACGTAGCCTCCTCAGAGGTCGATTGTACCAGGGCGACATAAGTATGTCATAGTTACTTGAAGAGACAACTACTAGAAAATCACGATTAGGTATATTACGCTATGAAAAATGTAAATTTTGCTTGTATTTTGCATGCAAATACCTATAGTCTATTTTATATGTATACATTTAATATAATAAAATTGTAACTAAGCCTTATCTGTACATTCAATATTTTTTGGAAAATCTTATTGAAATAGATATTATTATCGATACAGAGACCGAATCTAGTTTTTAGAATTTTTGTCTGTCTGTCTGTTACCGCATCATGGAAAAACTACTATAGGGTTTTTGATGAAATTTGGTATCTAGATAGCTGGTTATCCGGGTCAACATATGGGATATCTCATCTCTGAGAAATCTATACTAAACGTTAAAACGTAAGTAGGAACGAACCCGAGCAGAGCGAGGGTAAATGGCATGCCACTTAAACAACAAAAAAATACCATGGTTAATAAAAAGACTTAAAGTGATTAATCGATCTATATAAGTAACGCAAAAGAAATAACTTTATGGGGTAACATTGATCAATGATCAAAGTAAACACGCATAAGTGATCAATGACACCCCGTACAAAATATACTGTAAAAACCAGTGAACTTCAAAGTTATGATTTGCAATAAGTATCGATGTTATAGGTGAATCAACTTCTGTTCCGGTGAATTATGTACATTTGTAATTTGATGTGTTTGCGATACTTAAAGTTGTAGTTTAGAATTTATTCAAGCTCTGAAAATTGCACAAAACTAATACGCACATATTTATATGTTTTTTTACAAATCGGCACGGATCCATCCACTGCGACACAGTGACGAAATGACACCGTAAAAAAATATTAAAGGATGCTTTCAAAATTCGCACAATTTGAGTTTAAAAACGAAACGAACCTTTTATGAAAGTTACCCCGCAAATCAAAGTAACCCTACATTCTACGGCTTTATTTATTCACAATATTTTTTTTATTTTCTTCCCTTATCTAAACATAACATACTATTCGTCTTTCTAATGTTCGTTCTAATAGTAGGTAGCCCTAGAGGGCACAAGTCGAAGAGGCATAAATCAAAAACTTTACAGTCGATTTTGGCCTCTTCAGCTTGTGCAAATCGGCAGATTATTTAATTGCACACTTTTCAGGACGTAATTAGCCCATCATACCTTAATCTGACGGTTTCAAGTATTTCTACGTTATCAAAATATTTTTTTAATAATTTGATCGGCTTCCCTAGACGCACACCTTTATATAGAGGACTTATATTATGGTGAAGGTACTCAACATAGTGCAAGGTATGAGGTATCCCCCCTTATGTGAATCTGCCGCGCATGAGTAACTGCAAAAATTCCCTCTTGGGCTCCCCTACCAGACAAATAATACATTTAACATTATTTCGGTGATCATAGTGAAAACGTCGATTATACCGTCCACGTGATCTTCTTAGATAAGGCTTCATAATAACAGACAGACAAAATACCATGGTTATATACGAGATATTACAAGGCTTCTTCTTAATAGATTTAGAACACAAGAGTAGATCTAATCTTATTGTCTGAAATTATTGGACATTATTATCTAAAAATAACAAATTAGATATTAACGGAACCTCAAAGGGCAATTTCGTATTTAAAGTAATTAATTACTAATTTCTTTTATCTTATTTTTAAATATTACATTAATATTAATATAAAAACAACCTTAACTATTCTCAAATGGACCCCAATACGCAAGCCGGAACCAAACCACACTCAGGTCAAAATTGAGTTAAGTATACAGAAAGCATTCAAAATACACCTTCTATCCACCCTATAAAGATCAAAACGATCTGACAATTTTGACTGAACAAAACATTTTTTCGACAAAGATCCTAACCCACATATCAACAGTTGTACAATAAATTAAAAAGATCCATGCTTCATGGTAACCCAACAATCTGAAAAAACTAGAATTTTTTTTTTTAAAATGAACCAAACCACATGGTCATGATTTGGAAAGATAGAATGTGCCTTAAAACGTCAACAGAGGCTCTACACAGGAATATTATATTCAAATTATGAAAACTTGCAAAAAAAGCAAACCTATGCACGTACACAGAATAAAAAATGAAGACTTCTTGTCATCATTGAATTTAGAAAAAAAAATATAACGAATAGAATAAAAACGATAGGTGGAGAGAAAAATTCATGGCTCAAAACAAAAGAAATAATGCTAAAAAAGGGTGGAATGTACAACTTTTTTTTACGGTGTTCAGTGACAAACGAGCAGACAGACCACCTGATGGAAAGCAGTACGTGTTGCCCATAACACCTACGTTTCATGCACTTAAGTTTGATGTAACAAAAATGCAGACTCGAAGGTGCGTTGTCACTGTGTATATATGCCTCTTGCCTGTAATTGCGCTGGCTACCTTATCCTTTAAACCGGAACACAACAATGTAATCATTGTTACTTGGCGAAAGAAATAGATAAGGGGGTGGCACTCATCCAATCTGACTCCTCAGGCTTGACAGAGTCCTACCACCGGTTATATGAGAGAGTAAAAGATAGTAGATATAGGAAAAAGGACTCGTAGAAATCCTTTAACGAAAAATATAATGAAACCACTTTGGCCAAAAGAAAAACCTGTCCCTGATGCTAAGTTAAACGATTTAAAAAGTGTGCCACACCTGTTTCCCCAAGATTCACACGACTTCTACGTAAGGCTTGTAGGAAATGATGCCATAGAAGACGATCTGGAAGGTCTTTCAGGTCACCCTGATTTTGAAATAGAGGAAGATTAGGTGAAAGTGAATATGTCTCTTCTATGTAAATTACAAAAAAATTTATTTTTGTAGCATTTTTTCAAGTTCAAATTATTAAAACTAAAGTACTTTCTTCTTAAATAAAATTTACAAAAGAAATATGAGCATTTTTCTATTTAAAATTGACAAGTAAAATAGATAAGATTATTAAAATATATAAGTCTTTAATAAGTTAATAAGGAACCAACCCACACATAAGTTTGGGTTGGTTCCATTCATAATGAGTTTTAATAAAAAAAAACCTATCGATGTTAATGTTTTTCTCCAGAATAACATCGATACAGATAGAACTCAGTATGTTGTACAATATTGTAAACAAATTTTGTTTAAAATAACGGTCCAATTTTTTCTTCGCATAATTTACACAAAAAAGCCTTTTTCTCTTAACTATCATTGTGTGGGTTGGTTCCGCCTTGCGTATTGGGGTCCAAATAAAAAATTGTTAGTATTTATGATGTACTTAATTAATATAATGGACTAGTGATCGAATTCCAAAAAAAGTAGTTGGCCGTAGCCTCCTTTTGCTACGAAATTATCGTATGACAAAGACGAACGGAACTGCTACGCCCAATGCTACGATCATCCCTCCTCTTCGTAGCGCTTATTTTGTATACTATCAAAATAAAATATAATAAAAGGAATATATCATAGACTTATCAAATATTCACCAGTGAGAAAATTATTATTGATCAAATAAATAGAAAATTAATAATGTATACATTTTTAATGATTTCATTAGAATAATTTTGTATCATATAACCTTTTTTATGCTTACGATTTTACTATTTATAAAAATTAAGATTGATATCTAAATGGTTATAAAATCTGTAAATTACTTATACTGTAAAGCTGTGTTTGTGTTTTTTTTTTAAATAATAATTATGTTACTGATTGTCTCAGTAGACAATCAGTAAATCGTAGTAATATCCAAAATTTTATTATGTGTGTAATAGAATTAGTGAAATATTATTGAAGTACAAAGCTACCATTAGATAATATGCTTATATTTTGGTGCGGTTATTCCGCTCCGCCCTAGCCCGCCCAAAACACACCGTAGGGCGGCAACAATTTTCCACGGGCGGTAATGCTACCAGGATATCAACGTTTACGAGGAGTATTTTCAAACAATCGGGATTTGTTCGTATACTTTATCTACAATGCACTGAATTGCGTGTGTGAGTACACGCATGCTCTTCAGACCTATTTTCTTTCTCAGTGTAAAACTAATTACTCATAGACGTAGAGCTTTCACACGTAAAATATAATTTTCAGCACTTGTTGCTACTAAATTCCAAAAATATTTTCAAAAAATTCATCATATTTTTATAATAAAATAATCATGAATGTATACCTAATAATATAATATTTTTTTAATATAATTCGCGTATGATTGATTATATCAAAATGTTATATTAAATTTATATTTTTTATTCAACAAGCATACTGACGTATTTGCTGATGTTGGGTTACACCAACATTTTTTATTTCACGTGCTGATATTCACGGCATTTCACGCGGCCGCTGGGATGGGGTATTGAGCTTCGTACGGCGTCGTAGGTCGTGACGCGACGCCAATGACGTCATTCGCTCGGGTGGAGAGTGCGACAGTCGGCCAGGGTAGTCGCCCCCCAGTGAAAGTCGGCGTCAGTACGAACAGTACAGTCAAGTAAAACACACGGCGCGATCTCACATTACCTCTATGTACGCCGAAAATATAACCTATAAACTTTACGCAGCTTTGTATCAGTGGTACTGTGTTAAATGTTGTTATTAAATATTGCAAATGTTTTCATTTAATAAATTATTGTTACAAGTTAATATTTTTATTAGTGACCGGTAAATTAAAGATACCGTAAAATTTTAACACTCATTTATATCTTCGATGAATAATTAAAAATATATTTGACGTACCTACTAAATTAAATATTAAAAATAAATAATATTATGTGGTCTTATATATATGTAGTATTCACTTATTGAAATGAAATAAGCGAACAATTTTATAACGTTATAAGTACTAAATATTACCTATAAAGAGTATTTAAAGGGGCTACGATTCCTGTTAACCCAACAATTTTATTTACAATCTAATTTCAGCGCCAATGCACGAAAGCTGCTAAAAATAGTCGGGGTTCGCGCGCTCGCGTCGCCCGCAACCGGCTCTCGTTTTCACTACTCACACTATTTCTGTCTATAGAAAAGCAATAAGATAATCTATGCGAAGGAAAATAGATGAACTTCTTAGCAGACAATGAGAAAAGTGCGAAAAAAATACTGATAGTCGCAAGGCGACAGTGAACCCAATGTTGTTGTAGTGATTGCAGTGACTTAAAGTTAATTTTTCACGACGCAAAGGCTGAATAGTGAGTAACCCAGTCTTCGAGAATTTGATGTACATTCAATAATTTCAAAGGTAATAAAAGAAAGTTACTATTTTGTTTCCTTTATTTTTTTTATTAGAATACATTACATTGACATACTTTCCTAGTTTGGTTCCCGATGACGACTTCGATGTCAGTGACACAGTGTATCATAATAGAAATCATAAGATTAATATAATTATAAACATAAACCTTTGTTTTTAATTATACTTATTCATAATATCTTTATGACCACAGCTACATATTATATGGTGTAGAAAAATAAATATGCTACTGCTAAACAAATCAGGTCAAATACTTCGTAATCTCGTTAGACCTAAAACTAATAATAAGATTATCTACTGGACACAGACTACATTGTTCAGTCAAACGGGTAGTTTTATTTTCGTTCAGACTTTAGATGGTTGATCGTTTTTTTCCATCTACATTAATATTTTATGTTAATGTTATAGAAACTATTAATTTATTATAATATATCTCTGTAGGTTTTTAAAACTTTACTACCTACTTTAACTCAATAGATAAAACCGACATAGATTTCAATATTCACTTGGTAAAACTTTTGCGGTCATTCCTTGCGCTGTACGCATTTATTTTGTGAAAAGTAGTGCTTTGTGTGTCGGCTGGCACCGACTTCCAAAATATTTGGGTATCTATAGAACATGAAAAGTACCAATCAGTTATTTTTTACTTTTTGGTGTATTTTTTAAGTTCGATTTTATTTTTTTATTAAAAAGTTTTTATTTTTCCCTTTTTAGTGTAGATATCGTAAAACAAAGTAAAAAGAAAGTATTTTTAACTTTAATAAAATATTTGCTAATAAGCCGTTGTTAATTTAGTTTGATCATTGATGCCAATTTTTATATGAAGACTGACCAACTAAGATTCGCTTTTATTAGTAACACAAAAAATTCTGGCTCTAACATCCAATTCTACCGTATTGGGCTTGTCCAATCAAACAAAATAAGCCCAAACTCAAAGTATCTACTACTAGCGACTCGCCATCGCTTCGCTCGGGTTCGTCCCTATCTTGCTTCCCCATACAAACTTTCATCCCATTTTCACCCCCCTTAAATGATTTCCAGGATAAAAAATATTCTAGGTCCTTCCTAGTCTTAAAGTATCTTCTTACCAAATTTCATCTAAATCGGTTCAATACATCCAGAGATCCTCCTTACAACCTCACAAACTCACCAACTTTACCTCTTTATAAAATTAGTATAGATTAGCCGTTGAAGAGTTTCACCTATCTACCTTCTGGCATTACCATCATATCAGGTCAACAATACCGAACCACTGTACTATCAACGGAAATAGAAACACTTGCAAAGTTTCAAGTCAATATGACAATTAGAAGTAGGTTAAATTCATCAGTAGCTATTTTTCCACCCTCAGGGGTGGTATTTTTTTTTTGAAATTTAAATGGGCCCAATCTGGAAGTATACACTTTCAAACAACACAAAAATTGTCCAAATCGGTTAATAAATAACGGAGTTCTGAGGTAGCAAACACAGTCGAATTGAGAACCTCCTCCTTTTTGAAGTCGGTTGAAAATACAGCCGAATTGAGAATCTCCGCCTTTTTGAAGAAATCGGTTGAAAATATAAACGTTTTAGCTATTCATTATTAAAATTAAGTTAACCTATTTATCGAAATAACAAAATAATTTTTGTGAAAAATCTTAATCTTAATACTAACCTTAGAAGACCATGTGTGCGTTGAATGTTTCGAATGTCTTTTTTTTTATAAACGATATAAAAATCAAAATTTTAAACTATTATGAAGGTATATTATAATACCAATATAATATATTATAATTTGGTATACCAAATAACACTTAACATGCTCCTTACAATAAATTAAGAGAAAACGAGTTATGGAAGGTAGACCAAGAATTGCAACATAGTAAAGTGTAAAAAAGGCAGTGGTAGCTTGGGTCGCTTGGGAAACCGAGTGATGCGGGTTCAAATCCCGTGTCTCGCACCTCTATTATTTTCATGTGCGAATCATTTCCAACATGATTACCACTTGTCTTTCGGTGAAGGAAAACATCGTGAGGAAACCTGCATGTCTGAGAGAACCTAGTTTTCGAAAGACATGTGAAGTTCGCCAACCCGCACTAGGCCAGCGTGGTGGACTATGGCCTGATCCCCCTCGTATTGAGAGACCCGTGCCGAGCAGTGTGACGTCAAAAAGGATTGAAAACGAAGCGTAAACTTAAATAGGTCGACCTCATGAGATTTATTTACTATCTAAACCTAACCACAATTCTAATATTGTTATTAATATTATTTTTTATATTCCGTGGCTTCCGTGCCCCGCAATCCAGACTTAAAACGTATCTATTAACTCTGCGCGTAGATTGCGTCTTATGACGAAGGTAATTCGACCTACTGACAAGAAACAGACAACAGATTTAATGTTAAATCTGTTTTGACCTTGAATAGAAAAATAGGCTAGATAAGAAAAACATTAAAAAAACTTATAGTAATAATTAAATGTTAAAGTAAATTTAGGAAATATTAGAAAGTTGTAAGTAGTGAATAACTTCTTATTCATGTAACTTTCGCAGTTGTAATCTATGATAGATTGTTATGATGTTTTGATTCAAGACCTAATAAGTTACCTATATAATTTTTTTACACTGAGCCATCTCTTCTAATAAATAAATGAAAAAATATTGACTAAAATCATTTATTTTAAAACTCAACAAAACAAACAACAAATGTATACATGTGGAAATAGAATTTTACTTATAAAATATTTTTAAACATCACAAAAAGTTTCTATTTGGCATAACATTTAAATTACATTTGTACTAAAAATACAAAACAAAATCATTTTAAACTCCTTTCATAAAAATACATTATATTGTGCTTATTCAGGCAAGATACTGTATAAAGTGATCTTAAAATTACATGGCTAATATTTAAAACTTATTTTCTTTGAATAAAATAAAATAAACTAAATTGAACTCTTAACACCATGTATATCATATACACATTTTCCATAGAAATATATTTCAGATATAAAATAATTTAACAATAAAAATATAACACTCCACCCTTAACCTAAAAAAAATAAGATTAAACCCTTCTAAATTTATATGCTATTTGTGTTTTAAATATTTAAATTAAAAATCAATGTAAGGCACTACTGTATTAAATTATTGTCTGCTGTAAAGTTATTCTTTGTGGTAAAAAAAGTCAAATACACTACATTATGATGTATAATTAACATTTGAAAAATATTCAATAATGAAATATATATTTATTGCAGTTGCCATTATTAAACATACAAAATTTGTTATTATAAATAATAAAATCAATACTAGGCAAAAGATATGACTAGAATATAATATGATATGCCAATTTTAACTCATGGTTAACTTAATACCAAGAGATATAATTGACTGTATAATAAAAATATAAAAAGATATAACAGTATCAAATTAATCACTTACACTACTATTAATAGGTACTTATATAATTTTAAGTTGCTATAATTGTAAGTACAAAAATAAGGGGTGTAAAATTGGAAGACTGTTTGAATTTATGATTTGTGTATAAAATGTAAAATCAAAGTTCCAAAAAGATGATTATAACCAAATTAGTTTTATAACATCCAGTTACTGATTCTATTGCACATGAGCAATGACCCTCACAAAGATTTATTTTTGTGCTGCAGCCAAAAATAGCATAATATAAACCACCAATAAAAAACATCCAAACTATACTATGATTTTTGAAAAATAGAATCTAGATAGGCTGTTATTTTTGGCCATATTTCATCTGATGTGCGTCCTTCAAATTCTTTCAATATACCTTTCTGTTTATAAAAATTGATTACTGGCCTTGTCACACTTTCATATATTTCAAGTCTTTTTTGAACAGCTTCAGGTTTGTCATCAGGACGCTGAATCAATTGTTCCCCAGTAACATCATCTTTGCCCATTACTTTTGGTGTATTAAATCCAATATTATAAACTCTTCCTGAAGGTAAATGAACCCAGCGATTTTTTACTCTATCAATAATTACCTCAAATGGCACAACTAAGTTTAAAACAACATCTACTGGTTGTACTTGCCATAGAGCATTGGCCTGAGCTACTGTTCTAGGAAATCCATCTAAGAGCCAAGATTTACTTTCCACTTTCTTTAACTCCGAAGTCATAAACTTAATCATTACGTCATCAGGAACAAGTTTTCCTTCATTAATGTATTTTTTTACTTCTTTACCTAATTCTGTTTGTTTCTCAATATGATCTCTCAACTTGTCTCCACTGGACACATGCTCCACATTATATTTTTTAACTATTCTTGATGAGATTGTGCCCTTTCCCGATGCTGGTGCACCTAATATTAAAGTCTTTAATATCTTGTCTATAATAGTCATTTTCGTTTGATTACTTTAATCGACCTTTGCCTCGCGTACTTTGATACGCTGAACGCTAATATATTACGCTACTATCTAACTTGGCCTCGTCTATATCCGGGCAAATGAATTGAAACCGGCTTATAATATTTTTTGCAGGCAAATATCTAAGTCATTTTGTCAGTAATATTTAAAAAAATACCTTATCAATCCAGATAAGTAGATACGCACTTTTGTACCTATGTAAATAAAAAAATCTTAATCACAATACATCAAAGTGGTTCTAAATAATTGGGGGGCATAATATTTATGAATATTTTCTTAAATATCTGTTAAATAAATAAGTCACTTAAAATAAATAGAAAAATAACTTTATAAACAACATTGTAAACACAAGTATTGAAGTCTACTGTCAGACTGCTCGTGCTATGCGCAACTGACTTATTTTAGTATTGTCATTGTCAAACTTTGGGCACGTTCACGTAACGCGACAAACATTTTACTTTTAGTATCATTCCGTTTAGATTTCTTACATTATAATAAAATTACTATAAAATAATTTTAGTTATTATTTTTTAAGTTATCTGTTACAAATTAACGTTCATACTTTTAGTTGAAAAACATTCAAAGATGTAATTACTTATTATTGTGTATTTTGTTACTTAGTGTATCGGTCCTTACAGCTATAATTATTTATATCATAACATTTTCTAATAGGCATGTATGTTAATCGACGTATAAAAAATAATAGTAATAATATTTGGTAATGTAAATGTGAAGGAATGAGTATACTATGAGATGTAGGTATATTCATTGTAAGCAATAATCTTTTTGCTTTTTACTATTTACTATTTAGACCAAATAAATATTGGGTCATATATATATTCATTAAGCTGAATAAAATAAGCCTTAGATATAATAATTATTCTAAACGATATTGTAACTATATTTTCTAAAATACTATGACGTACCTTCTGTAGGTAAATTGCAGTATTTTTCTGTTTAATAAATTCATTATTTCTAAAACCTCCTAATGTTTAGCCGTAGGGCGTTAACTATGTAAATGACTTTTTTTTGACAGAACACCGTCATACTTTGTACATTTTTTCCAATATAAACACACACCTTCGTTTATCACTTCTATTAGTGAAATCGTATTAAAATCCGTTGCGTGGAATAAAAGAAGTAAGCTAAGAAACAGACAGACGCAGACAGCGTCTTTGTTTTAAACTATACCATAGATTAACTAATAGTTCCTTACACTATACTAGCAAAACCTGCGACTTCACCCATGCTCTATCTACAAAAAGTAGCCTGTGGCTTTATCTTATAATGACTCACACTCGCTTCGCTCGGGTTCATACCTTTGTATTTATTATATAACATATATAGTTTTACAATCATGTATGGAAGTCTGCCCGATTTGTTAACATTTATGAATTATGATTACTGCTCCGCTCCCTTGAGTAACGGGCTATCTAATGAAAATGATTTTTTTAAATCGAATTAGTAGTTCCTGAGATTAGCGCGTTCAAATAAACAAACAAACTCCGCCTCTTTACAATATAAATATAGATTTTGTATTTCCTATTAAATTCGAGAGATTGTATCACACAAAATTGTTATATATCTTAATTTCTAACATATTTTACATTTTTATTTTGGCAACTAATAGCTACGTTAGAAGTTTTAGCGCTTTAGTCGTTAAGTCTATATAGGCGTAAGGCGAAACATCTGTAAATCCAATTTCAGATCTCATAAAATTCAAAATCCTAGTTATTTACTTTATTTTTAAACTACTTTTTTTTCAATTAAGTACATGTATAATCTAATATAATAAATTTCGTCTTAATCTTCCCAGAATGGCGCTTGTGATGTTACCTTGTGACCTGCCATGGTGGACTTCAGTGCAGCGCCACTTAAAGCATCTGTTAGTCGCTTCTTCACCAGCGAAATTGGCAGGCAGTATGTTAAAAATCCACGACATGTGCAAGTAAGCTAAACTTATAACTGAATAAAAATCATTTCACATTTGTGCATAAGAGGTCCAAGAAGATGTACCTATATGGAATTATTAATAAAGAAATATAAGTAAAAAAAATAATGAAAGCATGCGCTATCGATACATAATAGAATAATATCCTCGTGTTCGATTTCGTTCACAGCGTCCAAATTCAATAAGATTAACCATATTATATGTATAAAACTTTACAGTGTACAGCCAGATTAAATAGTATATAAATGTATATGCGATCACAAGGGCGCTTTTTATTCTTTTCCCTCAAAGTCACTTAGTTAATTGAAAAGAACGACAACACAACCCTCTCCCATACTCCTTTCCGGTACCAACCGGCTTTATGAGATATCGAAGGTACGAGTGTAACATGAAAACTTTTCAACTCCGGGCTATTATCGAGATTTTTTTTATTAAGTCTTTTTTAACAGAAAAAGACTTAATAGGTACTTAGCCTGACCTATGAACGCAAGCCACTAGACCAACTGCGTGTGTATGCACGTACACACACACTGTACATGCTAATGATATTTATCCGTCAAAATAATAACAAGTTTTTTTATCAAAAGAAATTAAAGCCTCATTTTGTAATTTTAGCATAGGAATAGATCCAGATGACGATATTAAAGATCCAGAGCTCATGAAAGGTTTAGAACAGTTTCTAAATGACGAAATATCCGACGAGGATCGAAGAAATTTTCTGGATAACACTATTCGAATTATGGTCAACAGAGCATTGCATCTCAAAAAATGGCGACCACCGAAAGGACTTATTTTTAGTTTACAGCAACAGAGTAAGCAATTCAGATTTAAAACACATCAAAATATACATAAATTCAAAAAATATACATGCATTAAATGAAATTAATATTAACAGTATTAATCAATAGATATCTACTTAAATTGTTTTCCTTTTAGGTGATGTGACTGAACTCGACTATAATTTTCTTTCGTCGCTCGTTGCACATGCATTCTTTTCTACTTTTCCCAAACGGACGCTCAAAACACATCCAACATTGCAAGACTTTAACTTTTCGCATTTTTTTAAGAATTTACACAGGTAGTTTAATCAAAATATTTAAATACCTTGATAATTTGAAGTAAATGGTTACTTAAGGTACCTACCTACAAAGCTAAAAATAAACAAAACATTCTAATTTTCTAAATAATATTCCTATTACAGAAAATCTCAAAGAAATAAATTAAAAAGCTTGCTTCATTACTTTGAATGGTTGGACAAGAATAGCAACGAAGGATCTATTAAATTAAGTAGACAGGTAAAAACATAAATCGTACTAGACTCACTATATTGTTTTACAAAAGTAAAACAATATAGGTATAGCACTATAATTACCTATGACCCTTGTAACTTATGTAAATAAAACCGCGCCAACAACATAACTTTAAAAATTGAACCAACATTAAAATCTATTTGTTTTTTAACCCAATTGATATGTCGAATCCATTAGTAAAAGTACATACTGCAATTGGCACTATACCAGCTTTACCATCAAGCAATTGCCATATTTCCACTCGATGTTAATTTGTATGAGCTGTTAGTTTCGGAATTACGATCCAAGAATATAAATCGGAATCCTGAATATTAATTTTGTGTGAAAGTAATGACGATGATTTTATTATCGCACTTAACTAAAAAGTAATGTGTTAATGGATTTCGTTTCTGCCTGTATCGATATTAAATCGTGACAAATATCTGCACGTTCATATTAAGCTAAACAAGTTTTTCCAATTTTCAAGGTTATGTCTTCGAAACAGTGGCTGACAATAGAGGATTGGTTGGAATGTACGCTGCCTTTATGTAGACTGCTAGTAAGACACGAAGGTCGGCCTGAAAGGTGTGAAAATGATGACGCTCTGAGAGTCTGTTTTGCATCTAGTCGCATTGGTGGTGATGTACTCGTTGACGGAGAATCACAAGTAAACCTACCGTATTTCTTAAATAACACTATTAAGAAAACATTATTTTTCTTATTTAATAAATCTCAAACTTGATAAAGTAACTGGAATAAAAAAATAAAAAAATGTATAATTTTAGGAATCTTTAACAATGTTCATGATGCCAGAACTTTTACCCGCGATGCTCTCCGTTGAGGCACTCGAAGACAATGAAGTTTTAAAAGTAGAAGGTGTTCGAATGTTCAGCAGAATTAGTGACAAAAGGCAAAAAAATCATATAGAACTGTTAGACGAACCTAAAACGGTAAGTCATCATTTGACATTATTCAAAAAGGTATACAATAATTAATTAATCACGCAGGAAAGATTAAATAAATTAAATCTAGATACTAACATTTCACTAAAGTAGAATTTCATAAAATAAATTGTAAAAAATTAACATAAATGTCTTTCAGGTAACATTATGTCTAATGGATGCAGAAGATTACAGTGCATTACCATTAGGTCAATGGGAAGAAGATAACATACTTCGAGAACTAAATAAAAGTCTATTGGCCTTTCAGCAAACTCCTATGAAAGGTCGTGATAATCAGAAACATGAACGACGACTGTCGCCAATTGGTAACTTATTAATAAAAAACAAAACAAAATATAAATATACAAATGCATTATAAATATTTAAAAAATTCTGCATCATATAATTCGTTCTTTTTTTGGGTTAACAAAAATGAATTTAAAATTATATAATGCGCTTTACCTATTTATTACATAATCAGGTAATATTTTTTTATTTTAAGGTGAATCATTCTGTCAAACGCCACCAGAAGTGGAAACAACAGTTATGATCAAGCAAGCGTCATCTTCGAGTACAATAAATAGTATAAGCAGCAGAAGTCCCTCTCCTCAGAACTACAGCGCCGCAGCCCTGAACCTCAGTGATCCGAGTGAGCGATAGGATTAATATACTCCAACATTCACAAAAACTAAGATTAAATAAATGTGCTTATTACTTTATTTAATTGTCAAATATGCTTTTAAACAAAACATAACTTCCACAAAATAAAATGAGCACTAAAGATGTCTAACTTGGTCTTAAGTTACAAAATTGGCAAATAATTTGTAGGTGTTGAATTACAAAAACGTAAATGCTGGCTCTCACCTGATGCTGGAACTCTAAACAATCGCAGAGGAAGGTTTATAGTTCTTGGCTCTTCTGGGGAGTGTCTCCCGGTTAAAAGAACATCTGCTCATCCAAATCTAGATACGCAAGAAGATAGCCTGTATTCAAGTTGCAATTCAAGTGACGATGAATTCCACAGTGCCAATGATAGCTTTGATTACGGTAAGAAGTTCAAAATATAAATCGATTTATTAAATTTCATAGTAGGCAGTTACAATTTTTATAATTGATTTACTAAATTAAAATTATTAAATGCCGACCTTTTTTCGCAAAGAATATTCGGCAAGAATAAAAATATATAGAAAGCTAATATTCAATATTAACCATACTTTCAAATTAGGTAGCGAAGATGAAGGAAGAGGGGAAAGTGCGCGACCAAATTCATTCCAATACTCAAAAGAACTATCGACAGAAGAGAGAAGAATATGTTTTGCGGATAGATTACGGGAAGCGTTACGTAGAGAAGCTGAAAACTCCTGCACTACGAGTACTACTGGTGACTGGTCCACTGACAGTTCGAGTTATGCGGTCGGCATTAGCATATCCGGAGCTGAAGTGAACGATAACGACATCAGGTACATTACTTTAAATACGATTAAATAGTTTTCAGACCAACCTAAGCTTAGGATAAACTACAGTATAAAGTCTAGAAGTCTAAAATACAAACTAAAGTCTAACCACGAGCTCTGTACCGCGCCTTGGGTGTCGACATACGTTTATCATATTGCATAATGGTTCTCACAGTACTGGTTTAAGTAAAATGATATTTATCTATTTCTTTGTCACGAAAATGTTCGGTCATATTAAATAATAATTTTGACATGAAATTATAAAGCCCGAGCTCATATTTCTATCACTCATATTACATGAAGTAGATAAATATCGACGTCAAATTGCCAGTTGAGAGTAGACTGCCACCAAGCTATCACCAAGTTGCGGTATATGTAACATTTGACGTCACGCATAGTTTTGCCCAGGCCTTGCTAGATTTTCTTATACGCAGTATAACAAAGTATTTAATTCTATGCTAAAAATTTATCATAAACCCGATAGGAAAAGTTAACAGATATATTGATTTGGTCCTTCGAGCCGGATGTTGTATTTTTTGTAGGGTAAAGCGAGGCGGCTCCGTTGGCTTTGTATTGACAGAAAAAGAAACTACCGAAAATGAGAACAGGTCTCCGCGACTGTCGAGAAAAGAAACAGGAAACAGTTCTAAGTACAGTTTTAGTACTGAATATACGTATGTATTTTATGATGATTTGATTGTAATAAAACTATTACAAGGTGAGTGATTCTCATATTTATTTTATTATTTTTCAGTTCAGAATTAGACGAGGTTTATGAGCAATTTAATCAGTGGCTAAACGATCCAATTATAGATAACGATAACGAAAATAAAAATAGGGAACTGGACTCTCGAGATTTAGCTGTGATAAGGTTAATTTATATTTTATTTATGGTTTCATTTAATGATATAAATATTTATTGAGTTTAATTTTATTCATAATTTTTAATATATAAATACCTATTATGTTTTATAATCTAATTGTTTAATTTCTATTATGTTAAAAGTTATTTTTCGTATAAATTGTTTTATGTATTTTCAGTATCCAAAATTGTACATTGGCTGACTAGCATACATTTAAGGCAAATATCACTTTAAGAATAATTTATCACATTTCAGATTCGCCGGTTCTCTGTTAAAGCGGACACTTAGCGAGTCGATGGCGAGTGGCGTGGGCGGCGCGGGCGCGGAGGCGGCCGAGCTGTACGGGCGGGACTCGCGAGAGAGGATCGCGCCGCGCCGTCTCGCTCTCGCCGCTCGCTCCCTCTCGCTCGAACTTGCGCGACATCGCCACCGTCTCGCTGCGCATTTGGTATGCACGATCCTCGTTTTTTTATCAATCTCGCACTACATTGAATGATATTATACAAAATATATATGCTCAATACGATGTTCTTATTTGTGCATAATTATCTTTATAGAGTGTTGTATTGGCCATTGAGTTCAACTAAGTATCGATATAGGTTCAATGAAGTGCTCGTATATAGGCACGAAAGTGTTAATTGCATTAATGCTTTTTAGGCTAAACCAGGGTTTTATACTATAAGTTGTTATATTTTTTAAATATAATATATTAGATAAGTACAATTTAAAATAGAATATTACAAACATTTAATTTATTTTTCATCAACAAATATGGTATTTTGTTATTATTAGTTGTTAAAATCCTGGCTTAATAACTAATTAGATCTGTAGACATCTAGATTTTGGCCACGGTGTGCTTTTGTTTCACGTCTGTGTTAACTGATAAGACATAATTTAAGTGTACAACAAAGGATACTATACCTACTTATAAGAAAATCAAAGTTTATACTTATTATCCAGAAGTAACTTTAAATATAAATAGATATATAGGTATCTTACATTGAAGAACGTATATTAAATTAATGTATTTAAATAATATTTTTAAATTTTCAAACCTTGGATCGGAACAATATTGACACGATACAATATTTTGACAGAAACGTAAAGTAAAAGAATCAATACCTGAAGAAAATATAGATAAAACGAGTATAAAGAGCAATAAAGATGAAAATAGTTCTGATGGTAGCGAATCGAGGTCCTTCAATTCTTCTACCGACACTTGTTCCACACAGAAATCGAACCCCGCAATGAGAAAGAAAAAGCTAAACTGGGTCGTTAACATGATCGTTGAAACTATTGAGGAAACAGTCGAATGTGAACCTGTGACTCTTAAAATAAATAAACCAAAGGTTAGACGTCGTCTTGCCTGTCGCTAATTCTCAATCTAAATTGAATCTTAAAATAATACTAACAAATAAACATAGCTTGTACTTGCACTTGTTTGCTTGTTCTCTTTTCGTTGTGTGGCATCAAGCATGATTAAATATATATTGCAGTATATTTAAAACAATGCACATAATTAAGCTAGCTGAAACGAGTCTTAAAAAAAACATTGATATAAGTATTGCGTGTGTGGTGCACGTTTGAATTATACCTAATCGTATTTCAGTCCAGCTCATACTTTATTTATACTTTACTATTATAACATTTTATTATTTTTGAAAGCTATTGAATATTTCGACACGTTTGGCTCAGTTTGTACTGACCCTACTTGCTGTGCCAGCGGTCGCGGGTTCGAGTCCCGCTGGGGGCATTCATTTGTGTGATGACGAATGTTTGTACTCCAGTCATGGGTGTTTATATTTATAATATGTATGTATTTAAAGTTATATATGTGTAGTGTATCAACTATCTGGTATCCATAACACAAGCCTCGTAGCTTACCATGGAACTAGATGGCGCTGTGTGTTAATGTCCCAACATATTTATTTATTTATTCGAAATAACATACTGATGATTGTATGTGTTCAATAAAGGAATAACGTTGATAAAGCAGGTAGATACACAATTTCGAAAACTTTCGGAACTACTAAATATATTTTTAAGCAATTTGTTAAAAGATAAATACCTAATTTAAAAGTATAAAAATTGAATAAAGTATTTTTTTAAATATGTCATCTCAGATGCCTACTATGCTCTCTTGGTAAGCTTACATCGTACATGAATTTTCAGTTACTTCATGGTCATTATTTTATATTATTATTTTTATCAACATTGGGTTTAAAATCGAATGTCATGCGAGTTTACATTTTTATATTGTCACTAGCATTACCCACAGCTCCGCCCGCGTTCAGATGACCAAAAAGCAAATAAATTCTTAGGCTTTACATATTAGTATACTCTTACAGTGCAGTTTTTGTATTTTTTCTCAGAAATGAGATCTTTTCCCGCGGTAAAAAGTATCCTATATGTTGACCCGGACAACCAGCTATCAACATACCAAATTTCATCAAAATCCCTTCAGTAGTTTTTCTGTGATGCGGTAACAGACAGACAGACAATAATTCTAAAAAGTATAGATTCGGCCTCTGTATCGATAATAATGTCTATTTCAATAAGATTTTCCAAAATTTTTTAATGTAGGTACAGATTCGGCTTAGTTACAATTTTATTATAGGTATGTATAGAAAATAAATTTAAACAAGAAAAGACCAAAATATGAAGCCAAAAATTCTTAAACTACCTATTGTTTTTAAAATTGTACATTTTCATATTACATAATTAAGTAAAAAAATCATACATTATTTATAGTCATATTTTTTCAGTTAAATCAACTAGCTCACAAAATAGTGACTGGTGGTTCGTGTCGGCCGGTCGCCACCGGCAACTGGGGGTGCGGGAGGCGGCAACGCGGCCACCCGCAGCTCAAGCTGGTGTTGCAGTGGCTCGCCGCGAGCGTCGCTGGCGTACCTGCGCTGTTATATTATACATTTGGAAATGAAAAATTATTTAAGGTATACCCGATTTAATTACGGTTATATGATTTACTAACGATTCCCTCGTTACTCTGGGATCGTCCCTGTGTTTTACCCGACTGAGGCGAAGTTCAAAAGAGTGTTGTGTCTGACCTATATGTATGTCCGATCCTATGTGCCATGTACAATAAATCAAAATGGCGAATTTCAAGCAAGTAACAAATATACACACAGAACATTGGTACTAACTTTCGAATATATAATAGATTGTAATAAATAATAATCAAGAAATCCAAAACCTTACGCTAAATATAAAAAAATATGACTCGCTTATTTATGATCCCTTTTCAGATATCTCCTCAAAAGCAAATTCTAAAAATTATGTGATAATTTAGTCTCGTGTCACAAGCGAGGCTATCATGTATGTTCAAGGGCGGTAGTCGGTACGTTTATCACCAACAAACTGCGAACCTGATATTTTCGATCAATTAATTATTGCCGTATGAGTTACCAATTTCTAGTAGTCATTCTAGTATATAACGGTTGAAGATAATTGGTTTTAGGGTCCTGAATCGAATCAGAATTACAATAAAATGACTTCCTATTCGATCCAAATATTCTAAAAATTTATAAAAAGAATTATAGGGATAATAACATTTCCCTATTAGCAGTTATCCGAAATAATGAAAGACGCATACTGATTATTTTAACGTGTGTGCGATTTTTTAAAATACAATCTACATACTCAATAGTGATTTTATCGATCCAATATTAGTTCAATAATATGTTGATGAATAGAATTTGCTTATATTACCGCCAGTACTTTTTAGATTATAATTTGAAATGATAATTTGTTAATGCCAACATTTTCAGCTGGACACATTAGTGAGAGTTCTAACGGACAGGAAGTGGACGGTGGGGCAACTCGCGCGAGCAGTGCTGAAGTTCGCGCGGCAAACACTTCACGAACCGCACGTTATTCCTGACAACCATTCGCTCTTCGACGAACTAATCGGCATCGAAAAAATTCCGGACAATTTTTAAATATAATTTTCATGTCTTTATTTATGTTTGTTTATATTACAAATGACGTACCTATTTATTATTCTTAATATTTTTTAACTATTCGTTTTATTTTAACACTTTTTCAAATTACTGAGATACCGAATGGTCACTTTTGTAAATAATTGTTTTTTCCATAGAAGTATCAATTTTATTCACTGAGCTCAATATAACGGAAACCATTTTTTGGTGCATTTATTATTTCAAATAGTATATCTGAATCATGTTGATCTATGGATTATGATACTAATTGATTGTGATTATGGCAGCTGTGCTTATTTATACGATGTTTGTGCAATTTGGAGTAGTATTAATATAGAACCACATTAAAGCAATATTATAAAAGGAATTCGAATTAAATATTTTTGTACAAATTAATAAGTACAATGCGTGTAACGATTTATATTATAAGATTTTTATGAAATTATTAAAATGTAAAAAAACTATAAATAAACATTTAACATGTATTTAAAACTAATATTACGATAATGTTTATTCATTTTCATTTTGATGTTATACTTATTTTGCGAAGTATAATTTAATTTTCACGTGAGAATGATTATCGCGAGTGTCACAGCTTTTATATTAAAAAAATATTCATTATTCAGTCACATTAAAAATAAAAATGTCATAATATTACACGGTAATATTTATTTATTGTTTCTAAGTTAACATTCGTTTTTAAAGTTGCCATGTTATATTATGCCACCTGAACGGACACTTTTTTAGTTTTATCAGAATATGATATCCATTCTCGTTATACAGATCGTTATATTAAAAAGGTCTTCCATAGTATGAATCTCAATGTGTCCAAAGTTTGTTAATTTTGTGTAATTCATTAAAATAACCAACCATGATGATGCTAATAAAATTATTGCGTCAAATTTATTTTCATTGCCCTTCCTAATTTTAAGTTTACTCTTTAGTTTCGAATGCATATATAATAAGTATATACTTTATGCGATATAAAGCAATTGAAGTTTCATTTGGAACTATTTTATATTTATTATTTTTGAATAGGTCGAATGCTGCAATTTGAATTAGAACAATTTCCCCATAGCCTACAGAGTTGAAATTTTACATGTTAGGTCAGTTACGATGACAATGACTTTTTATGATATCTTGTCATCGCCCCGTGGTTGAAAATCAACCATAATTCATGGTTTGATCGATATTGAGGTATTTTTTGAAAGTTATATGGATAGCCTATAAATCCAAAAACGTTTTGAAACGGGCCCGTAGATTCAGAGATTTGCACGTACAGACAAACAAACTTTTCATCTTTACGTTATGTAAGTACTCGTATAATATTGATCAATCTTTTAGCAATGAAGTATAATTATCTATACATATAATAAAATTGTAACAAAGCCGAATCTGTACATTAAATATTTTTTGGAAAATCTAATTGAAGTAGTTATTATTATCGATACAGAGGCCGAATCTATAGTTTTTAGAATTTTTGTCTGTCTGTATGCTAGTATATAAATAAAATGCGCGAGCGGATTCGCGGTTAAAAGAAATCAATAAATTTTGGCTTTCTGCAGTCTTTCTCTATATAAACTTTAACAAAGCTCATCCTTCTACGTACGTGCAATATCCTTAAAAAGGGGTTCAAAGTTTTTGCTTCACGTGACTTTACGATAAAGCGCATTATGCGGCATAATGCGCTTTAGTGCTCTAATTGAAAACAGGGAGAGTCAGTTATGTATTTTTATGTTACATTTAAATTGTTTAATATGATTCTTTCGTAACGATAAAAATCATGCATCAATATTATGAAACTCATAGGTATATAATTACAGGTTTGAGAATATTTATGTCTAAAACCTGTGGCTCTTACGGTTTAAAACTAAATGGCAGGTACACAAAATAAATAAAATAATCGATTTAGATATTATTTATTAACTATACAATTTCAGTCGTTGATGTCGATAACATCTTATAAATGTTAACTTTCGTATTCATAAGCAAATGTGCAAACTTATATATTTATTACTGCTGGTAAAAGAGATTCTGCTTATAATATGAGACTAGCGTAGAGTAGCCTTAAGACAATTATAAGGCAAAAATTAGTTACTATACTAATGGCCTTATGTACACAACTTCAACATTATGCAAAAGTATGAAAAAAATAACTTTATGCATCATTACAAAATCGTAAGGTAAATAAGTATCGCCTGAAGGGGTGTGTGTAGCTATGCCAATGCAATAATGCGGTCGCATGGGCCCCTGATTCCAGGAGGCCCTAGTGGGCCACAAACGATTCTTTTATTTCAAAATATTTTTCGAGGACGGCCCTTAAAGAAGTTTAAAAAACCGCAGGAAAAACTGTCCTAGATTTCCGCATATTATTTCAAAATAGGCAAAGGGGGGCACTCATTTTTTTTTGCATTGAGACCCAAAAAGGCTAGTTATGCTACTGATCGATATTTAATATAATTATTTACCGATTTCTGACTATAATTTGTATATTTCTACGGCACATTTACTTAAGCATACACATTAGTTCTTCTTTAGCATCAAAATGTATATTATAAGATGTTTAATACATTCTAAAATTAAGGGCAACGTCATTTAGAGGGCTCTTTAGATGCAGATGTTGATCGTATAGGCAATTAGGTTCATATAATTAAATGACACATTCAAATTTAAATCGGGAATAGAACAATGGAAAATAATTTGGATACAATTACAGATAAAAAATCAGACAAATATAAGGACAATCTTCCATACATCCTATGCCACACAGCCTATGATTAGGTTGGTTCCTATTAGTTAATAAATTTAATTAAAATAAGAGTAAATACTCTATTTAATATAATAATTATTATAAAATATGCAACTGTTAAAATTATCAAACTAAATACGTGTATCACATATATATAAAAATATTTTTCAATTGATATTTAAACCCATTGATATACTAAAACTCAAGATACACAATGAGCGTTTTAAGTGTCCTCAAAAAACCGTACAATTCGAAATTTGTGTTTAGACAATTAGAACTTTCGATTTCTGAATTATTTATCCTTTGGTTTAACGCCAAATTTCGATTTTAATAGCTTCGAATTAATGTCCATGCCACTTTTTGAAGAGATATTTAATAGGAAAATGTGTATCTATGTTTTTATACTATATCAATGCCTAAACCACTTATATTTTTAATTAAGCCTATTTAACTAATGGAAACTAACCCAAATGTAATATTTAAACATTAACGTCCACCCTAAAAGAATATTCCCCTCATACGGCGCCCCATGCCCTGCCTGTCGTACAGAACATTGAACCGGTTGACAAGCTGGTTAATGGCGTTGCATCCCTTCGTAATCGTACCCAAGTAGGTCATAAGCGCCACATCATTGCATTGCTGAAATTAAAAAAAATACATACAGACAAACATAGAACCTCCTCCTTTTTTAAATCGAAGTTAATAAAAGTAATCATTGAAGTTTTTTACTTATAAAAAAATGAAGTATATATTGGAAAATAAATAACAAAATTCAATTACTAAGAAAAATATTTTGTTCGAATTAATAGAAAATATATTGATATATAGAATGTAGGCTACTTGTCATGAATGAAAAAGGCTTTACGCTGAATCCAGGAGAGACGAAACGTCGCTTTTCTGATTTTAACAGGACTTCTACAGGCGAATAGACGACATAAGCTATATTTTTAGCCGCAGTTAGCGCTCAGAGACGCAGTTAAGATTTGAAAATAAATACACTCGTAAGTGCATAGTGCTAACTCAACTTTTTCTGTTTTTGCTAGGCTTTAGACAACAAACACAACACAACAAGATTAGACTATAAATGAATTCCATTCCTTTCTGTTATTACCTTAAAATCTAATTATTCAGAAATATCAATAATTTATCTCTAAAATCGATCAAAAATTAATAAAACATCGATAAATTCAAAAAATAATAAAATTATCTCTCGGGACCACAAAACATAAATTTCTCGGAAACGGCTAAATATTTCAATTTCTTTTTTTTTTTTGTTATTACATGTATTTCGAAGATTACTTTCCCCTAATTTCACCGAAATCAAAACATTTTTGCAGAGATTAAAAATAAAAATATTATAAGAAAAATAACAAGAAAAAATTAAAAAATAGGTTTTGTTGCAAATATTTGGAAACTTTGAGGTTATTGTAAAAAGTGTCATCTATAAAAGATGTAGATTTTAAGTAAACTTTTGTACAGAACATTTTTCGATAGGACGTCACAGAAGGTCGGAAATTGAAAAAAAAACGAATTTTCAACGTTTTTCATCTCCCCATTTTTCGGGGGTAGCTGGACATCGGGGGCATTTTACGGATTTTTGCTCCTGCTAACTTTTTAAAATCAAGGCTTTATGTTTTTTGTTCCCATACCGGATCCGATATATATACCGGACTATAGTTTCAGTTACGGATATTACATATCATTTAAATTGTAAAAGGAAAATTTAAAATAGGTAGGTAATGTTTTGACTTCTTTTGTATGTTATCATTAAGTACTACAATATAACTGACTAATATAAACACACCGGCATATTTAGCGGAACATAAAATAAAGGTTTGATATCAGTATCATATAAGGTTGCTGGCTGGTTTATACGTCATTTAATTTAAAAAGAAATATTTTCAAATTAAGAAAACAACTGAACATCACATTTTATGCAATTGTTTTAATTTTATTCAAATACACCTTATCTGGAGCGAACTTCGAGTATTTCTTCCTTCTGAGTTTGATTTAAAATTTCATTGAAATACTGTTTTTTTGTTAGTTTTTTTTTAATCGCGTATCCTTTTGGAGTTGAGGACTGAATTACGTTGGGAAATGCATTTACGCACGACGTGTGGGACTCACCGGCGTAATACAGCCAGTACTACCCACTAAAACCCAACAAAACCTTCCCCCGTCTTAATGGGGCGTCGCAGGATCGCTTACGCATTCAACTACGACGCCCCGACGGCAGGTCTGCCGAAGCAGACCACAACAACCACGGGGTTGCTCCACAGTCCACTCTGCTATCAGAGAAGTACCAGGAGCAACCCGCATGGTTCACTGCCCTCCGAAGAGGGCCACCTCCCACCGCCCACCGAAGTGGGCCACCTCCCTGTGCGTTTCTTGGCTTCGCGCCCGGTTGGGTTGCCGGGCACTACTGAGCCCCCCCACCACGACAAGGTGAACGCACGTTGGGGGGGGGAGGACTGAATTATGCCTGACTTAGCCCCAACGGAGATTGCCAGGGCACTCGAAATGCGAAGAAATGGTCAAACCTACAGAGTGATATCCAGAGATCTTTGTCGACCAGTTTCAACGATCCATAGCAGTATCCAACGGTTCAAGGAGACCGGTACTTATGTGAGAAGAGCAGGACAAGGCAGAAAAAGACGCATTTCGAGTAGGGATGATCGTTTCATTCGGCTTCGTGTACGTAGAAACCCCCGTTTGACAGCCGTCCAAGCCCGGCATGAGTTAGAGGCAGTGCGGGGTGTAACCGTAAGTGAGCGTACGGTACGAAGAAGGTTCGAAGAAGCTGGTTTGGGTTCATTTGTGCCCGCCAAGGCTCCAAGGCTCGAGGTAAATCATCGTAGAAACAGGTTAACTTTTGCTCAGGAACATCGACTTTGGAACGCGGACCAATGGAGTAAGGTATTGTTTAGTAATGAGTGCAGAATTCTCTTAAATCAAATTGACGGCAGGCAAAGAATATACAGACGCAAAGGAGAACGATACATTCAGACAAACTTTGAAACTACAGTTGCATATGGTGGTGGATCAATAATGGTTTGGGTGGGCATTTGTTTGGGAGCTCGCACAGACTTGGTAGTGATTGACAGAGGGAGTCTGACTGCAGACCGCTATATCAGAGAAGTTTTAGAAGAAAATTTCGTACCGTTTGCCCCATATATCGGTGACGATTTTGTTTTTATGCAGGATAATGCTCGGCCGCATACCGCTCGGGTAACTCAAGTTTATCTTAATGATATGAATATCACTGTTATGGAGTGGCCGGCGAGATCACCAGATATGAACCCAATAGAGCACGTTTGGGACTTGCTGAAAAGAAAAGTTAAGTCCAGAATTCCAGCTCCTGCCAACGTGGGTGAACTGCGAATCGCCGTAGTTGAGGAATGGCGGAGACTATCCCAGGATACCATCAATAACATCATTCTCAGTATGCCTAGACGGATAGAAACTTTAATAAGAACAGGTGGAGGAAATACGCGATATTATTCACCATTTTTCTAATTTAATTAATTGTTATTTTAATATTAATTTTCACTTTTGCCGGTTATATGAAAAGTTCAAAAATGTACCATTTTTCACAAATAGCCTTTACTCGCAAAATCTGTTCTTAATGTGATCTCATTTTAAGTAAAACAAATGAAACTTTAAATAACAAAAGAAGTGTAGTAAGTAGATTTTAAAATAAAACCATATTTTTTTAATAATGGACCTTTTTTTTGTGTTCCGCTAAATATGCCGGCGAGTGTAGCTAAGCAACAGAAATCACAAGAGTGAGTGTTAGTGTTAACACGTCACGTGACCATGTCGATGACGACTTACATGAATTTACTCCACATCCAAAAATGCCTATAGAAGTATTCACTTTTTTAAATAAAACTATCTTTTCGGATTATTTCGCGGATTTATTTTGATTTTTGGTTCCCGACGTTTCGAATACTTTACAGCATCCATGGTCACGGGAGAGACTGAAGTGTTACATGTCTTGAAGGTATAGTTGTTACAGACAGCCTACCCACAATTAACAAAATGAAAATTGCACCAATTACATTACAATATTTTTTAACTTTAAACATTTTTATAATTTTAATTATAATTGAATATGGAATACTATTTATTTAATTTTTGCTATTATTTTTATAATTATTACAATATTAAAAAATATTCATTAGTAATCTATATTTAGTGTTACCATTATTATATTTATAACCATAAAGAAAAATATAAAATATAGTATTAATTATTTAAGCCATATAATTGTTCTATGTGTAATTTAAAAAAGTTAAAATTAATTAAGGATAATAATTTTAATTTAGTTTGCTATTATTTAAAAACAACTTACTAAGCAACACTATTACTATATACTTTTACAAATGAAAAATGAAAAATATTAATCTGATAAGCTGTCATTTCGATCTACACAGTAAGAACTTACTACATCTACCTGTCTGTTATGTTTATATTTATTATTTGATTTTATTATATTAATAACATCCCATGACGATGGTAGTACCCAGCCATCTTCCCTATTGAAATTTGGATGTTTTTTTAATTTCTATGGCTTCTCAAATCATTCTAGAGCGATATCGGTTGTAATAATAGCAAACTAAATTAAAATTATTATCCTTAATTAATTTTAACTTTTTTAAATTACACATAGAACAATTATATGGCTTAAATAATTAATACTATATTTTATATTTTTCTTTATGGTTATAAATATAATAATGGCAACACTAAATATAGATTACTAATTAATATTTTTTAAAATTGTAATAATTATAAAAATAATAGCAAAAATTAAATAAAGAATATTCCATATTAAAATTATAAAAATGTTTAAAGTTAAAAAATATTGTAATGTAATTGGTGCAATTTTCATTTTGTTAATTGTGGGTAGGCTGTCTGTAACAACTATACCTTCAAGACATGTAACACCTCAGTCTCTCCCGTGACCATGGATGCTGTAAAGCATTCGAAACGTCGGGAACCAAAAATCAAAATAAATCCGCGAAATAATCCGAAAAGATAGTTTTATTTAAAAATGTCAAACATTCGCGTAAATCTAAGAAAGTATTAAGTATTCACTTATGCAAATGCGAATATGCAAACATCAATACTCACATTATAGAAATGTGTGCGGAATTGCTGAGACGTGAGTAAGGGAAGTCTATTAGCGAGTGCCCTTGCTTCCCTCAAGAGTGCGGGTCGTGGTGGTAACGAACCATCGCGTATCGCTCGCACCGTCGCCAGTACAGCTCGCACTCGGGACACTAGCATTTTTATGGCCGACCTTTGAGCTGTTAGGTGTTCTGCCACTGTAATAAAAATAAAATTATCATTAACATTAAAAAACAACAAAGTGACTAAATATCAGCTATTAAAACACACGAGTATAATGATTTTAATATAGATTTCTTAGTTTTGTTGAATAATTATATTAAGTCCTAAAAATATTGGGCAAATTTGCGCCTGCTTTATTCATCTAGGGCATCTTGCTAATATTATCAATGTGAAAGTTTAGATGTTTGGATGGATGTTTGTTACTCAATCACGCCATAACGACTGAACGGATTTGGATGAAATTTGGCACAGATAGATTATAGTCTGGAACAGAACATAGGCTAATTTTATCCCGGAAAAATTGACGATTCCCGTGTGATAGATATGTTTTCGTTTTTCTAGAGGGGAACCTGACCAAAGCGAGGGAGAGCCGCTAATAAAACATAATATTTATGATATAATTTAACATTAATATTTCATCTCCAATAACATTTATTTTATCAGCTGCAAAAGTAAATGTGCATAGTATTTTAATCTAGCTGAACTGGTATCATACCGAAAACGTACAATATCATGAAAACTACTCATTGAACAATATATACTTTACAATAATTATAGTTGAAAGTATTTTGGAAGCACTATTAAATTTTCCCCGAATATTCTACTCTATAGTATATTGCCTATACTTTAAAAATTACAAGTGGATTCACATTGTTTACATCTTGTTTCAGCCCTTTTTAACGACCCACTGCTGGGCACAGACCTCCCTTCAATACGAGGGGAATCAGATCATAGTCCACCACGCTGACCAAGTGCGGTTTGGCGGACTTCACTTGTCTTTTGAAAACTTGCTAGGTTCTCTTAGACATGCAGATTTCCTCACGATATTTTCCTTCACCGTTAAGACACGTGGTAATCATGTTGGTAATGATTCGCACATAAAAATATCAGAGGTGCGAGACCCGGGATTTAAACTCGCTTCATTAGGTTTCCCAAGCGAGCGCGTTACCACTGGGCTACCACTGCCTTACTACAACATTATAAGCATATAATTTACATCTCATAGGCATAACTCAGCAACTATTGCTATATATGGAATGCCATCCAATTTTATTTTATATTTTGAGTATGAAATGATCTAGCATTATTTGAAACATCTACTCTGTGACAAACCAGAAAACACTCATAAGGAATAAAATGATAAGATTATAAGGGTTATGTTTTTGCCTTTTGGGATTTAAATCTAAAATATAAAGTTAACTAAAATAAATACTGGTACAAAATATTATTTCTCTACGTATGAGTAATTTAAAAAAAATATATTATAAAAATAAGATACCTGACTACATTAAGGCTAACTAAAAAGATGAAAACAATTTGACGAAGGAATATACTACATATATAGTACTATGCAGTCGGGGACATACATGTTTCATCCTGGCTGCATGATGGATATATGTATGTCTCCGATTATTTTCTATCTTTTTTGTTTCTGCCAATAAAGCATTTGAAGTAATACTTAGCAATTTTTTAACCTAAATTATTTTTAAACATATAAATTTGTATATATTTCTGTGATCGCTTTTTAAAAACCTTTATTTAAATACCCCACTCGATTAGTTTGGAAGAGTTTAAAGACACAAATTGTCGTCTGAATTCCGCCATTTTAATTTTTAACTATTTTAATATAGCCTATGACACTCGCGTTATCAAACAAACATATATATGTACATACATAGACCGATAAACACATTACACCATATTTGCGTCGCGCAGTCGGCTAAAATTAATAAATTTGTTTTTCTTGTAATTATATAATAATTACCTAAGCTGTTAAGTGCCGCTTCACCAGATGATACTCTAGCGACATGGTCTACTCCAATCCGCTCTGCCTCTTCTGCAGCCAAAGTGTATGTTAATGGAGCCAGCAGCATGGTGGCACGTCCATTCACTACATCTATCACTGACTCATATAACACTACTGGCAGTTGCTGTAATTAATAATGCAATTCATTAAAATATGAATTAATTTAAATTATAAAGTATAATAATTTGCATGGATAAGTTAACTTCTAGACTTATTTTACACTTATACTTTACTAGCGGCTCACCCTCGCTTCGCTCGGGTTCGTCGCTAGGTACGTTTTAAATAGATATAAAAAAAAAAAATCTTTCTTTCTCACATTTTAATTATATGTTTTAATACTTACCTATTCCGGACTAAGAGAAATCCAAAAATTAAAATATCATAAAAATTGGAACGCGGTCGAACGGGATAAAAAGTATCCTATGTCCTTCTCCTGGCTCTAAACTACCTCCCTGCCAATTTTCAGCTAAATCGGTTCAGCCGTTCTTGAGTTATAAGCGAAGTAACTAACACGACTTTCTTTTATATATATATATAGATTTACTTTTTGTATAGAATTCAAGTCCAAATACAGTTTAATTAAGTTTACAGTGTAAGTACCATACAGGGTGGATTTTTGAGATGGGACAGTAAGGGCAGGTACCTTAAGCAATCCTGCGACGCCCCGTTAAGATAGAGGAGGTTTTGTTGGGTTTTAGTGGGTAGTATTTGATTTTCTAGCCAGTGACTCCCACATAACCAACTGTTTGTCTATAAGTGGTATGTGTAAATGGATTTCCCAACATAAAAAGAAAAATAAAGGGTACCTTAATCATTATAGTTACAGGAAAACATTCCTAGAAGACTTTCCATAACTTTTTGAAATACTCTGAACAGCATTCACAGATTTTAGAAAAAATGTATAGTCAGCGAAAAAAATGCTGAAATACCAAAAAAAAGTTTATGCCAACCAATCATACTTCATATAGGTATTAAAAGACTGTGGGACCATTTAAGGTAGTAGTACTAGAAAGAACAAAAATTAACAAAAACTTTTCCCATACATTTTGTATGTAAGTTATGGATGGTCTCCCAGGAACATTTTCCTGTAACTGTAACAGTTAAGATACCTACCCTTACTGTCCTGTCTCAAAAATCCACTGTGTATACTATAATAAATAATTTAAAGTCATAAATATACTCACATCTCCTTTTCTTCCAGCTGGGTTAAGCATAAGCATAACTGGACACTCATTTATGTCACAGATCTGGCGATGTACAGCAATATCTTTCTCTGTAGGAGTATCTCCAGTTGTGTACCATCCTAAGAAGTCCATATCAGAGAAAACTTGTTTGACTGCAAAATATTGCTTAATAAACTTAAGATGTTTTCTTAATAAGTAAAATCTTCTAATAGGTAAAATTAATACATAAACTAACACATCACTTTTATACTCACATTGTTCTTCTTTTAAGTTGTAGTAATCTCTATCTATTATAATATCGCCATCAATGACACTAAATACTAATTCAAACGAGTTCATGACTTCTATATTTCGTCCCTTTTGCTTACCAATAAGGGCTCCAATCACTATAAATAAAAAAGATAATATAAGACAAAAATGTAAGTCATTAATATATTAGATATATACAAGAAAATAATTCAATACCTGTTTGGGGTGAACCTTCCTGGGCTCTTAATCTAGTCCAATGTTCCGAAACGTTCATGATAACTAATGGATGTAATGACACCGTAACTGAACCTGAAGTGGCAGTAGTTACTACGACACTTTTAGTATTCCCAGCAGCAGAAGGAGCTGGAGACGTGGGGTTAGGCAAGTCAACCGGTGGTCCTGATGAGGCACTTTCAACTTCTACCTCCATTTCGAAGTCAATTCTATCAGCACTCGACATCACTGATTTCTTCAAAATATCTATATATTCGTAGCTCTAAAAGCTATGACTGAATTTTATAAAAAAGTCTAATGAATTTGTACTAATGTAATACTTATACACGAAACAAAATAAAACTCATAAAACACATTTACTGGCTCTTTGACAACATTAACTTGACAAATGACATCACAATTTAAAATGTCAAATCGACGAAGAATAAAACCATCCATGAATAAAACATAGAGCATAGAACAAAAATACTCTCTCTTGTACACACATAGTCATATGACAGACATAAAATAAAAATTATGAAATAAATAATATATAATAAAGGTAGTCTGTAGTCATAATGGCTCCTTTGGGCTTTGTATCATTTTTATTTGTCGTCCATGGTATCATTTCTTTATAGTTTGTGGCTTTAGAGTATACATAAGTTACTCTAAGTTTGTGGCTGCTTGGCAGTTTGTACTTTGTAGTGCATTAAAAATTCTCTTTGGTTTGCTGCTTGACGCTTGTCATTCGCCAAGTTTTTGACGTCTAATAAAATGACTGACGAAATGTGTTTGTCTTAGAATGGTTATTCGTCGTAATAATGAATTATTAACTATAAACAAACTATCACATTCGTCGTACTCAACGTTATTGATTTTCTTCCCTGGACTTTATAAAGGATATTCTATATAGAACCTAGAAAGAAACAAATACAGGTCAGCAAACATCAACTATTTAGTAATTAACCATGGCATCTACAGCGGTTAAGATAGCTGGTGCTGCTAAGGATATTTCACCTATTTACTATAGAATTTTATCTAAGTTCCCTCAGAATTTTACCTTTTGTTTTGCATATGGTTCAGCTGTTAAACCTCAAATAGGTAACCAGAAAAAGCATAATATGATCGATTTAATATATTGTGTCGACAATTCTTATCGATGGCATGGCGCGAATATTGAAATGAATCCATCTCATTACTCAGCTCTTCGCTTTCTTGGTAAAGGATTTGTTGCAAGATATCAAGAAAATTGGGGTGCAAAGGTCTACTTTAACACCTTGGTGGACATAAAAGAAGAAAATGTAACAATCAAGTATGGTGTTGTAACACAAAAGGATCTTATAGCTGATCTTTTAGACTGGAATGACTTATATCTTGCAGGCAGGCTACACAAACCAGTGGAAATTATCAAACAGACAAATAGTTCCCATCTACGAGATGCTCTTCAGTCAAATTTACGTTCAGCTGTCCATACAACTCTACTAACTTTGCCTGAAACATTTTCAGAATATGATTTCTATTTTGCAATATCTAATTTAAGCTATGCGGGAGATTTTAGAATGACATTTGGTGAAAATAAAAATAAAGTTCGAAATATTGTCCAACCTCAGTTATTGAATTTTCGTGAACTCTACAAACCAATCTTGCAGCAATTCCATGCCTATGTAGATTTTCCTACAGGAGATGCTCAGTGTCACCAAGATTTAAATCCTGAAACTAAATTACATCACTTAATGCAGTTACCTATGATTCCACAACAACGAATTGTAAAGTTTTGGAATCATGGTGGACTTCAGCAAGACATGGAGGATGTACTTCGAGCTGTAGCATATGATATTGATTGTGCAGTTATATTACGGCAAATATTAAAAGATATAGTGTGGCAATCAAGTGTAAGGCAATCACTTAAGGGTATACCAACAGCTGGTATTTTTAAATCCATTCGTTACAGTGCTAAGAAAATAGCAAAAATGTTTTAATTCTTTAAAATTTGTAAATATAGCTTAAGATGATAATTGTAGAAATAAAACTAATTTGTGGTATAATTTACAAAATGTTTTTTATTCCTTTTAAGTTTTCCATTCTTTGGTTTTAGGTGTCAATATGTTATCTGATGAATCTAGCAGTGATTCTGAAACTGGCAGATTTAAATGTCAAACCAAATCTCAAGATCCAAAAACTAATAACAGTAGTCAGAAAAATTCTTATAGCAGATCTTCAGGAAGAAGTAAGAGAACAGATGATAAATTAAACAGAGACTTGGATAGGAAGAGAGATGAAAGAGAGAGATTAGACAGACGCTCTAGAGAAAGACATAGATATGGTAGATATTCTCCTGTTCGTAGAAGACCTTCTCGAGAAAACAAGAATAGAAGATCTCCGGAAAGACATAGGGCAGACAGGCATAGACAAGATTTAAGGGCCAGGTCTAAACAAAAAGATACTAGAAGCAATAGCAAAGATAGATACAGACGTTCTAGATCCAAGTCACAAAAATCACCCATTAGAACAAGAAACATAAAAGACGAAATAAAAGAAATAATCGCAGGGAAAGATAAAAATCCAGATAAAGATGAAAAAAAAACCACACATTCAAAGTCTTCCTCTCCAGAAGTTGCAGTTAAAAAATCAATAGTGCATAAACCTTCAGCTTCAGAAACCCTTAAGAAAAATAGTACCAGCCCTATTTTGATACCAGAAAATGATAGTGACACACCAGATGTTGTTCAACCCGGATCTTATTATAGCATGATTCCTGCTATTGTGAAGGAAAAACCGGATGAATCTAGTGAAATTGATTCATCTGATGATGAAAGGTTAAGAGCAAAGCTATTAAATTTAGAAAAAGAATTACAAAAGACTAAAAAGAAAAAACATAAAAAGAAACATAAGCGAAAAAGTGTGAAATCTGACAAAGAAAAACAAGACTCTTCAGCTTCTGTTGAAGTAAGTAGTACAACTGATATTCAAGAAGTGAAGTCAGATGTTCCCTGTGACATAGAAAGTGCTGAAGTGACATCCACACAGAAGAATAATAAAAAAGAGAGCAGTGAAGAAGGAGAAATATTAAGTGAAGATAACTCTCAATCTGATGTTGATATAGATCCTACTGACTTACGACATAAATTAAAGCGATCTAAAATAGATCAACATGATAAAATACAGAAACTAGATGTATGTGGACCAGCCCTTCCACCGCATATGGAGAAACGGTTTAAGAAAAGTACTTCTCCTGTAACTGAAGGTCCACTTCTACCACCTCATTTGACGGATAAGTCGCGCAATATAGGTAACTATTTTATCTTTAATGACTCAATAATAAATATAATCCACATTTTGATATTTTGTCCTTTTCATAGTAGATATAGTAATATGCTTATTTCACTTCTTTATGTTTCAAATCATTCCTTAACAACCATTTATGTCAATAATATGTTTTTATAGGGCCATCAATACCAGATGGTATGCGTAAAGCGTTAGCAGAAAACAGCGAAGTTATACAATACGAAAGCTCAGATGACGATGGTATAGGACCACTGCCTGCAGGAGCTGAAGATAAATGGTCTGAAGCCCATCAACGCTTAGAAGAACGAGCAATGGAGATGAAAATTAAGTCCTTAGATGGGCATTCATTGCAAAGTTCCAATATAAAGTCACGTGAACAATGGATGTTAGAGCTACCAGAGGGGAAAACCAAATTTATGGGCTTAGAAGCTCGAACTTTTAGACCAAAAGAGGGACCAGATATGAGTGATAGGTAAGAATATATAATTAAAGTCTATACATATAACAGAATTGTAACTAAGCCGAATCTGTACATTAAATATTTTTTGGAAAATCTTATTGAAATAGACATAATGATCGATACAGAGGCCGAATTTATAGTTTTTAGATTTTTTTTTCTGTCTGTCTGTCAGTCTGCCGGTCTGTCTGTTACCGCATCACAGAAAAACCACTGGAGGGATTTTGATAAAATTTGGTATGGTGATAGCTGGTTATCCGGGTCAACATATAGTATACTTTTTCCCTCGGGAAAATGTCACATTTCTGAGAAAAAATACAAAAACTGCAATGTTGGAGTATACTAATATGTAAAACTTACGAATTTGGTTTTTGGTCATCTGAACGTGGGCGGAGCCGCGGGAAATGCTAGTACACAATAAATGTTAGTTCTTATTGAAGTAAGACTTCTTTAGGCGTAACTGAGGGGTAAGTCAATATATTGGAAAAATCAGTGCTGCGGAAGTGAGTTAATTTTTTTATAAATATGTATATATTTTTTCAATTTAATATATTCATATTTTTATAATAATTATTACTTATAAAAATGAATATTTATTACTAACTAGCGACTCACCCTCGCTTCGCTAGGGTTTTGCCCTAGGTATGTTTTACGGTTAGAATGAAATACAAATCTTTAAATTTCTCGGCTTTTCTGTACTATAATATGCATGTATTATACATATAAACTATAAAGGTTTATATGTATAATACATGCATTTTATATTCTCTTGAATCATTCTGTCTATTACTGAAAACTGCATTAAAACCCGTTGAGTAGTTTCAAAGATCTAAGCGAACAGACAGCAGAAGCGACTTCATTTTATACTATGTAAAGAAGATAATTTTATAAAAACTATTTATTATATTTATATGTCGATCACCACAATTAAATTAAAATATTTAACTGCGGTATCTGCCACAGCGCCAAAGAAGTTTTACTTGAACCGCGCGTAGAGGTTACATGCACTCATTTCCTTTTTATTTCAGATCAAGTTGGACAGATACTCCGGAAGATAAAGCTCGCAAGGCCTTAGGCATAGCTAAAGAAGAAGATGTCAGTGAGTCACTGCAAAAGGAAGCGAGAGAGCGTCAAATTGCTAACCGCGATGAAGATCAAGAAAAAGCTATTAAGTTAGTAGTCTCATTTCAAGCAATGCATTGCATTCAGCCCTTTTTAACGTCCCACTGCTGGGCACGGGCCTCCTTTCAGTACGAGGGGTATCAGGCTACCACGCTGGCTGGCCATATGTGGGCTGGCGGACTTCATATGTCTTTTGAAAACTTGCTAGGTTCTCTCAGACATGCAGGTTTCCTCACGATGTTTTCCTTCACCGTAAGACAAGAGGTAATCATGTTGCAAATGATTCGCACATGAAAATATCAGAGGTGCGAGAACCGGGATTTGAACTCGCTTCACTCGGTTTACCAAACGAGCGCGTTACCACTGGGCTACCTGCCTATTGATAACTATAATAATATTTTAAACAATAATAATATTTTATTTAAAAACAATATTTTTCTGTTTTTAAATGATGTTTTGTTAAACATAATATAAATAATAAAATTATTATACTTTCAGGAGACATAAAAAGAAACACAAAAGAGAAGAGAGCTTATTGGAAATGCACCAGAAGAAATTGAAAAAGAAGAAAAAGGTACCTTCCTATAATTACTTTACTTTATATATGATAGATATTTTTATCTAGATGTATAATATAATTGTAACTAAGTCGAATCTGTACATTAATTTTTTTGGAAAATCTAATTGAAATAGACATTATTATCGACAAAGAGGCCGAATCTATAGTTCTTAGATTTTTTGTCTGTCTGTCTGTTACCGCATCACGCGAAAACCACTGGACAGATTTTGATGAAATTTGGTATGATGATAGCTGGTTACCCGGGTCAACATATAGGGTACTTTTTATCGCGGGAAAATGTCCAATTTCTGAAAAAATAAAAAAATTGCAATGTAAGAGTATACTAATATGTAAAACCTAAAAATTTGGTATTTGATCATCTGAACGCGGGCGGAGCCGCGGGCAATGCTAGTATATGATAAATATTTTTATATTGCAATATTTACTTAAATATTCTGTTTTTTAAGAAGTATTTTGGAATTATATAAAAAACAACTTTACATTTTCTTGTAAAGAAAAATAGTGATTATGGGTGGTCATTTGAAAGTTCATGAGTTATATCAGTTGACAGTCAAAAATCAAAATGAACTTTATTTAACTCGAATTAAGTACTATTGATTCGTTAATTTAATTCCAAAAGAATCAGTCCAAAAGTGTGCAAAAGCTACTAGCCCGAGAGCTGGTGAATTTTGGGAAGGTCCTTTTGGCAAGTTGAAATTGTAAAAAAAAATATATATTCGGCATTTGGTGAGTCCAGTACCGCGAGTCTGGTATAGCTTTAGAGGTTATTTCGTTACTGCGCAGTATATAACATTTGCAAAAAAATATACCTAAAAAAACATATTTTTGGCAACTTGATTTTTGTTTAATCTTTTTTGTCGGTTATAAAGTATTACCAGACCTCTCCAAAGATATTTTATTAAAATTTCCAAAAATATACTTTTGGCAATCTGAAATTTTAATCACGTATTTATTGAGAAATTTTCAATGATACTTGCAAATCGCCAGACAAATTTGCCAGTTAGTTCAGCTGCACCTATTATTATTATAGCATACATGCACTACATTATTATTATTTCATAGTAATTGCCCATTTTCTAAAAGTTCCATTTTTTTTTCATTCCAGAAAGAAGACAAAGATGATGATAAAAAAGATCGTCGTCCTTTCAGTCGTGACGTCGATTTGCAAGTCAATCGCTTTGACGAAGCTCAAAAAAAGTCCATAATAAAGAAGGCACAAGGACTAAATTCGAGATTCTCTCGTGGCGAAGCAAAATACTTGTAAATTTATAATTTTAAATTCCTACTTTGCATGCATAAAAAAATTAAGTGAAAATAATATGATGTACATTTGAAAAGTCAAATATTTTCCATGAAACTTTGTACAAGCTACTGTATAATTTATAGGTTATTCCTCATTGAAATGCTTTATGTTGTTTGATAAATATAGTAAATATAATTATAAAAACTCACTATTGGGCCTCGCCGCAGTCGAATGTTAAAAATTTTGACGACACGTTTGGCTCAGTTTGTGTGTGTGCCCTACTTGCTGTGCCAGCTCGCGGGTCGCCGGTTCGAGTCCCGCTGGGGGCATTCATTTGTGTGATGAGCACGAATGTTTGTTCTCCAGTCATGGGTGTTTATATTTATAATATGTATGTATTTAAATGTTAAAGTTATATACGTATCAACTATCTGGTATCCATAACACAAGGCTCGTATCTTACCATGGAACTAGATGGTGTTGTGTGTTAAGGTCCCAACATATTTAAAATTTATTTAAATTTTTTAAAATACCATTTTAGACTATCATTCATGAAAAAGATGTTGGATAATATTATTTCGTCGCAAATATTTGTTTCGTATCTAAATTTTGATTCATATTGTTCAATTGCACTTGAAATAAAATCAAAAACAACAAAATGAGAAGTTACTATAAAATTTATTGCATGTGTAATATCTAATATATAGTCGTTGCGACTTTGAAACCTCTTATGTGTTAAAATCAATTTTATGAGATAATCGACAAAAACTGTCTACTGAAAAAAATATAATGAAACCAACAACACCAAAAAATATAAATATCAGCTACATGTTTTCCTGCTTTTTACTATGATATTATTACATGAAATGAAAAGTAGTATCTTAGTGAAAAAAAATAAAAACAAGTTCAGTTAACACATAAGATAATTTGCATGCGCTTTATGTATCACATCATTGCTCTTGAAACAAAATGCCTACAATTATTGAATTAAAAAAACTATTTATTTTATTGCAAAAAGAAATATATTTCTCTGATTACACATCTTAAGACATTATGTAACAATTGAACCACAAGTTAGAATAAAAAAGTTACAAATCAAACTACCATTACTTTTTGAATTTAACCATGTAATTATGCATTAGGGGCACCTAAGGGGATTGAATGGTAACGCATTATAAAATGGATGGTAATCCTGATCTATTACCATTTTGAGTTCCTGCAAATGTTTATACTCGCTCTCAGTAATTTTTATTGGAGATTTATACAGTCCCCTTGGAGATATAAAATCATTTCTTTGGTTGTTTCTACGCTGTGGAAGTACCGACCACTCATCGACATGTCTTAACCTATAAAATATGGATCCATCGGATAAATATTTAAGACCCCTATTGTCCACACCAAGACAGGATCTCCCTTCTTTTTTCCAGGCCGTATGGATTTTAAGTTCGATTCCATCTCTTCGAAATTGAGTAATAAATCAAAGTTAACAGATTTGATATCATAGGGCTTTTGAGGTCGAGCTTGTCTCATTCGTGCGATGTAATCACTGGAAGCGAATATTGGCGGTTTTATGTATTGCTCAATAGTGGAGTGAACACTATCTATCTCCATCATATTGTGCCCTTTTTCCAGATAAAGTTGTTTAATACAAATTTGCCTCCTTTGCGCCAAATCGCTTAGGGCACTAGACGAAATTCGGTTTCATCATCAACAGACATCCGCAGACAGTAGTCTATTAACTGCCTCGGTGGTGTAGTGGCTAGCATGTACGGATGCACACCCGGAGGTCCTGGGTTCGAGTCCCGGGTCAGGTCAAGTTTAGTTATTGAGTCTTTCTGTATAAGTAAGCCTCAGTAACAGCCCGGAGTTGGGAAGTTGGCGGTGTTTCACCCCCGTGCCTCGGAGAGCACGTAAAGCCGTCGGTCCTGCGCCTTAACTCTCACCGGTCGTGTCGAGCAGTGGTCCCACCGGAGTATGAGAGTGACAGGAATAGGGAGTGCACTTGTGTCTGCGCGTACACTTGTGCACTATAATATCTCCTGCACAGTTGGCTAGTCTCAATGAGATTGGCCGCCGTAGCCGGAATCGGCTAGGAGAACATCATCATTAAACAAGATGTGAATTCATTAGCAACTGCTAATGATGTAACTACATTACCATGTGCTTCGTGCCAAAAGTAAATTTTCACATCTTTGGATAGCACGTTATAAGCCGTAAAGTTATGGCATTGTAATTTTAATTTGTAGTATAAAGCACTAGCCATAGCTTTGGAGCGAGCAAAACACTTTGAACGTCGACAGTTATAACCACATCCTTTTCGTTTGCACTTTCTATGACATTCTTTTTGGCTTCACAGGCTTCAGTTTTCTTCGCAATATGGCTTTCGTATTCTTCTTTCGAAATGTTACCCGTTTTATAACTGCAACACGTGTCACACTGGTCTTTGCGCGAAAGATGAATGCTGATATTTACGTTTGTCAGTATCTTTGAAAATGTCCTTCTAGAGGCAGCTTCGTAGTAGTTTTCAATACACCACTCCTTAAAAACTTGATGCATGTGGAGTTCAGATCGAAAAGTCTATTCAACAAAAAAATTTTTTTGAGCTAGAACGACGTAATGACTTGGTACTTTTGGTAAAAGATCCAACCATGTTTTAACAGTTCTTGTCATTTCAACGTGCCTTCCTGGCCTAGCAATAATATTTGAACTTGGTAAAGTGTTTTCTGCAGTTTGATCAATTAAATTTTCCTCGAAAGTCCAGCGACGACACACATACATACACATAAGATATTTTAAGAACCAACTTTTAATTAGCAAGCACATTCAAGATTTTGAATTTAGTAAATAACTGACGATTGAAACGCCATATTCACATGACAGTTTTTGCATTCGATAGCGCATTAAAATATAAAATCGGTAAGCCTAAAAAAGTAATTTTGCCAAAAGTGACACATAGGAGGTCTTAACTTCGCAACGACGATATGTCGATTACTATTATAATCAAAAATTGTTAGTCATTCTGATAAAACATATGATGTACCTATAATATATTTATAAAAACAGCTTCCAGGATTTTATATTTGTTTAAGTGAAAACTGGTAACCTATCACAAGAAACCCACTGGACAGATTTTGATGAAATTTGATATGATGATAGCTGGTTACCTGGGTCAAAATTTAGAATACTTTTTACTACCGGAAAATATCTCGTCTCTGAGAAATCTATACTAACCTTAAGTTTAACTATATTTGGCATAGTATGGAAGCTATTACTAATTACAGAGAAATGAAATTTGCGGAACCGAAATATTTTATTTATTATAATTTCTTTTTTGTGTTTTAAAACATCTGATAATATAGAAAAATTAAAACTTAAAAATTAAATTAAGACTTAATTAAAGGTTTAATGAAGTACTATGATGTACTTAATTTCAATAAATGTAGGTCATTCACACGTTTTGAATCGTAGTATGTAGTAAATTACATGTAAATAAAACTATTTTTTAATTTCAAGTGGATTTATTTCATTTCAACTGTGCCAGTTTTAAATACAAAAATATATACCATTTAATCCTTTGTCACACCATTAACAAATTAAAATAAATACTTCAAGTGCAGCTAACAATAAGCTTAATTTTACTAAGATACAAATTTTCTCGCAAAAATATTATTTTAAACTGCCGCCGCTTTAGCATTAGTGCCAGAACTTTCAGTGGAAGGGCAAATTGCGACTTTCGAGTCTTCGCAACATAGTGGTTCATCAGCTGTCATATCCGCGTACGACCATGGCTTACTGCATAATTTGTAAAATGCTGATAACTGCAAATATTTAACAAATTAAGTACATTTCTTTTGCCGCTATATGTCAATTTCTAAGTTTCTATGAATAATAAATATGTTTCTTAGTTCACTTTTCCGTTAAAAAGTATAAGTTATCTATATCTTTACATATAATAAAATTGTAACTAAGGCGAATCTGTACATTAAATATTTTTTAGAAAATCTTATTGAAATAGACATTATTATCGATACAGAGGCCGAATCTATAGTTTTTAGAATTTTTGTCAGTCTGTCTGTTACCGCATCACGGAAAAACCACTGGAAGGACTTTGATGAAATTTGGTATGATGATAGCTCGTTATCCGGGTGAACATATAGGAACTGTGAACATATAGAACATATACTTTTTACCGCGGGAAAATGTCTCATTTCTGAAGAACAATACAAAAACTGTTTTGTAAGAGTATACTAATATGTAAAACCTAAGAATTTGGTTTTTGGCCATCTGAACGCGGGCGGAGCCGCGGGCAATGCTAGTGTAATTAATATATTATAGACTAACTACGAACCGTGCATTGGTTAGTGACTGTCGACTGCCAAAAACGGTTATTAAGGAAATCTAAGATTATAAATTGTAAAATAAAATGTTACTATGATCAGGTTGAAAAGATAACCGCTCTTGCGTCTCACCGCTTACTAGCTAGCTAGTAGCTACCTAAGGTGCAGTATACGGTATACCTACCGCTGCCACTGATACTTCAGACTGTAGTAGGTTAAAATTTAAATGTATAATAAAAACTAAAAAAAAAACGACTTTCAGGCACTAAAATGTAAAAAATAACGAAATAGGGGTTTTCATTTAGAATATATACCTAATCAGATATTTTCGAAGTCGGTAGCAGCCGATGCAAAGCAAATTTAAATATATAGATATAAATGCATATCTTAAAATATAAGCGGCTGGCTTAGTTATTTTTTACATTTTAGTGTCTGGAAGTCGGTTTTTTTGAGTTTTTATTTTTCCATTTTTAGTGTCGACGTAAAAAGCAGGTAATTTGTAAGAAGAAAGTTTTTTAATAACATATTCGATTAAACAATTTATTTAAAAAATAATTTATCGTTGATTTAAAAAACTGCTCGACCGATTTCGATAAAATTTATATGGGACCACCTGGGAAGTATACATACCTTTTGAAACAAAAAAAATCCAAATCGGTTCAAGCGTCTTCGAGTAATCATGTGAACATACATAAAAAAAAGATTCCGACGAATTGAGAACCTCCTCCTTTTCGGAAGTCGGTTAAAAAAGTTATTACCTTGAGTTCTTTGGCATCTTTAAGTCTGGCACACAAAATCTCAGGCCCTTTAGCCTTTGTTGCAGTAGCAAGAGCAAGACAAAGATTCTTGCAAGTGGTCGCCCCTTCATCGTCACAGTTTACCACCAGTCCTGGCGATTGAGACAGCAATGGCTCACTATTCACGTCAGGCGTAGAAGTAGGGAAACCCCCGCAGGAACAGTTACCTTTTAAGCCATCATTTACTGATGTTGAACTAAAAGAGATCCACATTAAAATATTTATATTCTTTATTGCACTTAAAATATGATACAGAAAAAAACACAAGTTACAAACATAGTTCACAAAGGTGGAATTATCTCTAAAAGAGATCTCTTCCAGTCAACCCCTGGTTGTGGAAGAAGATGTCAGCGGGCAACTGTATAACCGAAAAAATATACTAAATATATTATACTAGAAGTAAAGGTAATAATAACCACATATACATACATATATACATATATTACTTATAAAAATATATAATACTATACATATATAATACCTAATGTAAACACTCTACTTATACATATATACATATACATACTTAATATATAAAATATGAAAATAGAGAAAGGTACTGATTGATACTGTCTATATTTGTGATAATAAATAATTTTTAATTTACATTTAAAGATATGAATAGGTATATTTTTCCGGACAGCGAAAATAAATAAAAAAAATAATACATACCTGACGATGTGATCTTCTGCTTTAATGAAAGTTAGGCCAAAAAGTATTATGCTTAGCCGGAAAAAATCTTTTGTACAAGACATTTTTGATTTGATGATACGAGTGGTTATTGTCTAAAGGTGAACTAACGAATCCGGAGGAATGCGATAACTTATACACTTGTTCAGTATTATAACGATGTAGGGTAGCAGTTTTTCAAAATTATTTTGGGACAAAACAATAGCATTTATTCGTCCACAGTTTTCATTTAAATTTTAACAGCTAGTGCACCTTTTGCTTGCAACTTGAAAGAAAATTTATACGTTACTTTATATATACATGCGTATCTACAAGATCTAGTTCTATCAGTTTTCTGAAAATTATAAAGTTATATTAAAGAAAGAGAACACTATTATATAAAATGCTTGTCTTTTACTCATACCACCTGCATACATACAGGTGGACTCGCCGGTTAGAAAAGCCATTCCCAAATCCCAATAAAACCCAACGGACATCTTAAATGGGTGTCGCAGGATAACTTGCGCACTGGCTATCCTGACTACAACAACCATGATATGCCGCTCGAGGTGGACCGATTGAAAATAATGTAGAATGAAGCCTCAATTTTTTATGTTATCTCAGAAAACTTAAGAGGCATGGACACTATTGAAATATAACCCAAATGTTTTGAAGTTAATACGAGTACGCTGTTATGATTGCTTCACATATACAAAGTTATAGTTAGACACTTAACTCTGTCAACTGTACGTACATAGGTTATATATAACGGTGATCTCGGAAACGGCTCTAACGATTTCATTGAAATTTGCTATGTGGGTGTTTTCGGGGGCGAAAAATCGATCTACGTTCGTCTTGTCTGGCATATTTTCGAGTTTTCATGCGGTTTTCTTTCGCATTATTCCACGCAAAATATGGTCGATAATTTCACACGCTCGGTTATAAGCATTGTGGTCTAGCGGCTAAGTCACAAGATTGACAATCACAAACGTCTAGGTTCGAATCCCTGAGATATACGCGAATATTTGACATTTTAAATACAACGATATTTTCGGATTATTTCGCGGATTTACTTTGATTTTTGGTTCTCGACGTTTCGAATGCTTTACAGCAATCATGGTCACGGGAGAGACTAAAGGTTATAGACGTCTCAAACACATACTTGTTACAGACAGTGCCAATCCACTATTTTACAAAAATGATTTCAAAAATTCAAATATTTAATAAAAATATTGCTGTATTTAATTATAATACTTATTAAAAAAAATTAAAATGTTTAAAAATAAAAAGCAACAAATATTGTAAGGTACTTTATTGCCATTTTACTAGTCTCAATGAGATTGACCGCCGCGCCGTGGCAGAATCGGTCGGGACTCGGGAGGACATTATTATTTATTAACGTAATAAATAGCAATTTACTTCACAGGCCATCTTAGGTGTACTAAACGACTTTTATCACCAAAAACCAGATGACCAAAAACTAAATTCTTAGGTTTTACATATTAGTATACTCTTACAATGCAGTTTTTCTATTTTTTCTCAAAAATGAGATATTTTCCCGCGGTAATAAGTATCCTATATGTTGACCCGGATAACCAGCTATCATCATACCAACTTTCATCAAAATCTGTCCAGTGGTGTTCTCGTGATGCGGTAACAGACAGAGAGACTGACAGACAAAAATTCTAAAAACTATAGATTCGGACTCTGTATCGATAATAGTGTCTATTTCAATTCCCAAAAAATATTTAATGTACAGATTCGACTTAGAATTTTATTATGTGTATTGTATTCAGCCCTTTTTATCGTCCCACTGCTGGGCACAGGCCTCCCTTCAGTACGAGGGGAATCCGGCCATAATCCACCACGCTGGCCAAGTGCGGGTTGGCAATTGTATGTATAGATTATGTCAAAAGAAATCCTACTAATATTATGAAAGTTTGAGAGGGACTATGGATGTCAGATGTATGTATGTTTGTTACTCTTTCACGCAAAAACTACTGAATAGATTTTAATGAATATTTGCAATAATTTACTTCATACATCAGAATATAACTACTTTAAATATATAGGAGAAAGGCTACTTTATATCTCGGAAAAATGTAAGGTTCCTGTAGGATACATTTCTTTTGTTTTTCTAGAGGCAAACCCGAGCAAAATGAGTATGAGCCGATAGTGATCTATAAATTAGGTAAAAAAGTTAGTGTGGCATGCTTACACCTGGTACTACCACTAAGAATCTTTGACCATGCCGATATGTGTCATACTCAGGTGAGTGGTGGTGATGTCTAGTAACAGTTAATAAGTAATGCTTCTAATTATGAAACCCAAAAAATATTTTGAAAAAAGAATGAATGGTTACATAGTATATAAGATAATAATTTGAAAAATAATGTAACAGTGAAATGGGAACACAATTAATGTAATAAAGAAAAAAATGTTATAATAAAATCATTTATTTGCAGTCTTTTATAACAATTTATTATCAAAATCTCTAATATTTCATTTCATTAGTAATGTTGTTTGTCATCAAGGGTGTGTCAAATAAAAATAGCAAATAACAAATGAAGATTTTCGTATGTTTATTGTTTATATAATTTTAAGTTCTTAGCATATTTTTACTAATAGAATTTATAAAATGTCAATTTTACTTATTTTATAACTTTTAGTGTCACATATTAATAAATTATTGTATCAAAACAGTCCACGAATTCTATGTACTTACACATAATTTTATAACTATATTATTGAAAAAGAATATTATCTTTGTGGTGGAGGGCTTGGCTTTGGCATTTTTCCTAAGAGACTCTGAATTTCCTTCTTTTCATCATAGCTTTTCCACATTTCATATAAATTAATTATTGATCTTACTATTTCCTGAATCTGAAAATAAAGTGGACTGTAAATATCTCAACAATGATAATAACATTTATATATATATATATATATATATATATATATATATATATATATTTTATGTATTGCAGAACTTACTTTATCCATATCAACATTCAATTCTGCAAACCATGGTTTTAAATTTTCTTTCCCCAGCATTACACAAGCTATGTGAAGAGCTCCTATTGCAATCTAAAACAAACAAAAATATAATAAATACTTAAGTATATTTAATTTTTTGGTAATAAAATAAAAATAGTGTCTAATATGATAATATAGTAATTTTAATTATGTAAGTTTACCTGATAAGGTGGGTATAATAAACTAACATCAGTCCTAAGAGAATCATTAACAATTCTCCAGGCATATGTAAGAAGTTGATCATCTTGTCCTATATCTTGAACAAATAGCAGGAGGGGTCTATATGGTTGGTAAACAATAAGGCAACAATCTAAATTTTCAAGTAAATAGAATTCACATTCTAAGATATGGTTCGTCCTATAAGGAAATTCTTGTTGGCCATATGCGTAACTGAACTTATTTTTAATTACTGTCTGACAAGTAGTTATAAGCCTCGAATTAGAAATAACACCAAATTCCTCTACTTTTGATGCAAGAAATACGCAAGTAGGTGCTAAAAGCAATGGATCTATGCATTTTAATGAGTTTCTAGCATAGAATCTTTTAAAATACACTGTGGCTGTTGCAATAACTTGTTGTCGTAATTTTAATTGTTCTCCTAATATTTGAATAATACTAGCAAAAAAGTTGAATATTTTCTGATATTCTTCTTCACTTAGTTTTCCTAAATCATGTTGGCGATCTCTAATGAGATCCTGTTTATCTAATAACCACTGTTGATGATGTGAGCTTTGCCAAAAGTTACCGGCCATTGTATAACTAAAACAAATATTTTGTATATTATAGTTCACACATACTCTATCAAACATACGACAAATATATATTATTATTGAATTATATGCTCTCTGAAAACAATTCTAAAATATTAATGACATACAATTTAAATATTGAATCTTAATGCTCTTACTACTGCTGTCAACTGTCAAGTCAAGTGACACTAGCCATAAAGAATAGAATATGCAATAAGCAAAGACTATCGAAGGTAGAGGTTAAAATGTCTTCATTTTTGTTTAATTATCAATTTTCAGTATCGAAGATAACAGAAAACGAAAACAATTTTCTCTTTCGTGAAAATACTGACGACAATAGGATAAAGTTTTCCAAATAATATTCAATTCTACAGTAGGTATATGTAGGATTTACTATTTTTTAGAAAATTTTTGCTTAGTTCATTTAGTAGCCTATATGTTACTTCAGGTCCATCTGTGCACTTTTTATCCAACTCCGTGCAGTCGTTTTAGTGTGAAATAGTAACAAACATACACCCAATACAAACAAATTCACATACAAACTTTAGCAATTATAATAGGTATCCAATTATAATATATTATAGGATACATTTTCTAAAACTTTTTCTGCCTTTTCGTCTCCTTCATGCATTTTGATAAAACATGATATACCTAGATAATTTTTTACAGCGGAAAATAGAATTGGTTCTGTCTATAATATAAATGTTGTCGCTAATTATACACGAATCTTTGTTAAAATTTTTAATTAAATTAAAAGAGTCCACCTCTCCATGACATTTAAGCATTTTTCGCTTGCCCTAACTTTGCACCTCACCTTCACTTGATGTTTGCTTTTCATATTTTTTACCAATAATCTTAATATCATCAAATACATAATTATGGCAGTATGTTATGAGCATATCACAACAATAATTATTAAATGGTCATAGCGGCATAACTAATTAGAACACATACCTAGGTACTTAATATTACCTATTAATTACGTGATAAATTGCAATTTTTTTAACATACCTTTTAATTTGATATGGTTAAAAAAATAATGGTTATGTAAGTAGGTACGCGTTTAAATAAGTATGCGTACCTAATTATTTCAGTAATCAAAATTAGATATAGGTATACAAAGGGTAAAATAGTTTCTATTATTTTCTAAAATCTTACTTATCAAGCAGGTACATATTATGTAATACATCGATGCCCACCAGGTCACCAAAATATAAGCATTAAATTATCAACCTATGCGAAATTTATCAATTTGACCGACGCTCTTGGTTATTATTCACAATGATCGGTTCATACAAATACTGCCAGGTTAATCAAGTTCCCCCCCAACGTGCGTTCACCTTGTCGTGGTGGGGGGGCTCAGTAGTGCCCGGCAACCCAACCGGGCGCGAAGCCAAGAAACGCACAGGGAGGTGGCCCACTTCGGTGGGCGGTGGGAGGTGGCCCTCTTCGGAGGGCAGTGAACCATGCGGGTTGCTCCTGGTACTTCTCTGATAGCAGAGTGGACTGTGGAGCAACCCCGTGGTTGTTGTGGTCTGCTTCGGCAGACCTGCCGTCGGGGCGTCGTAGTTGAATGCGTAAGCGATCCTGCGACGCTCCATTAAGACGGGGGAAGGTTTTGTTGGGTTTTAGTGGGTAGTACTGGCTTTGCCGGTGAGTCCCACACCTCGTGCGTAAATGCATTTCCCAACGTTAAAAAAAAAAAGGTTAATCAAGTTGTCCGTTACATATAATTATAACAACAGGAACATTAATTTTCATTCTATTAAAAGCATATACTTTCAAATTATTTTGACAAATAAAATACGTCGCTTCCTTAAAATTCATAGGTAATTTAGAATGTGCGAACGCTCCTACCGTAGAAGGATAAGAGAAAAGAATATTTGAGTTCTTTGAAACCGTATTTTGAAAAAAATATTTCAAGACTAAGTTAAGGAGCAATCATAACCAAATCCAATAAAAAAAATTCGAACCTAAAAACCCAAGACTACAGCCGTATAATGTCGTTATTTTAGATGCTAACAAGTAGCGTCTAAAATAACGACATTATAATCTATACTAATATCATAAAGAGGTAACGTTTATGAGTTTGTGACGTTGTAGGGTGTAATCTCTGGATCTACTGTACCGATTTTGAAAGTTCTTTTACCAATAGAAAGACACGTTATTTCGGAGTGTCATAGGCTATATATTAACCCGAAGAATGAAAAGGCTTTTTCATGGTAGTCGGATTTGCAAAGTAAGTCGGAGAAAAACCGGTCGAACGAAAACGTTTCCTACGAACGCTGCCTTAACGATGAGAGATAGTTCTAGAGAAAAGTTGTAGAATGTAGAGCTTAATAATGCCTACAAAAAAGTCAGCGACAGCATGTTTAAATTTAAGTCATAAAATGTTGTTTTTTTTTTATATTAAAAAATAATTTAAATCGGTCATCTTTATTGGTCATATTATCAACAATTATGAATTCTTATGAAAATAAGTAAATTTATCGTCTAAAATGCTTAAAACAAAAGATTTTTCTCTTTTACTGACAAATGGTTAAAGAGATATGACAGACTCGTAGGTATGGAACCGCGACCGTGTAATCCGCAATCTATTGAATGATATTTATTTAAGATGGTTTATTTCATAATATACAATACGTAAATCTGTCTACACTAATAAGTATTATAAAGAGGTAAAATTTATGAGTTTGTGAGTTTGTAAATTGTGAGTTTGTGACGTTGTATAGAGTAATCTCTCCATCTATACTGAATCGATTTAGATGAAATTTAGTAAGAAGGTAGTTTGAGACCCTGGGAAGGACATAGGATACTTTTTATCCCGGAAATCATCTTTGTATTGATAAAGCCCAACGGCCCGTAGTCCATTTAAAAAATCAAGGTTTGAGACTGTCGCTATCATTATTTCTGTGGAAAAAGAAAGCTTTTAGAAACTAGGTACAAAGCACGGTATTTTAAACCAACTGCACTCCAGAAATGAATTTACTGTGTGTAAAAAAAAGTTCATATCAATTGACGATGTTTTAAAAGTTGATATAACTCTTCGAGAATGTGGTCGAGAAAACTCACGGAAAAGGCTTCCAAATGCCCACATTGCAATTATACTGGTGATTACAACACAAAACGTTATAAATGCAAGAAATCAAACATTATTTGCAATAATTCAAAATGTCATAAAAGCTCGCCTTGCACGAATAAATAATTCTAATCTTAATAAAATTCTTGCATAATCCTAAGATTTCAAGTAATTCAGTTAAGTTTAATTTCATATAATAAACAAAAACTCTACAGTTCATCTGTTTTATTATATTTTTCAAGACACCCGACCGGTCTTTATTTATAGTGACCGAACTTCTCAAGTTGCCCGTAACATATATATTGGGCTGATCTAAATATATATATGGCTACGCCCAAACCGCAATAACTAAGTACATGGTCAATAACTTTTTTCATCCCAGAACGGGACTCTAATCCGCGACCTATGGTGAAGAAACAGACGACTACGCTATGTAGAACTGTATTATCATTGTTGTACAGTACCAATTAACAGCATTAAATTACCAATTTGATATAGATGTGCAAAATATATAATTGCTTTTATACAGGTTGATAAAAAATAACCTCCTTAGATAATATTAAATGGTATTACTTAACAGCTTCTATGCACGAATTTGGCAGGAAATCTTCACAAAACTCCAAGGAAAATCAGCCGGTTCGTAAAGTTACCTTGGTACCTCCAAGTAAGGCTACTAACAAATAATATTATAAACAAATATACATATATATATATATATATATATATATATATATATATATATATATATATATATATATATTATTTATTTCACCCACCATGTATATATATCTTCTAACTACCACCTATATGCGGATGATCTGCAACTTTATAGACATGCTTTGGTCGGGGACTTAGCGTCTGAAATAGACAGGATAAACCTTGATTTGGCAAGAATCAAAGATTGGGCAAAGTCTTTCGGACTCCTTGTCAATCCAATAAAGTCTCAGGCCATGATCATTGGTAGTAAGCAGTTGCGGAACAAAATCGACTTCAACAATCTGCCTGACATCATCTACGATAACACTCGCATCAATATCTCAGACACGTGTAAAAACTTAGGTTTAACAATCGACTGCAACCTGTCCTGGGCTGTGCATGTCAACGAGGTCAGTAAGCGCGTACATTATTCACTTCATTCCTTGAGACGTTTACAGAATTTTCTTCCGTTTCAAACTAAAATTACCCTAGCTCAATCACTGCTAATCCCTCTACTCGAATATGCCGACGTTTGCTATCTAGATGCAACCGAGGAGCTACTCGACAAGCTAGATCGCCTTCAGAATTTGTGCATCCGTTTTATATATGGATTGCACAAATTTGATCATATAAGTATTTTCCGACGGCAACTGAAGTGGCTCCCTATTCGTTTTCGCCGAAACGTTCGTGTATTATGTGTGCTTTACAATATTTTGAAGACTTCTACACCTTCTTATTTAAGTGAACGCTTCACATTAGTGTCCCCTAGATGCAGACCAGTGCGTTCTTGTGTCAATTTGCCCAAATTAGTGGTTCCTCACTACAATACTACATTCTATAAAAAAATCTTTTTCTGTTACGGCAGCAAGTTTGTGGAATTCACTGCCTGATTATATTTTCAAAGATGATCCCTCATTCTCAACATTTAAGTTTAGAATTAAACAATACTATTTATCTAATCAGACATAAATTATTGTAGATTAGTATGTATTTATATGTAAGTATATATGTATGTATGTATGTATATATATATATGTATGTGAATATATATATATATATTTGTATAATCATAATATTTAGTTAATATATGTATTCTAATATTAAGACAATTCCATTCAATGCTGTACTGTACCTACTCTGCACTATTTTAACTTATTTTCTCACTTCTGAAGGGTTTCTGGAAGAGATCTCTTAAAGAGATAAGTTATCCTTTGTCAACATTTTGTTATTTTATTTTGTATAACGTATATTTTATGGTACATAAATAAATAAATAAAAATAAATAAATATATACTTAGGTATGACCAGTGGAGGTATAAAAACCAAATTTCAAACATTTAATTTTTATCTCAATAATTTTGTTTTAAGAAATACATTTAGAAGATTCACTATGAATTATTTAATTTATATTTTACTATATAGCGTTGTTTTAGCAAGTTCTAGGATTCATGCGGCAAATTTATGTCAGTAGATATGTTTTTTATTTACTTAATCCGAAAGATAAATTTTAATTTTTTATTATTTTTATTAACTTCAATTATATAGTTGCTGGCGAGGAAGTTGATTTAGGTCCTTACAATATTAAAGCAGCAGTCGGGAAAAAGGTACCAGACAATTTGCAAAAGGCAGAGGTAGACGTGCAAGTTTCTACAAACGCACGCACATTAGTGGAGCATTTACGTTCAAAGTTTTCATCCGGAGCCCCACCTCTACCCCCTCTGGACCCTTACAAATCGAAGGGCTTTTCTGCAGTCAGTTTAGATGGAAATAATAATTTACTTTTAACGTAAGTAAATTAGTATTTTTAGCTTCTATTAAAGTATGTAAGGTAATTAATATTTTAAATACCTACTTTAGGTCCGAAACACGTATTTATTACCTATTTGAATTTTAAAAAGATACACATAAAAATAAATATCTATATTGCAGTATATATTAAATGTATTTAACTGTTTTTTAACACGTGAATTAATATTTCGTTTTCAGTGGTAAAATCAATATTAAAGAAGTAATTTTAACTGGCGGAAAAGATTTCCGTTTGGGCCGAATTGAATTAAGCACGAGCAATAATAACATTAAGGTCAATTTGGAACTAACAATACCCGAATTGAACGGAAACGGTAATAACATTTTTTAAAATAGAATAGCTATTTATTATCAATTTGACTTAGATTTTTAGATAAAACTAGCATTGCCCGCGGCTCCGCCCGCGTTCAGATGACCAAAAACCAAATTCTTAGGTTTTACATATTAGTATACTCTTACATTGCAGGTTTTGTATTTTTTCTGAGAAATGAGACATTTTCTTTCAGTACTTTTTGATGCTCAACTACGATTGGCAGGAATCTTTCCAGTAGATGTCCAAGGCGAAATCAGGTACAATTGCTTTACGCTAAACATTTATATTGTAATAGTCTTATAGAAATATTAAAACACCTTGCATACGCTGCTATTCAGGGCGTCTCTGAAGGGCGTGAAAATCGACGGAGCAGCCTGGGCTGAAGAAAAGAAAGCTGCAAAACATATTTACAATCTACAAGGATTGCGAGCCGACTTTCATGCAGATGATATTAAAGTAAGCAAAAGTTACTGGCTTAGGCTTCATTTTTAATACTTAAGTAGAAAACTTATTGTTAGGTATTAATTAAACATTCCTTCATTTCAGATACGGTTAGTAAAAAGCAATTTGAGTGAATTCATAATAATTACAGCTGGCTCGTATATACCTATCGGTCCAAATACAGGATTAAGAAGTACGATTCAAAATTTAGTTAAAAATTACGTTGCGGACGAGGTTTTTAAACATCTAAATAGTATACTAAGTACACTAACTATTGGTGAAATTAAATCATTGTTGAAAGTTAACTAAATATTTTAACAGTGAAATATGGTAGATAATTAAAATTTAAAACTAAAATAAGAAACCAACGTATTTTACTTATTGTTATTATGTAATTTGCGGGACGTAAATAAATAAAAAAAAACTATTTAAGGAAATTAAATCTATGGTTTATTTACATTTTCATCAATAACATATGAATTAAGGCTAACGTCTGAAATGATATCCAAAAATTGCTTAGTTGTCACATTTGCCAGATATTGATTGGTATACGGAACAACGTAGTCCGTCAATGCTTTGTTGACTTCGTCATGGAAGTTCTTGAGCATCTGTATTCCTTCGCTGTTCAACACCTTGGTTAAAGGCCACGAACTGTTTTCTAAATCAGCCTAAATTTTAATTAGAAATACTAGTGTTAGAAAAGAAATATACCTACTAGTTTCTTATATACTACCTATATCGTAACTCGAACAATCCTCATTTTTATGTTAATTAGACAGGCCAAAAAACATATTTTATAAATTTCGCCATGACTGTTTGCTCCTGTGCAAAGCCCATTTAAATCAGAGTTACTAAACACAAAAAGGTGTTTAAAGTTTAAATAAACTGTAAAAAAAGGATGGTATATACAATATTTTGATGTTTCATCAATTTTTGGCTATTTCTAAATAGTTTTACATATTGATTTTTAGTCTATCTACATGCCAATATACCTACTGTAGGTAATATTTCTATTTCAATGAATAAACGTCCAATTTGTGATATAAATGCATTTTAAAAGTTTAATTGTACTCCTTCTTATGGAGTGATATAGTTTGGAGCAAGCTATAAGCGACTAGTATTTCCTAAGGGCTTATACACAACCCCACATATTGTAAACGCGCCGACACGGCACGACGGCGCGCGTCTCAGTATATACTTATAAGTTACTTTATGGGCGCGCGTATCTTGAAGGTACTTCGTTTGCGCATATCTTGCGCTAATAAATTAAAAAAATACAGATGGCGTTTGTATCGATACAATCGCGCAACAAGATCGTGTCAACAGCGAATTCACTGCGCGTTAAACAGGCCTCGAACGTGCGTTAAAGTCGTCGTGTGGATAAGACCAATGTGTGGCCTAAATAAGATAGCACGTGTGAAATGAAATGAGAAATAAGTAACGCAGTTACCAATAAATTTTAAACATTTGCCAATTAATGTTATTATACAAATATTCAGCACTGAGTTTTTTGTTGAAAAAGCATGTTAAAAATATTCTTAGTAATATTTATATTTTATAGTAATACTCACTTCCACTTTACCTATCGTATATTGGAGTGAGAAATCTTGTATTGATGTAGAAATATTATGATTGGCAAAACGAATGTTGAGTGTGACGTAAGTATTCCGGAGCACGATCCTGCAAAATGTTGAGCTACTCATTTACAAATATATCGATTGAATTATTGTATGTACTCTTAATACTTATATGTATATACATTCGCTCAGATGGTATGTATTCTGTTTATAAATAAGACCATTCTAATGATATAAAACACAAGAGTGAGAGATTTTTCTCTCCTTCGTCTTTTTTCTAAAGTCATCGTTTTTGTGTTATAGGATTTGAATTTGCAGGTATCGAAGTGATGACTCTTGATAACATACCGAGTTACAACATAATGTATGATGCAATCTAACAAAAATTAGCGCATAAATTTATATGAAAACCACCAAGACCAACTCAAAACATGTGCCACCCTAGTCTACATCAACAATAGCGGTTTCGAACACCGCTCTATGTTCGCTCGGTCCCATAAAGCCGTTTTTTATATATTCTGAATAGTTTTGGACTATTCGACAAAAATTTAAAAGTAGCTTGCATGGGCAAAGAACGGCTATGTTATTGCGCAAAGCTACAGACAGACATGTGTATTACCGCCTTAATGTATGTCATACTATATCTATCCACCGCGTAATGTTATAATTTATTATCATATATACTTACTGTGCCTGAAAGATAGATTAACTGTTTACTTATCAAATACAATAAAAGTATGAAAAACCCTTACGTCATTGCCCCTGATCCATTTAACGGGTAAACGTAATAAGCTCGTCCGTGGAGTTCATACTTATCTGAAGATCAAAAGTTAATATTAAATAGCAAATCAGTGATTTCTAATGGAATAATGGTCTAATGACCTATTAAGACCTAACAGTAGTATTAGACCTAATGTTATAGTGATATGTATTGTCTATATCCTTATTATTTAGATAAATGAAATTGAATTATTTATGTACCAGAAAAAAAAACATACACGTAAAAACAGATACCATGTGTACAAAGGATGACTTATCTCTTTAAGAGATCTCTACCAGAAACCCTCGAGCGTGAAAAAATTTATATCTGTTTGGAAATTATACTAGGAAGATACTACCGACCCATAACGGGTAGGTATCCCTCTCTTTTTCGTTACAAGACCAAGACCCATGGACTCTTCCCCTTCGGAAAATAAGTGTTTCAATATTATGTAATTTAATTCGAAGCCTTTAAAACAGCATAAGAGTTTTAAAATTCTCTACCTACATCTTCTGAAAGTTTTTTAAAAGCTGATACCTATAAGAGTCTGCGGATATTAATGTCATCTACTCGTACTACCTATAGTACATGAGATGGTGATGTACTTCAAAATATTAGAAAATTAATTTTATTACTTACCGGCATGTAGAGTCAACGTTGGTATAGCGAACTTCGCATGTATATCTAAGTTGTCCACTGTTTGAACGACGTTCAGTGATTCGATAGTAAAATTGTTAAGTTCAGTTAGCTCCATATCTCCAATAGAAAACGCGACTCTGTATAAAATATACCTAGTATCTGAGTATTTTTTTAAAGTGCAACAAATGTAGAAGGTAAACTAACGGATACTTTCATTTTTTTATTACACTCATAGAAAAATCTAGAGTAATGCTAAAAAAGCCATTTAGAAATAATCGCCTTTTAGATTCTTAGATCGCGGAGTTAACGCAGTAGGGATGGCTTGAATTTTTAAGAAAGTTTATAATGTTGAACACTGAGAAAAATAAAAGAAGATTAAAAAATGAGAAGTCTAGAAACTTGAAGGCAGACTTAGTAATTCGTGTTTCTTTAGTAATCAACTGCATTCGTCAGGCTATTAGTGTTTGAGTTGGCTGCGGAATAAAATCAGGAGAGTGTGCTGATCGATTCCTGTACCTACTTCAATTTCAACTTCTGTCAGATATTACAAAACACACTACATAAGCTGTAAGCCAGGTATCGCAATGCTGTCAGAGATCAATTTTCAATAATGTGTAGTTCGATATACTCTCAAGTAATCCCACTCCACAAAATTATACTGACTCTCCTCTCCAAAAGGCTCTCTCCTAGCAATGTTGCACTGATAATATCTCTCTCAGTTTCTCATTGTCGTAAGTCGTACTCTGTCTGTCTACCCTTTTATCATGTTGCTAAACTTGAATTTGACGACTTCAAGCATCATCATTATAATATTGTAATTTTCAAATTTTATACCTATTCAATATGCATGGTAATATACACTGATTTGAAAGTTAACACTGTGGTCTAAATGAATTATCAAACTTGTCTATATTCTTGCTAACTATAAATTATTAATTACCTATAACAATAGATTAATATATGTATATTCAACGGTTTAAAATAAAGAAACCAATACTTACTTTATACCTTTTCCCTCATAATAACTTTGTATAGAATTTATATATATTGACTTTAATGACGGAAGTGGAAATACGTTTGTATGTACCCCACCCTTACGCCATTTGTCGAAAACGCCCAAGACTTGTTCCTCAAGTGCGTTTTTAGCTAAGGAAGAAAGGTAATTCAAAGATTTATATTATATTATACACTTAAGTATACACAAAAAGTATCAATAACTTACGTAAAATGTTATCCCCGTTAATTACAACTGCAATAATTAGATAATACAATATTATAGCACAAAATAAGATGACTTTCATTATTTTATTTATTTATTCGGACAGAAAATAGTAGTGACTATAGTAGAATGGAACAGAACTTGTACTATATAGGTGTATATACATACCTACATATATACCTGTCAGATTACTGAGATGATGATTTGTTTACTGATCTCAGTTAAAATATTATTGTTGGATATAACTTATCTGGTAAATCTATACATATAATAAAATTCTAACTGAGCCGAATCTGTACATTAAATATTTTTTGGAAAATCTTTTTGAAATAGACATTATTATATAAAGAGGCCGAATCTACACTTTTTAGAATTTTTGTCTGTCTGTCTGTCTGTTTGTCTGTCTGTCTGTTACCGCATCACAAAAAAACCACTGGAGGGATTTTGATGAAATTTTGTATGATGGTTGCTGGTTATCCAAGTCAATATATAGGATACATTTTACCGCGGGAAAATATCTCATTGCTCTGAAAAAAAAACAAAAACTGCAATGTAAGAGTATATCTACTAATATGTAAAACCTAAGAATTTGGTTTTTGGTTATATGAACGCGGGCGGAGCCGCGGGCAATCCTAGTGCTTAATATAAAAGGGTTTTTCATTTACAGCTCTTATTTACACAGACAAAGCGATTTAAGCAATACTAAAAAGTTACATGTAACTAATTAACGTTTAATGCTCTATTTGTTGATGCCATGACCCAGAAAACATTATTTGAGACGAAGTGCCTATATTAAAGGTTGTAAAGTGTAAGATTATAAAAATAATAGTCACAAAAATTAGGTCTTACTATCAACATGAACAAATACTTAAAAAAATTTATTCCACACAAGATTAAATATTGTTAAACAATAAATGTAAATTTATATTCCTTAATTAATTTTTCCATTGATTTGCTGTTTTAAGTTAGAATCGAACTTATGGGACGAACTGCAATTTTAAATAAATTTAATAGGTAATTTCTTTTTATAAACCATACCTATAGGTACATTTATTAAATATTTAACCTAGTCTATAATGATAAAATTTTATTATACGGTTGTTCGGGTAAATTAAATAAATTTAAATTATAATATAAAGTTAATATATTTGAATATTATTAAAATTTGGTTTTAGATTTTTATATTTATAACTAGCATTGCCCGCGGCTCCGCCCGCGTTCTAGTGACCAAAAACCAAATTCTTAGGTTTTACATATTAGTATACTCTTACATTGCAGTTTTTGTATTTTTTCTCAGAAATGAGACATTTTCCCGCGGTAAAAAGTATCCTATATGTTGACCCGGATAACCAGCTATCACTATACCAAATTGCATCAAAATCCCTCCAGTGCTTTTTCTGTGATGCGATAACAGGCAGACAAAAATTCTTAAAACTATAGGTTCAGCCTCTGTTAGCGATAATAATGTGTATTCCAATAAGATTTTCCAAAAAATATTTAAAGCACAGATACGGCTTATTTAAAATTTTAATGTATCTATAGATGTAACTAATTTATAAAGCCAAAAAGATTGGTTTTTGATAATTTGAACACGGGCGGGGCCGCGGGTAATTTAATAGTAATTCTAATAAAATCATAGAAAGGTCTAATTTGTACATTCAATTTTTTGGAATTAAAACTACGTATTTTAAAGACACATGGCGACATCTACTGACAAATATCTAAATAATACAAAAGTAAATATTCATTAAACTAACTTTTTTAATGAATAAAATAGTGCTATTGATATACTTTTTCAAGATTAGCTATTTTTAATAGTTTGTCATATTTTGTAAGTTGACTTACTAAAATGTATATAGTATGATCGTTCTCTTATTCTAATCAGTTTTTGTATTATTTCTCAGAAATGAGACATTTTCCCGCGATAAAAAGTTATATATATATGTTGACCCGGATAATCAGCTATGACCATACCAGATTTCATCAAAATCCGTCTAGTAGTTTTTCTGTGATGCGGTAACAGACAGACAGACAGACAAAAATTCTAAAAACTAGATTCGGCCTCTGTATCGATAATAATGTCTATTTTAATAAGATTTTCCAAAAAATATTTAATGTACAGATTTGACTCAGAATTTTATTATATGTATAGATTATGCATACATTAGAAGAAATTTCTGATCTCATTTCAAAAAACCCCCTACGCAAATTAATGGTCATTTAGCGATTACACTGGCAGGCGTGAAGCATTCAATAATCATTAATCATACGCCAAAATGCCTTACATCATTTTGGGAAAGAGCTGATACTCTTCCACTGCTGGACCGATATTAACCAAACATAGCTAAAAACCACTGCAAGGAAACTTTCAAATGAAAAAAACCTCATTGAAATCGGTCCATTCGTTTGAGCGCTCGCTTTTCGCTCGGTTTCGGTCAGAAAAAAAATCATATCTCGAAATAAGATATCGAAAAAAAACCCCTAGAGATATGACTTCGGACTAAATTTAAAAAAATATTGAAGGTGCATATCACTGATGGGTTATTCAGAAGTTGTACCTTTGTGACGCTGAGTTTACGCGAGGAGAGTGCGTGAGTGCGATAATAACGGTGAATAAATGTTTTGGAGCATGATTTTGTTTTTGAACCGAAATTATTTTTTATGAATAAATAAATATGTATTTAAACTAATAACTAACTAATATTTATACATATACCTAATAGAACAGTGACTAAGCGAAATTTATACGTGAAATATTTTTTCAAAACAATGACTGTAACGTATTGTGTCCTTCAAACCCCAAAACAATGACTATGAAAATTTTTGTCTGTTTGTCTGTATGTCTGTTTGGGTGTGCGCGTTTCACGAAAAAAGTACTGAACCGATTTTAACTAAATGTTGTGTACTGATAACTTATTACTCGGGTTAGGATATTTAAGATATCTTTTACTGCACGAAAATAAAAGAAAAGGGAGAGGAGAGGAGCGGAGCGGAAAGGAGCGAGAAGAGAGGAGCCTGTTGTTGAGATTTGGCCTGTCTTTTGCAGTTCTTTTTCGCAAATCTTCTTCGCCTGTCTTCTTCATCTGTCTTCTCCTCTCCTCTCATCTCATCCCCTCTCTGCTCCTCTTCTCTCCACCCCCTTTTCTCTATATATTTATTTATTTGTTTGTTTAGGCTTAACTGTCAGTTAGTTTCACTGTCTGTTCGTTTAACTACCAGTTAATTTAACTGTCAGTGAGTTTAACTGTCAGTTTCTTTAACTGTCAGTAAGTTTAACCGTTAGTTAGGTTGACTGTCAGATTGATTAACGGCTAGTAAGTTTAACTGTCAGTTAGTTTAACTGTCTGTTCGTTTAACTGACAGTTATTTTAACTATCAGTAAGCTTAACTGTCAGTTTGATTTACTGTCAGTTTGATTAACGGCTTGTAAGATTAACTGTTAGTTAGTATAACCTCCAGTTAGTTAAACTGTCGGTAAGCTGAACTGTCAGTTAGATTAACAGTAAGTTAGAATAACGGCTAGTTAGCTTAATTGTCAGTTAGTTTAACTAATAGTTTTCTTAACTGTCAGTTAGTTTAACTGATAGGTTCCTTAACTGTCAGTTAGTTTAACTGTCAGTAATGTAACTGTCAGTAAGACTAACTGTCAGTAAGACTAACTGTCAGTAAGACTAACTGTCAGTAAGACTAACTGTCAGTAAGACTAACTGTCAGTAAGACTAACTGTCAGTAAGACTAACTGTCAGTAAGACTAACTGTCAGGTTTTATTAACAGCTAGTAAGTTTGACTGTCTGTTAATGTAACTGCCAGTAATATAAACTGTCAGTTAGCTAGACTGTCAGTTAGTTTAACTGTCAGTTTGTTTAACTATCAGTAAGTTCAACTGTCAGTTAGGTTGACGGTCAGCTTGATTAACGGCTAGTAAGTTTAACTGTCAGTTAGTTTAACTATCAGTAAGCTTAACTGTCAGTTTGATTTAATGTCTGTAAGGTTAACTGTCAGTTTGATTTACTGCCAGTAAGGTTAACTGTCAGTTTCATTAACGGCTTGTAAGATTAACTGTCAGTTAATTTAACTGCTAGTTTGTATAACCTCCAGTTAGTTAAACTGTCGGTATGTTTAACTGTCAGTTAGATTAACAGTTAGTTAGAATAACGGCTAGTTAGCTTAACTCTCAGTTAGTTTAACTGATAGTTTCCTTAACTGTCAGCTAGTTTAACTGTTAGTTTCCTTAACTGTCAGTTAGTTTAACTAATAGTTTCCTTAACTGTCAGTTAGTTTAACTGTCAGTAATGTAACTGTCAGTAATGTAACTGTCAGTAATGTAACTGTCAGTAATGTAACTGTCAGTAATGTAACTGTCAGTAATGTAACTGTCAGTAATGTAACTGTCAGTAATGTAACTGTCAGTAATGTAACTGTCAGTAATGTAACTGTCAGTAACGTAACTGTTAGTAAGACTAACTGTCAGGTTTTATTAACGGCTAGTAAGTTTAACCGTCAGTTAATTTAACTGCTAGTAAGATAAATGTCAGTGAGCTTGACTGTCAGTTATTTTAACTGTCAGTTTGTTTAACTATCAGTAAGTTTAACTGTCAATTTGATATACTGTCAGTCACGTTAACTATCAGTTAGATTAACTATCAGTTTGAATAACGGCTAGTTAGATTAACTCTTAGTTTGATAAACTGCTCGTTAGTTAACTGTTAGTTTGATTAAGTGCTAGTTAAACAGACGTGTCTTCTTTGCATTTCTTCTTCGCCTGTGTCTGTTTTTTTTTAATGTCTGTTCTCTTCTCTTTCATCCATCAAATTATATATTATAGCGGCTCACCCTCGCTTCGCCCGGGTTTCTAGACAAACAAAAACAAATCTATCCCAGGGGAACCGTACATTTTTCTGGGATAAAAGTAGCCTATTTGTTATTCTGACGTATGAACTAATACAGTTTCATTAAAATCCAATCAGTAGTTTTTGTGTGTGTATAAGTTACTAGAGATTTTAACTACCCCACGGGAACTATTTAATTTTCCGGGATATAAAGTATCTAAAATGTTGACTGGGGATATAAGGTACCACCATGTAAAATTTCATTTAAATCGGTCCAACAGTTTCGGAGATTAGCCCGTACAAACAGACAGAGAAACAAAAAAAAATAAAAAAAATCTGGATTTCTGATTTCTCTTCTTACATCCCCCTGACTCGGTTTTTAGCATATTTTTCTATGTACAGACATTCGACCTCTACAGTTTTATTATATGTATAGATAATATCTTTATGCATCCAAATACTTTTTTGTAGTCTGAACGCGGGCAAAATCGGTTGTTCTGCTAGTAATTAATTGTTAAAAATTTAATATAGTTAATTTGGCAGATTCATTTTTAATGTACTCTAAGGTCGTTGCAGATACGAGATCTGTGGGTTTTTTTTAAAAATGGGTAGTAATTATTCCATAAATCAAGAAAAATATGTATTATGAGTTAGTTTCAAGCTATTAAGGTTTCCGAGATACGTCACTTTGAACGAAACTCATAGTTACGCTCATTTTTAACCCCCGATACAAAAACGACGGGGTGTTATAAGTTTTACGTGTCTGTGTGTGAACCGATTTGGTTTTGTTTTTTTTTGAAAGGTGAATTTTTAATTTATCACTAGTTTTTCATATCTCGTACGGTAGTGAAACTTATCGCTTTTCTACATCAAGCCGTTATTGACACATAATTTTCGATATAAATTGCCATTAAGGGCCAGTCGGTAGCTTATCCCTTTACGATAATATAACTACATCTCTAATTGTAAGACAATAGACATAAAATGATTTAATGAGCTAATACAAATAATATTACTGTTTTGCATTACAACAAAACAGGTATTATGTGTTGAATAAAACACACAGCGTTACGATGAAGAAAGCTGTTGTGTGAACCTGCCTTTAATTAAGTATCTATGGTAAAACTTACCTTGTTATCTATGGTTTTATACCTGTCTCTTTCTCTCACCAGCGGGCTTCATCTTCCGTCTCAGAAGCATGTCCTAAAGTTTCAAACTGTTTCATAGAGTCTTCATAAGTTCATCTCACCAGCAAGAACATTGCTGTAACGCTGTGTGTTTTATTCAACACATAATACCTGTTTTGTTGTAATGCAAAACAGTAATATTATGTATCTTTCTAAAACACACAGCGTTACGATGAAGACCTGTTTAGTATCTGCTGGTGGTAAACACAAACGCTATGATGAGAATAAATTTTAAAACTGTTTTAAAGAAAATCAGTTTAATTATCTAATAAAACTAAAATAACATTATAAACAACACTTAATAACTTATAAGTCACAACTTCTGTTAATCTATAAAATCTTTATAAAGCCTCAATACTTGTGAGTAAAAAATTAACAAAATAGTGTAAAATTATTAGTATAAGGATTGGAATATGATGGAAGGGTAAGTAATTAACAGTTTTTATTTCATAGGAGTGTATTGAATAGAGATTTTATACAGAAATTGTTATATTTGTCAAACATCGTAAGCATTCACGCGCGCTTAGTCCTTATATTTTCACTTTCTCTGAATAAAAAATACACTAGTGATAACATAATATTTTTATTAACATGATTTAAATTTATAACTAAATAACTACGTATAATTGAATTTGTAAGATTTCTATTAGATTTTAAGTAATTAATAATATAATAACACGTTACCCAAATTCGAGCCGCCATTATTGACGGCTGTTGGATAGTATGGGGAAGGCTTTTTTAATATTCATTAGAATATTTTCATTGATGTTTTTTTAGCATTATTTGAAATTTAATATTTTATAAATATTTTAACTGTTTTTCCTAAAAAAAATTGAATTTTTTAAAACAGTACGATTTTTATTTTACAGATATAAGTTTAACTTACACATTACTTTAAAACATTATAAAAATAAAAAAACCTAACTGCATAAAAGCTAACTAAAAAGATAAAAACAAGTTGACGAAGGAATAAAGTATTATGCAGTTGGTGACATACGTATATACATCTCGCGACAAGGATGAAATGTATTTTTTTATTTACAGCTTTTTAATTTTATTAGAAATTTGAAGTTATAATAGGTCTTTTGAAATTGCCGTTCTACAATACTTACTGGCCATTGGAAACGTAATTTATGATTGGCCGGCAATAAATTCTAAATTCAAAGGAATTTTTTTTAAAAGTATGGAGTTCTATTTTTGAATTCAGTCGTTTGTTTATTAATTAGTGTTTTGTTTTCACTACATTTGTTTGTTTTTCATCAATATGAACAAAATAAAAATACGATTAATTATGAAATACGAGTTCCATCGCGGTAGCAATCCCGCACAAACAACTCGCAACATTAATGACGCGAACGGAGTGCCGAGTGAACACTACATACGAACGCACAACTCGTTATTGGTCTGAACACTTCCAACATCGAAATTTTGATCTTAAAAAATTAACCCCTTGGTCGCCTGAAAACTAAAATCAGTAACGACGCATTAAAGGTGATAGTGGAAGCTGACGATACTCAATCTGTGGCTGAGATAGCAGCAGCTTTCAACGTTAGCATCAAAACAATATTGGTCCATTTGCATCAAATTGCATCAATAGCATGGGTGCATATTTTGATTAATAGAAATGAAATATATTTATAAAAATACAATACTTTAACTTTCTGTATATTAAACGACAATTTCATAGGTAAAGACTTAATATTTAGCAATTTCTTATCCCAAATTACCTTTAAACATGTAAGTTGTGTTCTCTTAATTTTTTTTGTGATCACCAAAAATCTTTATTTTGAGACCCCATTCGATTGATTTGGAAGATTTTTTTACAGACACACAAATTGGCGCCTGATATCCGCCATTTTACTTTTTAACTATTTTTAATTTTTAACTATAACGCGAGTATTATAGGCTATATATAGCTTATGACACTCGCGTAAATACGAAACTAACGACATATGAATCATAGAAATCGGCCCACGCGTTTGGTCACTAGAGTGTCATACATATGTACATACATACATACATAGACTGATAAACACATTACCCTCCTTTGCGTCGCGCAGTCGGGTAAAAAATAAGTTTATTTGCATCTCTTAAACTAGTATCATGTTGCATTTTATGTTTATTGTAGCTGCACCAAAATTGCTTAAAACATGCCTTATTAGATTACAATATTATGATCGGAGGGTGAACAAGAAAGACCAATTGTAGGCAATGTACCCCATAGAGCGGAAGCGAACAAGGGTGTAGTATAAAAAACTATTTATTTAAAAAAAACCGACTTCCAGGCACTAAAATGTAAAAAATAACTAAACGGAGGTTTTCATTTAGAATAGATACCTAATCACAAATTTTTGAAGTCGGTGCCAGCCGACAATATTTTAAGATATGAATATCTAATACGTAAATATGAATTTTATGTATCGAAATATATTAGATTTGCTTTGCATCGGCTGGAACTGACTTCGAAAATATCTGATTTATATATTATACCACGCCTTTGTTCGTTTCGACGACGTGACTGAACATCGAAGACGTGGTGAACATTATATGGGAGGAGATTAGTATAGTTACGTATGTATCTTTACTTAGTAATAATTAGTATTTGTTGCTTTTAGGATAGGTGTTCATCTTTTTTTTTTTCATTTAAAAAAAATATGTATAAAAGCTTCTACCTGCAAGCAATATTCATTAAAAAGTGTCCTTTACCTAACAAAAGGCATCCAAAATTTTCAACTTCAGATTTAAAACATCTGTGAGTACTAATTACAAAGTTTTTATACTCTACTATATTTTTTTTACTACTATAACTATGGAGTCCATCAAATTCTCAATACAGTAACTAGCACAATACTTCAATCTTATAAAATATAAATGAAAAATTTAAAAGTAACCCCGACATGTAATTCACCATTTTGTGGTGGCGACCATCTTGGATTCGAAAATTATACTAGTCAAGCCTAATTCATTTGATACTCATTTGATTGATTGATTGAGGGAGTTGTGAAAAAATATGTAATCCGCTATTTTGTGGCGGCGGCCATCTTGGACCGATTTTCATCAAACATAGCTAAGATCACTTGCCAATAATTCACCTTTCAAAGAAAAAATAAAATCGGATCATCTCTTCGGGAGCTACTATGCCACAGACTGACACACACACACACATACACAGCACGTCAAACTTATAACTCCCCGTCGTTTTTGCGTCGGAGGTTAAAAACAGTAGAATAAAAATAATTCCTGTCCGAATTAATATTTGAAGTTGTTTTATTTTGTATTGATGTTTTATCATTTTATTTCCATAACACGTTTTATTATCATTTTATTTCCATAACATAATCTGTTCAGAAGTGATTGAAATGGTCGTACAGTGCGTTCACAGTTATTTTACCTCTAGCTCTTATGTTGGCCAATGTGAGCGTTATGTTGCCATATTTAGCTCATATGACTCCTTTATACGAAATGTTAAATTTTTTATATGCAGTTATTATTAAACTATTATTAATAATATCTATGCCTATTTTTTCTTACACAATAACATTGTAATGTTTATAATAAAATCTTTTGTTTTCAGGATGGATGAACGCATTTAAATTTTTCTTTTTAAGAAATCAGTTCGGTTGTACGAAAATTGGTTTAGCAAAGTTTAAATTTTGTTCCATTTGATATACAAAAGTAAAAATTCGTAAATTACATGAGCGTGATATATTAATTATTAAATATAAATTATAAACAGCCATTTGAATTATAAATATTTTTTTATTTTGAATAAGCATGATCCATGTGGATTGCCAATGATGAATAATCACTATCAGATGAATCTTCGGAACTGCTGTCAGATTCTGTATCAGACTCATTATTTAATTCTATTATGAACCTGTCCATTTCAGCGTCCATACACACATCTCTTTCACGAAGCTTGTCTTCAATGTGGCGCACATGTTCGCATTGTTTTTGCCAGTCTTCTGCAGTGATACTTTGAAAAGCTTCTTCAGCTAAATTAACTATATTGTTTGTTTCTTGTCCTACGTTTTTATTTGCTACTCGCCTTTTGACAAGACTGCACATAAATTCAATTGCGTTTAACTCGCAGTGATACGGCGGTAATCTAGCCACTTTGTGGCCATGAGCTTGAAGCATTTGATCGGCTTCATATATTGGAGCTTCTTTATGTTCTTTAATAATTTTATAAAGTTGAGCTTTTACCATTGTAGGCAGATACGATAACCCCTTATTTACGATCCAGTTTTGCATTTCTGCTTTGGTAGAGCTTAATGTTGGTGCCTTGTTTAACTTTACCGTGTGATAAGGGGCATTATCCATAACCACTAAACTATTAGCCGGCAAGTTAGGAATTAGTTTTTCCTGAAGCCATTTCATGAAATTTGTTTTGTTCATGTCATCATGGTAGTCACCTGATTTCGACTGGGATTGAAAAATTAATAAAGCTTTTAGTATAAACCCCATTTCACCACCCGCATGAACAATTATCCATCGTGCACCAGCAGAATCGTTTTTTAGGACACCTTCATTTTCTATTTGCCAGCATTTATTCACTGTGTAAGACGCGTGAATATAAGTCTCGTCCAAGAATACAACAGGCCTACCTTCATCGCGATGTTGTTTCAAAATAGTTAAGTATCTGTATCTCCAAGCTACAATATCAGGCCTTTCCATAAGTAACTTCCTTTTTGACCCACATTTTTTAAATCGAAATCCAATTTGTCGGATAATTTTCCACAATGTAGTACGACCTCCACGAAAATTTATGTCAGTTTTTAACTCTGCTAAGAGTTTTCCCAAAGTCGGTACCTCTTTTCTGACGGTATACATTTCATGTATTTTATTTCGAACTGCACACAGATCAAAATCATCTAGTATAATTTTCTTTTCTTGCACGCGTTTCTTTCTTGGCGTAGAAATTTTTTGAGATGACTCGCCTTCTTTGGTAATGGTGCTGACGGTTTTTTCAGATATACCTGAAACATGAAAAAAAGCTTTATTTGATAGTCTAGGTATTTCTTAGCCTATTTCTTCTCAATAATGTCCCTACTTACGTTTAAGGTACAATCATTCGCTTCTAAAGGAAAAGTGAAGTACTAATTGTTAGTACAAAATAGAATACAGCTCGGCCCCTTGTTTATTTTATTATATATTAAAAACAAATAGCAAGGACATGAAAATTAAATATAGAATTAAAGTCAACTGAATACAAAAACTCGACATGATACTATAAAAATAATACATAACAAAACATCACAAAATCTTTGTTGTCCTCGTGTAAGTAGACTTACAAAAAATACAAGAAGTCGAACATGCCTTGTGGTGTTAGCAAATCGAATATCATGTGACAGAACTATATACTGCCCACCTGAGCCTAAAGTGCAGTAATAGACATTTTGGTCGGTTTTGAGTTAATTATATATTCAAAATCCCCATTTTAGTAGCTATCAGTCAAATTAATTAATTTTTCTGTAGCGCTAATAAAAGTATTTTATTTTAATGTTTTTTCGGAAGGTGTAACAGAAAAAATATCACAAATCTGTTAAAATATTCCATGTTTACCAGCTAAACCGCAGTACAATTAATACTGCACAAGATTTTTCTCTGTTTCCTAACTAAACTGCAGTGTTTTATCATATTTTGTGGCACTTAAAATAGTAGTTTGTTCTAGGAGATTCAAGAAAAAACTTATTAAAATGCAGTATTAACATTCCATACTGCACATTAACTTGTGGGGGATTTTGTAATTTCTTGTGAATAACTAAAAGACATGCAGTATTTAATAACTTTACTGCAGTTTAACTTGTAGGATGTTTTGTAGTTGCTTGTAAAAGACCATTTAGTTTACAATATTTATAAATTTTACTGCATATTAGTTAGTTTGCTCCATCCAAGTCATACTACCTAAAATACTTAGTCAAATACTATTCCCTAATACTGCGTTTTAATAGGTAAAATTATTAAAATATTAAAACACAGGACAGGCAATATCGCGGTTTGAGGCAGTCCTTCTGTCTGTCTGTCTCAAGGATCTGTGGCTTAAGGCTGACTTGACATGCCATGTTGTGTCTGTACCAAAGAGATATGGAGGGTAGAACTAAGGAGAACTATTTCTCGTATAAAAAGTGACCGCTGACAAGCATTAAATTGGTGGCGCCACAGAAAACAAGTATATGAATCTATACATCTATACAGATAAATAAAATTGTAGTGTCTGTTTGTAATGTCAAAATAAACCTTTTCACTAAATGCATATGAAATTATATACGGTACTTATAAGAAAAACTAATTTTTAAAATTTTTTGTCTGTCTGTTTGTTCCGAATAATCTCTGAAACGGCTGGACTGATTTTGACGGACTTTCAGTGGAAGGTAACTGATGTTATAGGGAGTAATATAGGCTACTTTTATTTTTAAAAAAGAATTAGAGTTCCGCTCAAAAAAAAAAGTATCCAGGGACGAACCCGAGTGAGGCGAGGGTGAGTCGCTAGTTTAAAACATAGCGTCATAAAAGTAAGAAGGTGAATTAAACAAGGAAAGAAAGATTTCCGCTTTGCTGTGGCGCACTTTTCAAAATAGTTCTAGCATAGGCAAACAGCACTATAATTATATATTATTTTCAAGTAATAATAATTCAGCACACTTCACTCCGTTAAAAACTACTAACTTCACATCACATCTACTTGCTACGCTAGTGCTGTAACGGTGAGTTTCTGAGCTATAATTTGCTGCTCACTACTGGACACTTTTTCAACTTGTTTCCCATATAAGTTAATTCTTCTTGGTTCTCCCTTCCATAATCTTTTCAGACTATTATTTTTGTAAGACAAGAATATTCATTTAGTAATTAGTTATGTTCAGAAGAAAGATTTTATGTAAATTTTATTGATCCATGCATGAGAAATACATGTGATATAGTTTTATGGTGGATTAACTAGTTAAGATTATCAACATCTTGTAAAGATTGTTATATTGTTAGTCATATAAAACAATTTACACTATTAGATTATAATGTACAATGTTTTGATGAATAGTTTTAATAGCATAGTCATAAATGCATGTCCAAACTGGACTGTTTAAGAAATTACATATTTTTATCAAAATTAAAGGTAATTTTATATTACTATAAGTGTGGAATATCAGTGTTTTGTTCAAAAAACAGATTAAATAGCAGTATTTTCATAATATTACTGCACTTTAGTTAGTAACAATCATGGAAGAAATGTCTAAAATGCAGTAATAACAGGATTTACTGCATTTAAAACAGTTTTTGAAAACATTATACAAATAAAGTGTGTGTAGTAATAGGGGCTAAAAAATTAAAATTGCCATAATTATAGTTTTTTATAAAAAAACTAACGTAACAATGTTTAGTATTTTAGTTTGGTACATATTCTTTCACTTTTCATTCAAGGTTTTATCGAAAAGTCTCTTTTTGATATATTTTTATGGATTCTAAACTTTAGGCGCGTTTTTCTCGAATTCGTGTTTTTGCTGTTACTGCACTTTAGGTTCGGGAGGGCAGTATATTATATTGATGGTGGTTATGGTTTAAATTAAAATAAAATTTAAATTGGGTAAAATGTTAAAGACTGGTAACCCTATTTTACATACCTGTCATGGCGGACACTCGTTGACGAACATTTCCAAATGGAATTAAAGGAGCATTATTGTCTTTTTCCCTTTCACAAAAATCAGGCACTGATAATACAATATTTCTTCCGCTACTTTGAATCCTTTTCGGCATGATTATAGATAAAATATCACAAATATTACAGAAAAACGCTAGGAACTTCAAAGGACGACTTGATAGTAAAGCCAACATAAAGAAAACATATCATGACATCTGTCAGAGGTAAAATAAGTTGGAATGGACTGTATCCATACTTTTTTAGCTGCCCCTTGTAATTCTTATAGTGAAATTGTTAGTTTTCAGAATTGATTTCTGAAATATTCTAATAAGGCAACATGTATTTTTATTATATTTTTCTAATTTTAAATATCACTAAATTGTAAGATGTTAATATATTTTAATGAAATTTTAAACAGAATTTGCTCCGCGATCCAAAGTTCGAGATGACGTTTGCTAGCACTTATTTTAAAGTGTTTGGTTTATTGTTTAATTCTCGTAAACTAAATAGTTATAAGAACTCAATCTATGTCAGTATTACGTATGTGGACTAAACTATAATATAAATGATTATCCTAAATCTCTCGATCTTCAATGCTCTCAGAATTAAAGTATAAAAACTACCTCTTTTTTATCCGGCGCTAAGTCGTTATGATTGAGACATGTTATTGAAAAAGCTCGTGGTATAAAAAAAATGTACAGTGAGTTATGTTGTTTTAATCAATTAATATAAAATATTGTATCTATTATTAAATGAAATAATAACTTTTTTAAATAATAGTTCTATTTTGTAATAATTCCTGTTTTTATACTATATACTAATAAAAAATCACTTACAGTAATTTCATCTTAGAATTAACTATATATTATTAAATATAATTGAACTCATTTATATATATAAATTCGTAGTTTATTTTAAAACGATTCTAACGATATAACCTTTATATATAGCTTATATATAAAATTTTAAGAAATATTGTTATTTTAATGATGCGTACATATTTCGCGCTGGCCCTCGAAAAGTAGCTGACAGATGCGCCATATTCTTGTAAAATGACAGCGACAGTTGAGGGGATAATATTTGTCATCTGTAAAGGAGACGTTTTGTAATGAATAGGTTTTACCTTACCAATAAAACCTGCATTGTGCTCCGAGCCTTGTCCGGGCAGATGGTGAGAGAGCTATTGCTGAATTTGAGTGTAAATAAATATTTTTGCGGCTGGCAACCACCTTGTTTTATCCATCCTGAGCTTCCGTACTACGAATATAGTTGCATTTTATCAACTTCCTGTTTCACTTACCTTCCCCACCAGGTAGGAGCAGGCTTGTCTCCTAAATTTATTCTTTCATTGATTCTCACCAGGTACCTAATAGTGCCCGGACAAGGCTCGGAGCACAATGCAGGTTTTATTGGTAAGGTAAAACCTATTCATTGTGCATTCCTCGCCTTGTCCGGGCAGATGGTGAGAAGTGTCTGTTATTTCCTGGTGAAGTGATCTACATGAGCTGTAATCATTCTAAAATGTTATTTATGCATATTAACTGAAATATTAACAAATAATAAGCTGTTGTATAAAATAACAATATTTATTTATCTACATAAATTAAACAGAAAATTCAAAATCATACAGGTAAATACACATGTAGTTTAATTAAATTGAATTAAATAATTTAGATAGATTTTGATTACTACTAGAATTAGTATTCTTTATAATTTCCTTACAATAATGTTTATGGAAAGTCGAAGCTTGTTTCCAGTTACCTTTTTGTAAAATCATATCAATTGGTACATTATGTATCCAGTTATATGAAGCTACTGCCGAACGGGTACTACCTGGGGTAGCCTCTATACCTGCAGCTTTAAAAACTGTTCTTACCCAGTTAGCAATCACTGTCCTGGATGCAGGCTTCGGCTCCCCATGAATGGTAATAAAAAGTTGTTGAAATGAGCGTCTTCTTATTTTCAATAAATCAATAACTTTTCGAATCCAAAATACTGGATAAATCCTCTCGTCTTCATGAACATTAAGCTTCCATCCTGACTGTTGGTGTTTTTTTTTTTTTTTTTTTTTTATTTATACTGACACACCTCCGATGTGGGAGTCGGAGTCCTTGTTTACAATTTTTCTTACTTGCTATTACATTGTTTTTTAAGCGGTATTCTACATATAGTCTTACGTTCTATTTGTACTTTAGATTTACAGTATTTTTACATTTTCCTTATGATTTATCTTATTATTACTAGTTTTGTTATTTTTATAACTTATTACATATTCCTTATTTCTATTACATATACTTACTTAGTTCTATCTCTAACATTTTACTTTTATACTTAAATTTCATGCACAATACCATCATAATGTTGTTATGGTGGATTTACAATTTTCATACTTATATTGTTTTACATTGTAATGGATATAGCACTTTTTTTTTTCTTTTTTTTTTCTAAATCTTAGTGCTATGTCGTTTATTCGCTATTTTTGTAATAAAAGAACAAAATGCTAAAAATATACTGCGATATTGTTTATTTGCTAGAATAGTGTGTAGGTTGTCTAGTTTGAGTTCCATTCTTATTTGTGCTTCCAGGTCATGGCGTGCCATGCAGAATCTCGGACAGTTAATAATCAAATGGATGCTTGTTTCCATTTCGTTAGAATCGCAAATGCATCTGGGGTCAGTAATGCATTTAAATCTTGTCAGGTATTCTGCATAGCCGCCATGACCCGTGATTGCCTGTACTTGTGTTGGCGTCAGTGTGATGTTTCTTATGATTTTGTAGCTGTTTATGATGTCTGGGAAGAAGATTTTAGTAGTTTTGCCAGTTGGTCCATTTTGGTAGGCTCTATCCCAGACATCAATGGTATGTGCTCTGATTAATCTTTTGATGGTGGATATCGGATATTTGTCGTAGCAGGGGGCGATCTTTTTATTTTTGGCTGCTTCTTTAGCTAAGAAGTCCGCTCGCTCATTCCCTGGGATTCCCGTGTGCGCTCTGACCCAAAATAGTCTAAGTATTTTATTTTGTGCTGACAGTTTTTTCAAATCTTTCTTTATGGGGAGCGCTAAGGGATGGGTTGTGTCGGTCCGACTGTTGGTGTTTAGCAGTATCCGTCTTTGATCCAAATACAGGCCAAAATGTCATATCAGTACCATTATCCTCGAAGTGGATATGCGTAGAAGCGTAAGATCATGCACACGTCTACCTGACGCAAGCAACAATATTACTGCACATCGCCTACTTGCTTCAAAGTACGTTACTTCTTGGGGTACATTATTTTGTAGCCACGATACTACCTGTTGAGGATCCCATATAGGAACCCGAGAACTCTGAGGATTAGCCTGTGCGATAGATTTAAGTACATGTCTCACAAAAATATCTTCACTTAATTTCTTGCCTAAGTGAGGCTCACAAATAGTAGACACTGCAGATCTGTAAAGCTGTATAGTTGAAGGCTTAAATCTTTCTTTAACATGTAGGTACGCGAGAAATTTAGCTAAGTCTTTAGACTGTGGCTTAATTATTGATATATTGTTATTGATACACCAGTTAGCCCAGTGATTCCAAGCAGACTTATAGGATATTAAAGTGGACTTACGCCATCCATTAACTAGTACTGCTTTCTCGTCCGGAGTCCAATTCTGGAGTAAGGAGTCCCAGCTCCAATCAACCAAGCTTCCAGTATTAGATCGTTCACCTTGGGTAAGGTACATCTCGTCGTTACATCTACTAGAGTTTCTCTCAGGTTCTGCACTCGTACAGGCTCGCTGAGAGCTCTGTTCCGCAGGTCTGGCCTCCAAAATGACTTCTTCCATTGGGGTGCTATTATTATATACTGACCTGTGCAGCTGTTCGAGTGAACCAAAATCCGTGGTATGAGTGATGGTGGAGGGAAGATCCATGGTAATTGGTAATGCCACTGCCTGCTGAAGGCGTTGTGGAACACTGCCTCTTCGTCCAGTATATCTAGGGAGACATACTGATGGACAACATGCGCTCGAGTTGACGCAAATAAGTCCACTTGAGGTATACCGAATATTTGAAATATCGGTAATGTCGCGCTTGGGAGAAGGTGCCACTCTGGAATCGGTTTGCCTCGAGATAAACAATCCGCGATGCCGTTGAAACGGCCCGGTAGATGCTGGAATGTCACCTTTATTTGTAAATTTTGAAATAGTTGACATACCTCGCGAGTTTGCTTCATTAAACGAGCCGATTTCACACCACCTTCGTTTCTTAGGTATGCTAATGCAGTCGAATTGTCCGATTGTATTAATAGACTGGCGCCTTTTAAGTCCTCCGCCCGAGCTTCTATCGCTCTCTGTATGGCAACCAATTCCTTGAGATTGCTGTGCCAACCCTGTTGTTTCCTTTCCCACGTGCCCGATAATAGCGTATCGTTTAGCATCGCTCCCCAACCTAGGTTGGATGCATCGGTCACGAGATGATGAGTAATCTGTGGTAAGTGTATTAAGGAACATTTGCTTACTGCATGTTTCCACCAGTAAAGATCTGTCAGTACTTCCCCTGGTAGCACATATTTCCTCCTGGGATGGGCTTTGCGCAGCATACGAAGGTGTCGTTGAAAGTTTTGGCAGTACAAGCGCCCCTGAGGAACAACATAGTTTGCAAAGTTTAAACGGCCTAGAATGGTTAAGGCTTGCCTTTGAGAACACATTTTCTTCGATAGCAGCTGCTGAAGCTGTATACGAAGTTTGAGTACCTTCTGATGAGGAAGACACTTCCTGTTCCTGTCTGTATCCCAATGTATCCCTAAAAATTCTATATTTTGAGTAGGATTTACCACAGACTTCTCGTAATTCAGAATCCAACCCAATTCTTGAAGGAATTGAATTGTCTTTGATGTTTGCTGCTGAAGCAAACATATGTTTTGATTGGCCATTAAAAATCGTCTAGATAAACCACAATACGAATACCTGTTTCTCGAAGCTTTTGCGCCAAGAAGTTCGCTATCATTGCAAAACATCGGGGCGCACACGCTATTCCAAACGGTAGACATGTCATCTGGTACACGGTTCCTCTGAACATTAATCTTAAAAATCGACGATGGCTCGAAGCCACATTTACGTGAAAATACGCTTGAGACATGTCTATCTTTGTCAGCCAATCGCCTGGCTGGAGAAAGTTGGGAATTTCGAAATGTGATATGAGGTAGAACTTTTTTACAAAAATGTAATCGTTTAATTTCTTTAAGTTGAGAATTGGACGATAAGTTTGATCTGGTTTTAATCTTAAAAACATTTGAGGAATGAAGCTGGGACTTATTTTTGTAACTTCGAGAACCTGTAATTTTAACATTTCTCGTATTTCCGAAGCCATCTGCGGAGTATCCGGAGTTTGATAAGAATTTAAATTTGGTACTATCAAAGGCGGTTTCTTTATCATTATTCGAAAATTCGATATCATTATTAAAATTATAGTAGGTGTATTTATTATAACCCATCGAGATAGGAAAAGTATTAATCGACCCGCTTGAAACCTGTTCGAGTCATTCACGATGCTTCTTACTTGTACTGCCATGACTCCGACCGGAATATGACTTTTTAGATTGTGAGCTTCATTTTCCTCGAAATAAGCAATCTTGAAATTTGGTTGAACTTGAACCTATATTACTATTTAGTGAACGAATTGATTGTAACTGATTTTTTACTTGAGGTTTAAAAGTCGGTAGTTTAGAAGACGCTACATAATTTTTCTTAACAGGCTGTGCTTTAGCAAATACTTTTGACGCTCCTCCTTCTTTTTCAATTAATTTATCGAATTGTTCCGGTTCAAATAAGAATTCAGATGAGGGTGGTATTTTTTTCAACTTATCGACCGTAAAATTGTTATGCACCGATTTTAACAGTTCATTTCTACGGTTACCTATAATAGATGCTCGTTTTCCACATACTATCTGCATTATATCGTTAGAAATTTTATTAAACTCCTTGTCATCACAAAAGATTTCTTTAATTTTATTACTAAAATCTTCATACGATACAGATTCCAAATCATGAACCCATGATAATAATTTAGTTATATTGTTTTGTAACATGTTCCTTTGTATTAAAATCGCATTTGATAACGCGGATAATGTGCGTTCACACGAGGGTAGAAACTTATTTTTATCAAATGGCTTTAAGTCGTCATTAGTTTCTAGTTCTATAAAACCAGGTTTCGATATGTAATTTTTTTGTGTTTCAATAAGATTAATATTAAACCAATCATTTGAACCAAAATGTTGCAAATTATTAATAATATTAAAATGTTCGTCATTAGTCTTTCCAATCCCTGTGTCTTTTAAAGTAGTATGCAAGGATTGAAAAACAAAATCATCATTATTTTCAAGTAAATCTGGGTCATTTGATTGACTTCTTTCGATCAAATTGGCTTCCGGATGATTAACTTCCGGTTGTACAGTTTGTTGTGACATATTATTCATAAAATCGGTTAAAACTTGGACTTGGTTACATAACTGATTTAAAATAGACATACCCGCATCCTTCTTGCGTATCTTATTATGGCGCCAATTAGCTCGTTCGACGGAGCTATCCGTGCTTGACGTGCCACTGGAATCGTACGATGATCGGGTTCTCCTTCGATTTTCTTGACTTCGTCTTCTCGGCCGTCGCCCTGAGTTGCCAGCCCTATTAGTACTCATGTCGACTATTAGATTCCGACAGAATTACCTTTAAACACGTCTTTACACCGCGAAGTTCAACAACGCAATGAAAGAATAAATTTAGGAGACAAGCCTGCTCCTACCTGGTGGGGAAGGTAAGTGAAACAGGAAGTTGATAAAATGCAACTATATTCGTAGTACGGAAGCTCAGGATGGATAAAACAAGGTGGTTGCCAGCCGCAAAAATATTTATTTACACTCAAATTCAGCAATAGCTCTCTCACCATCTGCCCGGACAAGGCAAGGAATGCACAATAACCATTGACTTTGACACGTAGAAATCAGAAATGTCAAATCCAAAACGTCAAATGTTATGAGATGTCTTTTGCCGAATGAACGTAAATAGAGAAACGATGCACCTGTTTACTACCGATGTCCGATATGACTGTGCCTGGGATTAGATTCTTAAAATAGACACACGTTGAGCTATATGGTAGATAATAGTACTTTGAACTTAACTTCAAATTGATTTAAGTGCAAACTAGCAACATGGGGAAAAATAGAATTCAAGACTATTTTCAAGAAGCTATGAAGTTTTTAACATGGAATCATTTAAAAAACTTTGTGGTGAATCCAGCGTATTTGCCTTTTGTTGCCTTCCTAATCCTGGTGTCAGAATTAATACTTAACATTTTAATAGTAGAAAGAGTACCTTACACTGAAATAGACTGGAAAGCTTATATGCAGGAATGTGAAGGATTTCTAAATGGAACATTAGACTACAGCAAGCTCCGTGGGGATACCGGGCCACTAGTTTATCCAGCAGGTTTCGTCTATGTTTATTCAATATTTTATTTTCTTACAAGTCAGGGACAAAACATAAAGTTAGCTCAATATCTATTCATATGTATTTATTTACTATTATTAAGTTCCGTTTTACGTATTTATGTTAAAACTCGAAAAGTTCCACCTTATGTTCTCGCAATTACTATATTAACTTCGTATAGAATTCATTCCATCCATGTTTTACGTATGTTTAATGACCCTGTTGCAATTTTATTTTTATACGCGTCACTGAATTTTTTTCTTGATTCCAAATGGTATTTAGGTAGTATTTTTTACAGTATTGCAGTTTCTATAAAGATGAATATCTTATTGTATGCTCCTGCTTTATTTTTCTTTTATCTAGTAAATCTAGGATTAAAAGACACACTTAAACAACTTATAACATGTTCCTTTGTACAACTAATTTTAGGATTGCCATTTTTAATTGTTGAACCTATTGCATATATTAAAGGTAGTTTTGATTTAGGGAGGGTCTTTAATCATACTTGGACAGTTAACTACAGATTTTTGAATGTTGAAATATTTGAGAACCAATGTTTTCACTTAACACTATTGTCTATTCATGTTATACTATTAATCATATGCCTGCCTATGTGTATAAAGTACTATCAAAGCTATTGCCGCTTAAAATATGTTCAAAGACAAGTGCAACCACAAATTGATGCCAAAAACCATGAAAACAGAAGGAAACAAAAAGGGAAAAAACAAAACATGAAAATAAAGCCTTCAACAGACAAAGAAAATTTATCAAAAGAACAAGAAGAATTTTTAAACTCATTTGAAGCAATGCTCCAAAAATCTTCAACACAAAAAACTGGACAAAAGTCAGTAAAAGAAATGGTTGACAGTGAAACTGAAAAACCATACAACATTAACTTTGATGTACTTTCACAACTGTTTATTTTACCTATGTTTTTGGTCAATTTTATAGGTGTTGTCTGCGCACGTAGTTTACATTACCAATTTTACTCATGGTACTTTCATACTTTACCATATTTATTATGGTCTACTAATTATGCCGTTATTACAAGATTTTTAATTTTAGCTCTTATAGAACTTTCTTGGAATACATATCCAAGTACTGATATTACTAGTGCACTTTTACATGTATGTCATTTAAGTATATTATATGGAGTTTATACAAAAATGTCCAGTGAATTAAGAGTAGCATCAAAAATACAATAATTATTTTGCTCTGAGAAAAATTTCAAAATAAATGCATTGTCTATTAATAAAATAGATATTTTTTATTTTTTACTTCAATAAAAATGTATTAGTAACTCCTTTTTTTTTACTTTTAAGCAACTAAATTAATTTACATGAACATTATTATCTATTTTTAATAATATGTAAATATATAATTCACACAATATTATAATTGATTTTAAGAACACTCTTCTTGGAGCTGCAGTCAGCATTCAAGCATGTCTGGCACCTTAAAAAACATTTTCAGCATGATTACATGAAATTAGAGCTAACCTGCATCTGAAAGTAATTACATAATTGGTTTCAGAAACTTGTGTTAAGTCTGCTAAAGTCCGGCCGCAGAGCAGAAAGAATTTCGTACAATGACCTCTTTGCCTACTAACAATGGTCACAAACATTTTTGTAGTAAGTCCACTTCTTACTTTCGTTGAAGTGTGAGGTTTTTAGTTTCTTCAGCGTAGAGACAAATTCCATGAATGGGCACGAGGTAGACGGCGCTGGTTCCATTTTAATACAGTAAAGAAACTGTGCGAATGCGACGGCAATATATTTATGCAGGAGAAACTGAGACAGGTAATAGCAGGTTAATATACCTACTAAAATCTTCCTGCATCGCGACCTGACATTACCCGCATACGGCAGATACTATAGCCCAAGTCCTTTTACATTGAGGGAGGCCACGCCCAGCAGCATTGAAAACTTTCATATTGTCTTTTATATTTAGAGTCTAATAATACTACCAACTTTGACTGCAGTTATGAGAAAAGAGTGTTGTCACAGTTAACAATTTAAATATTGTTTTTTATTCTTTACTGTTATGTGCCAACAAGTGATAGTAATTAATTGGTATTTTTTTACTTTATCTATTAAATTAATATTTAGTTGTTTAAAAGAGAAAAGAGGTGTCAAGAGTGCATGGGTGGATGGATCAAGAAAACATCAATGTAAGCATTTTAAGAAATATTTATTATGAACTTTATTAAATACAACTATTCGAAGGGAAATCTAACTTGAATTTTAAGTTTAGAGATAGAGGCGCATAATACTTCTTCTCCTTTATCACAAAATCCACTATAAATGGAATCCTTCGCCTCTGCCCATATTCCCAAACAAATCATATTTGCAATATACCCATCATCTATGATCTTACATATGTCTGTCTATATAACAAGCTGGAAAAGAGGATAGTTTAGAGAAAATGATTGATCTCAATTGGGCAAAATATAAAGATAAATCAAATGCAGTAGTTACAGACTGGGTTGATACAAAAGTTAGTGTGAATAAAAAGAAAATTTAAAGAGTTACTGTCAATATAGTGTTTTTAAAATTACTAATATGCATATATAATATGTGTATGCCTCATCAACATTTGACTAAACAGTAGGTTGATAACGTCATTGTAAAGACAAAATCTTATTGATTTCATATCATATGACTGAAAGAATGCTTAATATGGCCATCTATCAATAGGTAATTTAAATCTAATTCTTAAAAGATCTACCTGATTTTAAAATGTTATCAATAATAATATAGTGTACTTGTGCTGTCATATAGGGCCATCATTCAAAATGGACAATTATTGCGTTTGAAATATAACTATTCAGTCAAATAACCCCAGTCACATAGTTTTCAGTCATATTCGTCAAAATGAATATAAATCATACAATTATGTATGTACTAGTGCTAACGTTTCTTGACATAGGTTACTTTATGGCGCTCTATAAATACAGACATACAGTATCATAAAACTAACACAGATAGATACAACGGCAGTCTTATGTAACTGCACTTACAACTAGACGAAATACGTAGTCGTTGCTAACGAGATTTACACGAAGCCAAAGTTTTTAGTTTTAATGGCTAGTAACAATTTATGCTTGAGCACGTGTCGCGAAGAGTAAAGCGGGATGTAGAGTCGTGAGATGCAGGTATTGGCGGTGGGGAGGTGAGCGTCATCGGCGGGGCGGATGGTCACTGAAGGCATCGGCTGGAACCCTTCCTCCGAGGCTGGCAGCGCTGGGGATCCGGTCCAGAAATAAACCTATAGGGAAACACAAATGGAGAGTTTAAAAACATTCAATATCTATACTTATATTATAAAGAGATAAAGTTTGTGAGTTTGTGGCGTTATGAGTTTTTATGGGGAATCGAGCTAGGGATGAACCTGAGCGAAACGAGGATAAGTCGCTAGTAATTTCATATACTCGGTGTGTAATATGAATAATCAATTCATTGAAACATATATAGAACTAAGCAAACGGCTGCTGATGAAAATCAATGACGTAGTTTTATAAAAAATAATATATACACTAGTTACAGATATGGTGCGTGCAACAAACTTTGCCTGCTAGACTTTTAGAGCTATTTTAAATACACTGTTCCTTCAGAAGAAATGCAAGTTATAGCAGCAAACCGCATTCAAAATGTTTTAGTAGTTTTCGAGATTAGCGTGCACATACATAGACAGAAGGATAGGAACCGGAAAATTCTTTTTATATGCATCAGGGATATGATGAGTTTAATCTATACATATAAAGATACCTTTTACTATAGGAAAATCTTTCATTCCCACGAGAAAACACTATAACTGGTTTTATTGAGTCATCCTTAGAAATTTAAATGTCTTACACTGGCTAAACCTCAAAATAATACTAGAAAGAGATACATCAAAATAATACTAGAAAATTGGAAGTCTTAAATCTCCTAAGGTACACTCGCAATAACTAATCATATCTATATAACTAATCAATAAATAATCATATCTATTAATTAAAACGTAATATAAGCAATATAATATTATAAATAGAAAAAATAACTTACTAAATCTTGTCTTTCTAAATGTGTCATTTTGTCGACAATAGCCCATAGCCATCGTTTGAATCTAGCCAGTCGTTCAGGAGGTTCACCGCTTTCATCGTTAAAACTTGTATAGGATACCAGTGCAGCAACATTGATGTCACCTACGCCATTTAACAGGAGTCGCAAATCTTCTGCTGTTAATCCTTCTAAAGCTGATTCAGGTAAAACATCCAGAACACCGACTCTCATTGCCTGGCAAATATATATAAATAATGTTAATATTTATAAATTACCACTAAATGCTTAAATAATTAATCATTGTTGGATTGACTACAGACAGAAAATTACAAAAAAAAATATTATACAATTTTGAGTAAAATTTAAAAAACAAACAGATACCTCCAATGCTTTCTCTTGCGAGAGCAACATGCGGTGTTGCGCGTATTTGCGCACGTAGTCATAAACATTGAGCGAGGTTACTTCAATCTCTCGACCGCCAGGTACTAATTCTACGCAGCCGCCACCTTCCTCTTCGCACATTTCCAAGCTAAAAAAAGCATATCATTGGCTATTCAAATATAACAGTAGATACTAATACTTGACACTTTCCCTTGAGGGTAAATTGGTATTTCAATCTATTTTTATTTTTGCCAACATCAAGACAGTGTTCCTAAATTCCAAAATTAAAAAAATTGAAGTTTTTAATATGGTCAATACAAATGTTGATGCCAGTGATAATTAATAGTTAACTTTAAAAGAAGAAATTAAATTAAGTTTTCTTATAACATTATATGTATATTACCTAAAGTTGAGATCAAGAGCAGCGAAAAGGGAATGAGAATCGCCAGTTTCCGCGTCTACGACGAGCTGGCGGAGGCTCTCGTACACGACTGGATCAAAGAAGGCCAAGTCGTGGAAGCGCACTGGCCGTCCCAGGATGTATTTTAGTACGTGTCGATTTAAAAACATTGGGCATAACTCGTTTTGTAATAGACATAAACCGATGATTCTGAAAAAGAAAATTTATTATATTAGTTAGTTCCTTGTGTCTTTATAGGACGAATGTGCGTGAAATATTTTTTTTTTAAATGTAGTAGTACTGAGTTCGTCGTCGTTCGTTCTGTCTGGAGTTCGTCGTTATTATCGAAACGTCGCAAGCTTTGCCTCTTTATAAAATTAGTGCAAATGATTATTGGTACATTAGTCAAAATAAGTTGTGATGTCGAATAATATTAAAACATCGCACCTGCCCACATTCCTAAAAGCGTTAATTCTCTCTGGTGTAGCGCGTCCCTGCCGCGGCGAGTAGTAGCCCCGCTTGCCGGGCGAGTAGAACAGCGGCGCCGCGTCGTCCGTCGCCGCGGTGGAGGCGCTGGCCCCGCCGCCGCCCGCGCTGCCGCCCCCGCCGCGCTCTGATAGCGAGAACACGTCCAGATCTAAGTACAGAGACGTGAGCTTCAATATTATGCCAGGATATTGAGGACGCTTGTCCTCCTACATGATTTCAGCTACTGTAGCCAACTTTGTTAAAACTAGCCATCTGTGCAGCAGATATAGTGCACAAGTATGCGTGCAAACACAAGTGTACTACATGTTCCTTTTCACTCTCAAAGTTCGAGAAGATGATACTTCGACACCACCGGTGAGAATTAAGAGGATGAATATAACATAAATTACCAAGGTCCCAAACAATAATTTGTTAACCTCCAGGTCAGCCTATCAGTATCTACAGTAAACATCCGAATTTCTCTCAGTCATTTTACTGTGCAGGAGACAGACATTCATACATATACAAACATGCATTTATAATAGTAGTTCGATTGTGTTATAAAGTTTAAATCAATCCATTATCACCAATTTTAGATCTCAAAATTAGTAATTTTTAAACATACTATACTATTAATGAAATTATGTAAATCCTACCTAATATTGCTTCCGATGGATGCATAACGATGAGGTCCATAGCTTCACGAACTTTCTGCCGTAGTGCGTCTTCACTGGCTAATAATACAAGTAGCTGCGCCGGCGTCAGTTCTAAGAGCATACCCGTGATTTTTCCCGCGAATGTTGGATGTAGGGAATGAACCTGCGTATTATAAGTAATTATTTAAACCAACCAATTATATAACTTAGTGTCATCATATTTCAGTATGGACACAATATACTTGCTTTTAGATTTGAATGGATCTTTGCTAAATTTGGTCGTTCGTTGTTATAGAAGTCCCGATATTTAGAACACCAAACCAAACAAACCACACCAAAAATAAATTAATGTGTCTCAATCATTGAACTATTTTAGATAATTAAAAAAATCCCAGAGTACATGCTCTAAGGCTTTAATAAATAAAATGAAGTGCCTTCTGATGAAGGATATTTTTTAATTTATTTTATCCTTTGAATAACTAAATACATATATGTTTAATTTTTTTTTGGGTTTACTATAAATGATAATAATATAAACTAAAATTTATCTTACTTTAGGATAAAGCCTTTCACCAAGTTGAGCTTGGTGTAAAGTGAGATGCTCATTGTGTCCTCCAGGTCTTTCACCACTATACCCCGCACCTTCTGTACCAGGGGCAGCCTGAAAGAAACATTTAATTTATAAAAAATGTGTAGTACCTTAAGTAATTAATCATAATCAGGTCATTGTATTGAACATACTTCAAGAGTCGGTATCAGATATGGTTATATTTTAAATAAATTTGAACGAATTTATTCATCGTGTAACATCTGACATGGACTGTGGTGGCCAGGTAGATGTCGTGTATACGGACTACTCCAAAGCTTTTGACAAAATTCCTCACTCTTTGCTTATCCGTCGATTCACGGAGGTCGGTATACACGGCGATCTCCTGCGTTGGTTTGCCTCTTATTTACGAGAGCGAAGTCAAGCTGTAACTATAAAAGGATTTTGCTCCTCATTTGTGCCAGTCGCATCAGGCGTTCCTCAAGGCTCGCATCTCGGGCCTCTGCTTTTTAATATCTTCATTAATAAAATTCATTTAATATTTAAACATTCTGAAATTTTGTTATACGCTGACGACATGAAGATCTTAAGGACTGTCAATAAAAATGACGATTGTCAATTATTACAAAGTGATCTTGATAGGTTGTGCCAATTTTGTAATAGTAATGGTCTTATTCTTAATATTAAAAAATGTAATGTCATAAGTTTTTCACGTAAGACCAATATTGTCAAATACGATTACACCTTGAATAATAATTCAATTAAACGTGTTACTGAGGTGAGAGATTTTCTACTTTAATTGTTCTATATAATGCTTATGTCCGTTCTATACTTGAATATGCTTCTTCCGTTTGGAATCCACAGTACAGTAAATATATAAATAGAATTGAAAACATCCAGATTAAATTTAATAAGCATTTATTATATAGATCAAAAAACAATAATCAGGAATTTCCTAATTTAGTCTCCCTATTGGATCGCCGACGCCTAAAGGATGAACTTTTTCTATTTAAAATTATCAGAAATCATGTGCATTCACCATTTCTTTTAAGTAATATTTGTTTAAGATGTCCTCGACCGCAATCACGTAATTTGTCATAATTTTATCTACCTAGAATAACAACTAATTATGCACGTAATAGCTTTATATACCGTTCTTGCAGATTGCATAATGAAATATTTAAGGACATAGATTTATTTTCCCTTTCTTTAAATAAGTTCAAAATTTTAACCAGAAGTGTCTGTTCGTGATTTCCCCGTTTTTTTTTTGTTATATACTTTAATTTTTAATTTTAATAAGCTAACATATACCTACCTTAAGAATGTGTTAACGGTGAAGACTTAATTGGTGTATGTATTTTTTTATTTCTTTTGTTTATAATATGTAACATAATACTGTTTGTCTTCCAAATAAATAAATAAATAAATAAATAAATAATGTCCCATGTTGGCACAGATTACACAATACTATATTAGTACTGATGCTCTATTCCATACAGTGAAATTAAGCAGCTTTAATACGGGCTCTTTACTTATGTATCTGCGTTGATAGGCAAACTATCAAAGTATTTTATATATGTAGGTGGTCTCATTCTTATACACGTACTTGTGCACGTTAACTACTTGCCTGCCGCATGGCGTGCATGTTTATTCATGTTGACGTACATCGTAATGTTACAATAATTATTATCTCAAGAAGGATTAAAATTTAAAATTTGAAGTAAATAAATCTTTAGTAGTGTATTTTCAGCTACATACCTGTGGAGAGTAGGGTCGTGCATCGACACTAAGGACCCTGCGAGGCTCGCGCACCGCAGGCGGGCGCGGCGCCGGCCGGCCTGGCGCCCGCCGTGCGTTGTCTTTCGCACGTGCCCTTCCAGCGCCACTTCTATTAACAAAAAAATAATGTATAAATTTTAAATAAAAACTGTATTAGGTAAATTGATTTCAATATTGATGTACAAAAACTCAAAATAGTCAACGTTTGAAAAGTATGCTCAAAAAAGAGCGCACAATTCGAAATTGTTGACAGGAAGTCCGAAATGTCACAAAAATGTAAGACAATTACATTTAGAACCTTCAAAAAGAATAGAACGTCGTATTTTCGATAAGTGAAAATGTTAATTGATATATTTTTGTAATATATAAGACTTAAATATAACGAGGATTATTTTATTTTTATTTTATTTGTGTTACTTCAGATACCGCTCAAGATATTATACGACAAATTTTAATGACCGCCTTATTGCTATAAAAACAGTTTATTACAATTTCCATATACGTTTTTTACGGTTTTATTGATAATAAAACGGCAATTTTCCTCAGAAAATAAAATAAATATAAAAAAGATTCTATTTCATATAGCTTTTAGTCCACCAGACTTCTGAAGGCCATTTCTTTTCGGAATATAAATTTAAAAGCACGGTTGTTTATTTGAAAATAATTTTATGTGGTGTGCGTAAGTTAGAATTTTTGTTTGGATAATCATAACTGCTATAGTTTAACTGAACGTCAAAATTTCGACGTCACTTTTCAATGATATATTTTTAACGAACTGTGCATCTATCGATCTAGGTTTTATATATCAATGTATACCAAGCAATAAAAAATATATATTAATATAAATATTTTTTTGGTATATTATTTAGAATAGTGTAATATTTATATCTATGAAAATATAAAATGTATTACATACCGCGCACCGCTGTTACTACTGGCACCACCTGCAGTTGTACCCGAAGAGCCTGAGGTACCATTGGTGGCGCTATTGTTACTACCACTGCCTGTTGTAGACTCTAAAGGCGGAAGTTTTTCATTTGCCAACAAAGCCTGAAATAACAAAAGTAATGAAAATATATATTATACACAAAGAAATATTAATTTATTTAACATTTATGAATTCAATGCCAGAGCAAACATTTTTTTCTATAATAATTTAATTAAATATAGGTTCCACTTACTTCAGCGACACTGGTGTAAAATGAACGAGCGACTCCACTGCCCTCACCGGGCTCGTCTCGGAACGTCACTTTGACTCGGTTGACAGCGAGTGGCGGTTGTACGGAATTGTGAGCGCGACGACTTTGTCCCGAAAATGCAGTATTTAACTCGGCGAATGTCTGTTGTAGTAGTTTCGCACGGTCCCGCTCCATCTTGTGTAAAGTTAAATCTTTCTGTTGGGAATTTCTTAATTTCTCCATGTCTCGTCTAAATTTGACTTCTTTTACAGGAAAACCACCTAATTCCGCGACCACTGACCCAGGCTCCAGGCCCACATCCTCAGTAAACACTCGTCCAAAGAGATCCAGCGACAATCGCCACCGACCCAAGAGTAAATCATGTGATACCGATGCGCCTAACGATGGGCAAGTCCGGCTGTACATAAAAAAATGTAAATTATATTTTGAGATCTTGCAAGAGCGATTGTTTATACATATATAATAATTTAACTAATTTTAAATATTTATAAATACTTACGGTTGAGGCGGGGCATTAAGTACTTGTGGAGGTATTAACGGCGCAGGTGGCAAACCTGTAGTTTCCACGGTAACATGTGCAGATATTTCTTGCGATTCCAGAGGATCTGCTGCACTTAGCAATTCACCCTGTAAAAATTATCAATATTTAAAATTTTCAATTTATTTAAAATGTATATAAAATAAAACTAAACTATTGTTAATATTTAAATTGTCAACCAATCGAAGATATTTTTGGGTATAATTTTGTTAAGAAAAAGTCCCCCAAAAAAGTGGAGTGACTTACAGCACGTACAATAACGGTCTTGCCAGGACTGCGCGAAGAAGACGCGCGCGGCTCTTGAGTTACCGCACTAGAACTGCTTGGACCTAGAAATAGAAAGTATATTTTATATATTTTAATTATCGTACATTTGCTTAGAATTAAAAAATACTACGTATCAACTATGAGTAGTTGGTCAAACGACGAAATTATGGCATATCAAAGTAAACCATCAAATGTCAAGCCAAACGCAATGGTTGTCACAACTTCAACGTCCACGTCTGCCATGTTTGCCTGCACAGCTTGCCTATCCGGAACACACTAACGCACTCGCACAAGCGTGTAAATGGCGCACATGGTGGCTTGTAGACGTTTGCGTAGCTTCGGCAAGCGTGTAAAGATAGCATAAAACGTGGTGTGCATAGACCCCTTATAAATAGAACCGATAGAATAGTAAACGAACTGCCCTGTTGTTCTAATGGTTAGCACGTCTGCAGATCCGGTTCTGGTTCAGTTCTGGGTTCAAGTCCCGAGTCGGTCCAACTTTAGTTATTGAGTATTTCTGTCAAGTATTTCTTAGTAATAGTCCGGACAAGAAAAGTTGGTGGTATTTACACCCCGCGCGTCGGAAAACAGCAAAAAAATGGTGTCAGTCCTGCGCCTAATCTCTAACCGGGCGTATCGAATTGATGTCGTCCCACCGGAGTTTGAGAATGCATTTGTTTTTGCGTGCATACTTGTGCATTATTACATCTCCTGCGCGCAGATGGCTATCCTCAGTAAGATTGGCCGTTATGGCCGAAATCGATCAGACAGACATTATTATTATAGAATGATGAACAACAATAACATTAAATTAAAATACATCATATTAAGAAATTAGTATCATGTTTACCTGGTGTAGGAGTAACATTTTGCTGATGGGGTGCCTCGATAATAGAACAGGCTGTATCAACCAGAGTATGAAATTCAGATGTGGTGGCATTTGACTCATGATGGCTGTTATTACTATGAGCAGCATGTGGATGCCTGTACATCAAACCATAGTTTATTAGGTATTTTCTATTTAACAATAATTTTTAGTTTAAAAACTGTTCTAAACAGTCAAAACAAATTTAAAAAATCCAGAAACTGAGAAACCAATGAATATAATAGGTATGGTAATATAATTGAATAAGTATGTATAGGCTAGGACATTATTATATTTAATAGCAGAACCCGCGGCTTGACTTTATGTTATACAACGACTCACCCTCGCTTCACTTAGGTTCGTCGCTATGTAATATTGTTCATACAAATATACTAAAATCGAGATTAAAAAATGGAGGGTGGGGGTAGGAGGGTGAATAATATTTTACGGCTATTCTCATACCTACCAAATATACAAAAAAATATATCATTAAAGCCGTTTCGGAGTAGTGCGACCACAAATATCGTGACATGAGATATTTATATATTAGATTATAAATAGAGCAAGAGTAAGTATTAAGTCAAGCGTGAACAAAACAATGTCAACTAAAATTAGTATATTATGTAAAATAAGTATACAAAAGGCAAATAGATTGAGAAACTATGTAATCCTTTCATGAAAAAATGAGGAAACATTACGGCATATGAAAATAATACTACAAATCTACTGTAATTACTCAAAAATAAAAGGATTTATAAATAATATTTTTTTTACAATTAACAAACATTACAAAACAAACAAATATATTTCTACAAAAGAAAAAATAGCATTGTGTCATCCAATTCTATATAATTTCAACAGATGCATAAGAAAAACAGCAGACAAAACCTAATATCTAGTGAATGAGTTTTAGCTTACCTATGGTGCTTCTTCCTTGTAATCTGTCTGGGTTCATTTGAATCAGAATCAGATAAATATTCACCATCTGTATCAATATCCATCTTGGTTACTGTGTCCTTGGCACAGGATAGATCCTTTAATATTAAAATATAAAATTATAAATTGTATTTTCACCTATAACATAAAGTTTTTTTTATAATATTATTTTTATAAGTGTTAGAAAAACCTCTTATCCTGCATTTTGTGAAACTTATTTTGAAATGTAAAAACCTTTGTTTAAACTTTAAAATCTAACACCTGGAAGAGCATTTCAATGTAACATAAAAATATAAATTTTTGTGTCTTTTATATTAAACAAGATTAACAACCTAGTTATATGTTTTTTCTGGAAATTCTTTTCAGGACCAAGTCATCTTTTGTCAATACAATGTCCAACTTTTAATAACTTTTAATTTGATGATAATATAGATATAATTTACCTGTGGTTCGTCTCTCGCCATTGCGTGATTGTGTGTAGGAGGTGCAGACGCAGGTCGTGTCGGTGGGGACCATCCGCGCTCGGTGCCACGACTCGATAGACCTAAGCGACGGGGCACCACTGCAAAGTAAAAACATTAATAACATATACATATTGTCTCCTCAAAATATTGATTCAATTACAAAAATAAAATAAATATAATAATAATATATCTACCCCATTCAATTTAATAGAACTTTGTACTAAAAATATAAACACATGTATATTTACCAGCTTTAATTATTCATGTCATATAGGAATGTGATAAAATAAAAAAATCATGGCATCGAAATATCTTTTTAAATGATAGAGATGGCTATATGGGAATTGCTCCTATTAAAAAGATATAAAATTAGTGAACACTTATGGGATTAATCTCTGAAACATAATCTTAGAAAAATATTAATTCTATTTCCGTAAATTGTTTCATTACAAAAGCTATGTAATGTAACAGCTATTTAGGGAGTAGGGATGCATGCCACTAGTGATGTATATCTTAAAACCTTCTAGTGGATTATTGACTCCAGGCGGGCCATCTCCAGAAGCGGGTACCGTCACTGGTTGCCTTGGCATGCCAAACAATTCCTCTCTGCGCGCGTTTGGTTGCAACAGTTGAGGTTGATCGGCCAATGGCAAAGCATCTTGCATTGTCACTATAATAGAAAAAAAGTTAGTTATTCATTACTATATCAATATGACGATGAAAATGCTTATTATTATACTTATAATAGTAAAATATTTTTGTTTGAGTTATAATATATAAAGTTAGCTCACTATTAAATGGGTCTGGTGGTGGACATCCCAAACATAAAGTAGAATCAGAGCGTTGGAAGAACGCATGTGTTCTTCCTCGAGCGCCATCTCCCTCGCCGTCCGATTCCGCGGCAGTGCCTCCACCCACTACCATCTCCTCTTCACCTTCTTCATTTTCATTCTCATCCTAGTGATAAAAATAATAACAGGTGCAATTAAAATTAATGCTCATTTTTATGTATAAAACATGATGATACACAGCAAAATAGCCTTTAGTAAAATCGTACTACTTTCATAAATGCAAATGTTTGTTAGTGTGTAATTATATTTAGTAGTTCTACACCCAGAAACGGCTGAACAGATTTGAAAAAAATTCGTACATAGTGATAGACTATGACATGCAATAAGACATAGACTACTGTTAGGCCACTAGGGACACAGACAGGGACAGGAGCGAACGTAAGACGCTAGTGGAATGAAAATAAACTTTATTCAAATAGACTTATTACAAGCACTTGTGAAAGGTCAATTTAAAGAGGGTCAGTGTAGTCAGTCGGGTATTACTACAACTAATACAGTATCCATACCGGAGTCCACAAATGTTGGTGGTGTGTCGGCTGAGGCTGCGCTGCACGCATATAGTACACGAGCGCGTCCAGCACATAGGCAACGTGTTTGAGAGCCGCCACATCAAGTACTGGCAGTTGTTCCGCGTGCTCCGCGCTGTGCGCCCGCAATAACGACAGACAGTACGCTAGAAACTCTCTGCGGGCACTGCCAGCCTCTACGCCTGGTAGTAAAAACAAATATTTTTAATTAATTTATTTATTTAAACATACATAACATTTTTTAACACACTAATCAAATCACAAACAGTGCCACAAAAATCATGTATGATTTTCCCGTGCACTGCGGATTCATACGCGGTAGTTAATAATACATGCAATTATGCAACTATTAAAATAAAATAAGAATATCAAATAAATAAATAAGTAAATAAATTTCTCAATATTAGTTTAAATTATAACACTTGAATTTATATTTATAGCAGCAACAAAGCAAAAGATCATATCGTTAATATGTAGAATATTACCTATACATATAATAACAATGAATCTAAAAAGTATAACTCGTGTCGTCTAAAACGAACGCTGGCTGTCAAGCTGCGCAGAAGCGATTTATCGGTCAAATTGGTAGCAAGAAGCGGGTCGCGGAGCGGCTCGGGGCGGCGGGGCACGCGCCGCATGCTTGCCGGCGCGCTATTGGTTCGTCAGTTCGAAATACCATCGCGCACACAAAAGTTTTTAATTACGAAATGGTTTTATATATAGAAAAGAGAAAAATTGTTTTTGACGTATATTGTTTTACAAAGAGTGAGTCTAATAATAATGCAGTTAATAATTAAAAAAATGTATTAAATGTATTAATTTAATTTATTGTAAGTAGATTAAACATTCTGCACTGAATCAAACATATTTTAATAATGAATAGAATTCTATTTAATGATATTCTATCTAATATATTTTTCAATGTCCCTACCAATAACTAATATATGAAGCCGCGAGCGAAATGCTTTGAAAAATAAAATAATAGGCTTAGTACTTTTGTGCGCGAGTATACCCATGCGCAAACATACCCTCTCCAGCGATCTTTTTAGATGACGCGAGTTATAACTGTGTTACAAAATCCCTCAAAAAGCTTTAAATTTTTTATTTTACAAACCTTGGTCTCGATCTCTAGCACGCGGTCCTTCTGAAAAGCCTATAATTCGCGTTGCAGGTGATGTATAAGACGTAGTGCGTCTCGCGGCTGGCGCAGCGGAGCGGCTTTCACCACTTGAAGTACCCGCATTATTGGATGTAAGGGACGCGCCAAATCTATTGAAGCAGTAAGTTAATATACACATAATTTATTACATAACAAAATGTTATTTATAAAGATTAACTACTAGGCCTATACCAATATGTGAAATTCCTCATGTAAGTTAATTAAAATAATTATTAATATAGTTATAAAAACTAAGAAACGCGTTTTATATGGAATTTGAATAAAGTTATTTAAATGACACTAAACTCGTAAGTTTTACAGTTTACTAATCGCCACAAAAGAGTCCTATTATCCTGGCTCTATCATCAGATTAGCTAAATAGTATCAAATCATTATATTGTCCCGAGTTTTAAATTAGTATAAAAATTGGACGCAAATAGTTATTAGTAATTTGTTACAAAAAAAAAGCAAATAGAAAGGATATTCTTATGATTAAAATACCTCAACTGTGCTTCAGTGGCGTCCATAACAGTGACCAACCAGTCCCAGGTTTGTTTAAGTTGTCTCTCAAGATAGCATTGCAAGCGCAGCGCCTCGCGATAAGCTAGCGGTAACATACGTTGTAATGGAGGCGTTAGACGCTCGTACTCCCATAATAAGTCAGCTATTTGCCGTATTACGATGCCTAAATATAAAAGAGATATAATCACAAATCAGATATTAGGGACAAAGTAATCATGTTTTATATACTTGTAATAAAAAAAAAAAACATTTATATGCTATACAGATCTCATCAAAAACAATGATTTATTACTTTCAAATAGGTCTCAACGTTATGCATATAATGGAATAAACAAAACATATGAAGTAACAAATGGCGAATTGTACATTTATTTATTTATCACCCTCTTTTGGTATATTATACCTCAAACAAATAAACAAATAAATAAAACAAAAAGCCTCTTATTTCTGCACATTTACTTTTGTTATTATGAATATATGAATCTTTTTTAAAGAAATATATATTTTTCTTGTAAATAAAATTCGAAAACGATTTTATATAACACATTTTTTTCCATAAATATGAACACAATTTGGCACTCACCAAAAGCTCTAGCTAAGAATGAGGCAGTCGTAGATGTGGAGTGCGGGTCCTGCGCGCCAGCGGCCGCGGCGGCCGTGGAGCGCCGCAGGGAGGACGGGTCTATGAACACCAGCGACGAGCTGCCCGTGAGCCGCACGCCGCCTGTACCACCGCTTGTGCCGCGAGAGGTCTCGCGAGAACTGCGAAGGCTAATGTTTTAGTAAGGAATATTTTAATATCATATGTAAATCATATTGTACATAAATTTCTTATACAAACTTAAAATGAAATAGGTTTTTGCTTTATATAAAATAAATATTATCTGTATAAAAAAATGTTATTTGAAATTAAATTGAAATCTCCATTTACTGAGGTATATGAGAATATTATGGTAACTCTATATATTGTATGGTCCAACAACAGTTTAATATCAATTTATGATGGTTATTTCTTGCAAAATGATAATATTTTTAACAAAATATTGTGAAATAGTTTGACCACAAGAATAGCTAGCTTACCGAATGGCCCATTGCATTGAATGTGGAGCCAGATTAGGTCTCGAAGGTGGGGCAGAGCGCCTCTCAAGGGGCTCTCCGTCATGTAGAGGAAGCTCAGCCTCGGCGTCCTGTTCATCAGTCTCGCCAGCTTCGGAATCTTCGTCTTCAGGTTGAGTAGAATCACCACTCTCGTCTTCTGGATACAGCAGCATTGATGCTATGCCTGTCACGGTGCACCGGATAATTTCATTTAATAATAGGTCAGGCCGAAGCCCGTAAAATGAATTGCTGAGCAATGTATAATAAATCAAATACATGACGACATCAGACATGTTAGGAAAAGTAAGCCATAAATAAATTATAAGTTAACAATGTCACTTTATCATGTTTAGAATGAAATTCCACAGTAATACATAGGTAATGAAAATTACTTAATTTTCGCAGTATAATTAGCAGTGTGTTTTTGAAGTTAATATTTAAAAGTATAGATTAATTTTATCTGAAAACATACACGCAAATTAATGCTTTATTATTAACGATGATTGCATTTCTTATTATGTTGCTTATTATTATATGGATGAGCTGATACTTTAAAACAACTGTAACAAGACTGTATTACCTTTAGGTAAATAATATTTTTTTAAGTAAATAGTAAACATATAGCAAAAGTAACATCATATAAGAATATGCATAAAGAAACAAGATATTGATAAAAGTTGTTGGTTCTTCTGTAATAATATATATACTTCTAAATATCTTTTAATATTATGTATTTAAATATTTGTTGAAATTAATTATCCCACCTGTCGGTGTCTATTATGCTAATAAGAACATTTTTACAAAATTTGTAGCACCTCCTTTGTTCACGCTAGTTATTTCTATGAGATTCCATTGTTACAATTTATCAAAAGAAAATAGTTGTAAATAATTTTTGTTATAAAAGAAATCTTCTGAGAATCATGAATTACAGATAAACTTAGAAGCTTTTTAGTGTACATGAAACACAATAATTTTAATAAAAACCCTAGAAAGTATTATGTAATATCCACCAAACTAGTTTATATATAGTGTCATAGTTCCAGTCTTACCAGCATCAGATCCCTGTGTAGCTCCCGTTTGCACGCTGCGCTGTGCAGACTCGGCATTGTCCTGATCGTCAGAATCACTCTCAGTCTCCACCTCGGCAAGCAAGTCCAGTTCACTCTCACTTTCGCCACCTTCAGCGCGCTCGGTACCATTTTCTACAACCACGTGTTGTTCTTGTCCTCTGTAGAAAAGAATTTAAAAACTAGTTTAAAAATCTGCAAATATTAATATCATAGAGACAAAATTGTGCTAAATATTAGTTAAATGATTTACACAAAAAAAGAGCAATGTTAATAAAAGAGAACCTTTAACATAAGTTGACCTAATTCCAATTTAGCGCAATGAATTATCTATGTATCTTACTCTCGCATATTGCCGTTCTGAATGCTGATTTGGTTTGAAACATGCCCGATAAATTCCCAGTCCGCGATGCTATCCACAAGGTTGCTAACACCGGCGACATGCAAAAGAGTAAAATAAACTAAACAAGAAAGCGTCGCGTGGCTTTACTTGGTAAATATCCAAATAAATAAATAAAAAATAGTACAAAAATTCCAGTATTAAGTCACTCACCTATCGCCCATCGGGTCGTCATGATGTTGTGATTCAGCGGGCGGCACAGGTGCCGGTATATTTGGCTCATCTGTTTCTGAAGCGTCGTCATCTCCTCCGAGAGCCTCTCCCGCCACGTCGTCGGGGTACTCAGTAGCAACCGGAGTAGAAGAACGGTCGGGCACTAATGTGGAACTGCCCATTGAAGTTCCGTTAACTGCGGCGCCGCGCCCTCCAGCCACATTAGATTCCCTGATGATAAATAAGTTTAAGGTTTTGTGTTTTTAAAAAGGCGATAGTACAATATTTTCTTAAATTTAGAAAATAGGTTTATTTAAAATGTCAAATTTTCATGATATTTGACATTTAAAATGAAACTATCGTGTCGTCTATAAACATGAGTCACTGGAGAGACAGACTCTCCCGTGACCATGTTTGCTGTAAATCGAAACGCCGGGAACCAAAAATTATAATAAATCCGCAAAAAAATCTCCAATATTTTTTTAAATGTTGATTTATTTATACTTATCTTCTGTCATAGTTAAATAAAAAAAAAACAAAAGAAACAAACGACAGTTGAACATGGCTGACCTGCGTGCATGAGATAACCTGGAGTGTCCAGTAGATAGTGGCTCCACACCAAACAAATCTTCACTGCCATTCACCAAGTCGACATAAGTGGTTGCAAGTGGGAAGGGCGCGGTCGGGCGCACTACTCCCAGCCGTACTGGGGCCAGCAACGCGTCGGCAGCCTCCACCAGCTCCTCCACTGCGAGCACGACTAGTGCTGCAAATACGCGACGGCAGCGAACCAACGACGACGTGATGGACAAGGGCCTAGAAAGCGGAATTCTTTTTTAGAAAACTAGAAAACTTAATAATATAGCACAAAGAAGAAGATAGGAAGTTCAAGTACATGTACCCCTTTTTCTTGGCGGCACCTGGTGCCATTTCTACACTAAATATGACGAATATCCGAGCTACCGATCGAACGAATCTACGTGTAACCTCTCGTGCCCGTTCAGCACGTCCCGCTATGGTGTTGTTCTGTTGCTCCCTGATCAAAGTATTCAACAAGGTGTCTAGCATCTGCAACAGGAAAAGTATTTTAAGAATCAATTTGACAAAATTGATTTATTTATATGATATATTGATTTATTCATGACATATAAAATTGGATTGTTACATAAATATATATACCTCATTAGTACACTTTACAATAAGTGCATGAGTAAATTTGTCTAATAATGTTGTTCCTGATTGGTGAGGAGAAGGACTACTTGGCCGGCTGTCACCTTCGGCGCTTCCATTTGATCCGCACATTATAGCCGCCTCTACAGCTGGCCAATCACCTAGAGTCACAAAATACATGATAAATTATTATTTTAATGAGACTTTTTTAAATATACGAGTATGATTAATTATAAAAATGTACAAACATACAACACAAGTTATAATACTTTCTTAAACAGCTGCATAAACAGAACACATAGCTGATGTGAAGCACCGTCGCAATACAACATCTGCTGTCTGCAAACATAGCCAGGACCGCCCAAGCCATTATATTCGTTTCGATAGACCTCAAATCCTGGCGAAAGAAAACCGATATCGCCCTAGAATGATTCGAGAAGCCATAGAAATTAAAAAACATCCAAATTTCAATAGGGAAGATGGCTGGGTACTACCATCGTCATGGGATCCTGTTATTAATATAATAAAATCAAATAATAAATATAAACATAACAGACAGGCAGATGTAGTAAGTTCATACTGTGTAGATCAAAATGACAGCTTATCAGATTGATATTTTTCATTTTTCATTTGTAAAAGTATATATTAATAGTGTTGCTTAGTAAGTTGTTTTTAAATAATAGCAAACTAAATTAAAATTATAATCCTTAATTAATTTTAACTTTTTAAATTACACATAGAACAATTATATGGCTTAAATAATTAATACTATATTTTATATTTTTCTTTATGGTTATAAATATAATAATGGCAACACTAAATATAGATTACTAATGAATATTTTTTAATATTGTAATAATTATAAAAATAATAGCAAAAATTAAATAAATAGTATTCCATATTCAATTATAATTAAAATTATAAAAATGTTTTAATTTAAAAAATATTGTAATGTAATTGGTGCAATTTTCATTTTGTTAATTGTGGGTAGGCTGTCTGTAACAACTATATCTTTAAGACATGTAACACCTCAGTCTCTCCCGTGACCATGGATGCTGTAAAGCATTCGAAACGTCGGGAACCAAAAATCAAAATAAATCCGCGAAATAATCCGAAAAGATAGTTTTATTTAATAACACAAGTTATATTTACCTAGTAGATGCAAAAGAGCCCGTCGAGCGAATCGAGGGGGTTCTAAGTCGTGATCAGGTATGTCAACCTCTGCATCCGAGCCAGGTTGTTTCCGTGGGCCGCGGCCTCGTCCTCCACCGGCGCGGAACTGACGATGTTCTACGGCTTGACGTCCTACAGTTTGGACTAGGAATAAAAGAATCGATTCGCCCCTAAAATGTAAATAATACATGTTATTACTAAAATAAAGGCATATTCAAAATTAAATGGTTTTGCTTCAAAAAAGTTGAAACATTAACAAAAATATGTAATAATTACCTAGAATTAAAATGTGTTGCTAGCTGTGTATCTCTGGCGAGTCGCGCAAGCAAATCACACCGGGCGGCCCAATTACCTCCTACTAAAGCTTTGCAGCGACACTTCTCCCAACAGTCGCAATAAGCAGTAGGTGACGTACGCTTTAGTTTACAATCGTGACCCTTATGGCATACCTTAGCACATTCTGTGCAGCAACAAAGTGATCCAGTGAGTCCACATGTTTTACATTCAAAAATATCCTGCAAAAATAATATGAATTTAATTCTTTTTGCAAGTATAAAGTTGTGACAAAAGAATAAACACATACAAATGTCTGCTTCAACTGAGCAAATATTACTAATTCACCTTTCAAACAAAAAAAAATCAAAACCTAAATTGTTTCATCCGTTCGGGAGTTACGAAGCCAACAGACACACAGACACGTCAAACTTATAACACCCCGTAATTTTTGCGTCGGGGGTTAGAAACAGAGATATTTATAATACACTCTTAGATTTACGTAAATATTTGACATTTTAAATAAAACTATAGTTAAGTTTTTTTTTGGGATTCATTTTATCTTTTTTGTTCCCGATATTTTGAATGCTTTACAACAATCATGGTGATGGGAGAGACAGAGACAAATGTTTCAATAAAACCTACAGTTGAAATAATACATTTAAAAATAAAATCCTAGTAAGAGTAATAACCTGATTAATGTGATCTTGACCGGTCCATGTGAAGCTGCATGTGTCATTGCAACAGAGCACGAGTAGTGGCGAATGATCAGGGTGTGCATTAGGTGGAAAGATGGCCGCCGAGCGCTGTGTTTCATCTGCATCAGAGCACGCGCGAATTGCATCCAGGAGGACAAGCGCTGCGCGGTAGGCGCGTTCAGCCACAGCTGCCATTAGGGGTGTCTGACCCATGCCATCCCTACAAAATGACACTTTTTAACAATAGCGGTTAAAGCAATCTAATAGGTAGATCTACACAATTTATTAATTGTAACAGGATCAATAGGGGGTCAGAGTGGATTATGGCTGTAAGTCCAAGTACTGCTATTAAGTTTTTTACATTTAAATGTATAAATTTACAAAAACTATGCTTTGCACTATAATATCTATCTATATAATAGTTTGACAGGTCACTTACTTAGCAGTAAGCAATTGCATAAGATAAGGTTGTAATGCTGAACTTTCGCTCAATGCACGCAGGGCAGTTAAAGCATTACCCCGACGCTCTGCCGGATCCGCACTCACGGCACTCCCTCCATTGTTACTACCACTTGTCATTTTACTACAATAAAAAAAAAATCTAAATTAATTGGGTGTACAAAAGGAGATTAAGAATAGAAAGCAATAAGAAAAGTAATATTTGTCTTATATATTTGGTCAATACAAAAGATTTACAAATTATGTATTGCAAAAATTTAATAAACAAGAATATTGTTCAAACTTGCCCATTATTAGTAAGTCCCATCAAACTATCCTCATCTCCAGAAGCTTCGAATGTTTCCGGTGGCCAAGACAGGGCAGGTACTGCCTCCTCCGCACTTGCACCGCTACCACTGGTACCGCTCGGTACATTCGGCATTGATGCATTTTCTACTACATAAAAAGACGGGAAAATGAAAGGCAATTTATTAAACGAACTTAACAAAATGATATCAATTAATATCCACATTCTATAAAACTGAAATGAGCAGGGTTTTACGATTTAGCGATGCAGCTATGATATGATTGAACATCTTCATGTGTAGTTAAAGTTTTAACTCACCAATATCTGGTTCCTTGTTGGAAGTGGGTGCACACATGTGCACACAAGCATGAAGAATATTTCTATTTCCGTCGCATCGTTCTTGTAGAATTGATAAAATCTGTTGTTCTGTGAAAACATTATACATATCATTATTAATGAATTACATTTTTGAACAACACTTGAAATTTTGAAACAAGCAAAAATTTGTAGTGTTGTTATTTATTTTCGTTTTAAATAGTGCATTTACATAATGAAAATGAAATGAATTGTATACTCACTATTTGAATCTGATTCTAGCTGGTGTAGTAGTTGACGTACTCCATCGAGGTCGCAGCGTAAGACACGAGGCATCATCAGTTGAGGTTCAGGAACAAGAATTATTAGCGCCACCTAAATAGACAATAACATTAAGAAGTCTTTAGTTACTTTAGTTTAAAAAAAATATAATGCATGCATCCAATAATATAATTTTACAATAAAAATTAATTTTTATTTAATATTATCAAAAATAGGTGTCATGACATATGAGGTTTCCCGTTCTTCATCGACGTTTAAAATAGCGAACATACAATTTATTCTTTTATCTTAACAATAAGTCAAACCCATTTTTACCTGCGATTTTAGAGCAGGGTGGTGCGGATGATGAGGATGGTGTGGCTGCAGTGGTAAAGCGTGAGCGGCTAACGCTCGTGCTGGCGGCAAGTTAAGCGGTGGTGGCTCTCGCACTGCGCCGACACAGTCCCGCGCTACAGGATACAACGCGCCATTGCCATCTAGCATCATCACCACTGGTTCACTTCCCTATTGAAAAAAAATATATAACACTATAACAATATTGAATTTGATTGAAAAAAAAGGTTTAAATCATCATAACATAACAGCACCTTTACATTCATGATTTTTTCCAAAATCATTAAAGCGGAAAGGGTAAAACTTGAAGTTTTATAACAAATTGGCACTTTATTTATAAATATTTTATTTATTGTAAGTATACAGTAATGTCATAATTATAGATTAAATTCACCTCTGCTGCAGTGGTAAGTTGTATTGCCTGTCCGTTGGAGTATCCCAAGAGAGCACTGTGATCTGTAGGAAATGTGCTGTCGGTAAGAGCACGTGTAGTGCCTACAGCGTATACTGCGTACGCCAGTGCCCCACCAGGGCGACGGACCACAGCGTGAACGCCGCGATTGTCAACCTAAGCATAAAATATTAAAAATTACATTGCTTAATCCTTTCTTAGATTTATGACCATGAATGCTGTAAAGCATTCGAAACGTCGGGAACCAAAAATCAAAATAAATCCGCGAAATAATCCGAAAAGATAGTTTTATTTAAAATTACATTGCTATTTTAAAATCAGTAAAGCTACTTTGATTGCTATTGAATTAGTTTGTTTCTTTCTTTTTAAAACTGCTCTATATTGACCGCAATTTTCTTATTCAATATGCTATATACATAAATAGTATGGAATTTACGCAGAATGTACAATTAACAGATGCTTTTTACTTTGTATTTATTTCATATTCATTTTATAGAAGAATGATCAATCACAAAAATAAGTTAAAAACTAAGTATAATTGGTTTATTTAAAAAAAGAATAACTTACAGCAATCGTAATGACATTCAGATCTGGAGGTAAAGAAATTTTTCGTGGTGAGCGTTGTAAACAATCTGGTCCGCGAGGTCCTGCCGATCCCCCCGCGCCCCACTTCACTGCCACCAGATCATCTTTACGAACCAGTCGACAATCTTGTAACAACGCCGTCCAATCATCAGGTGTGGCCGGCACTATTTCTTTACCATCCTTGCCAACTGACGGAAAGCGAACGGCTGCGTATGCTCCGTCAACTTTCAAAACACGTCCTAGTGGCACACTTTTCACATCTTCTAGGAAAACAACCTCTTTTAATGGCCATTCTTCTTCATCACGCTTTGAACCATCGTTGGATGAGCCTTCTTCGCCGCGGACAGTCACACGTTTTGCTCGTTCTAAAATGATAAACAGTATCAAAATATTATTCCACAAAATGTTTTTGTTTGAAAATTGTTTAAATTTTTTTTTATTATTGTTACTATACTTTATACCGAAGGAAAAACTTACTATGAGAAGTACTTGTGTCACTGCAAGTAGAAGAAGCAGGACTAGGCGGTGGAGGCATATCTAGGCGATCGGCCATATCTTTATTGCTATCTTTGCCGCCATCCTTGCTATTATTGCTTGAAGAAGATGCTTTTACTGATGACACAGTTAGAGGGGATTGATTCTGTAATAAACATTAATTATTATTAGGGACAATGAAAGATATAATGATATATATAAGTGGGAAAGCTATGATGTAATTTTGTTTAATATTTACCTGTAAATCTCTTTTATCCTTATCAGATATAGAGCGGTCAGGCTGCGGCGGGGGCAACAGCTTGAAACGACAAGTGTCGGATAGATTCCATGCAGCATTCTGCAGTATTCCAACTTTTGGCACACCAGTTGACATGTTGAACCCTTTAAAATAGTAAAAAAATAAATGTTTAATCAATTTTTGTCAATTATATAAAAAAAAAAACACACACACACACACACACACACCTAGGTATAGTGGTAAACCAAACAAAGAAATTACAGAGCAGTCTGTACATCGGTAATGCGAGAACGTTATATACATATAGTAAAACTCGTTTTAAAAATACATGATTCATCATAGCACACTTACCAATAGCTCCTGGTTGGTACATGGGCGCATTTTTCATTGTAACGCTCTGGCCGGCTTGCAAGTCTTGCGGCGTGTTCGACGAGTGACCGCGCTGTTGTTTGCGGGAGCGTGCTCGGTGCTTCTCCCAGAGGCGAGCGCGTTGTCCTAATGGCAACACTCCCCTGTAAATAGAATATATATGTAAATAGATATTTTGTTTATTGTTTTTGTATTCAGTCCTTTTCAACATCCCACTGATGGGCACGGACCTCCCCTTCAGTACGAGGATGATTATGCCATAGTCCACCACGCTAGCCAAGTGCGGGTTGGCGAACTTCACATGTCTTTTGAAAACTTGCTAGGTTCTCTCAGACATGCAGGTTTCCTCACGATGTTTTCCATCACCGTTAAGACAAGTGGTAATCATGGAACTAACTGTAAATATATATGTAAATAGATACATACAATTTAAAAATAGCTAATAAAGAGATCATATTTTAATATCGAATCTACTTGTGCAACAGGATCAAAGTTTTATATAGAAATAAGTTGTAGTTGATATACTTGACTCTAGATTTGTGATTAAAACAGGGATTTCGATCGATTTTTACTTAATTAATCAATCTTAAAACATTTTTTTTTAATTGTCATAAGATCACCTTAATACGATCCTTTAGATCATTCTTACACAGAGGAACTTTTGAATTATATATGATACAAATGCAAAATAGGTAGTGCTTGTGTTTAAATTAAGAAAATTTTAGGTTTGAAGAAGAAATTAATGATGAAATGAAGACCTCACGCTGTCCAATTTCATTATGACCAGTCAGGTAATATTAACTAACCAAAAACATCATAAAAACTTTGGAGACTGATTAATCACCAGGGTTTGATCTGATACAATTGTTTTTGTTTATATAAGAAACTCTTTTAATGTATTTTTTGAAAACGTAAGATATCGCGACATTTTGTTGACGACAATGCACTACTAGTAAGCAACGCAAACCCTTTAGAAGCCTCAAGCACCCAACAAGCATCTCAAACTCAATCGTAAATATAATCGTCGTAATAAACTCAATCGTTAATATGAATTATTGCAAATATCTGGACGGACATTACATACAAAACTTTGATGCTTACTGTAAAGAAGAGTTGCTTACTGAGTGATAGTCTCTATATCGTCGCTAAAATTGTAACACATCTGCTTAAAGTTTAAATAGTTTAAGGATGATTGCCGATACACAGAATGAAAAAAAAAAGAAAGAATTATGAACAAAATCTAATTAATAAATAACTTACCACCAATATAGAGTTCCAGATTCTAGTCTTGCCACAGTATATAATGAGCACACATGCAATGAAACAGCTTTCTCCGAGCCAAACTCTGAAAATGTCTGCAGAGGATGTTCCAAACGTACAGCCCCCGGAGCATGAGCTGAAATAATATATATTGTAATTGTTATATCATTTTTAGAATAAAAAAGTGTATATAAACATAATAAGTTGCAGAAAATGTTGAAATCATTTTAACTTATATTCATGATTGGTACCTATGGATTCATCTAAAAACGTTGCAACTCGTCCAGCATCAGTGAGAACCGACACACGTATGCCTGCAGCGCTGATATTTACAATACGTTCTCCCGATGTCAGACCCATCCAATTTGCACGTGGGTGAAAAGTACCACCAGATGCCTGTGAAGAACCAAAGCGATTTTTAAAAATGAACTAACTATAATACAGTATAAATGATATGTTTACACACCATGTTCATATTTACATATCAACTTATAATTATAAATTTCGTTTTCAGGTTTATTTTAAATAATATAACACATTTTTGTTTAAATCACTTACATCATTGCGTTGGTAAGGATGTGCATCAGACCAGCGCCATTGGTGTAGCTGTCCTTGTGTAGAAATAGCAATTAATTCACTATATGTAGCAGCAATATGTGTGAAACGTATATTGCTATCCCAATACTCCAGTTCTTCAGACACCCATAGAGGAGATGCCGCCATCGCAGAGTCCTTTTTTTTGTTCTCTACTATAAATTATTTAACAATCATATATTACGCAGAAATAATATAATAATATACTTAAATTAAAAACAGTTTAAAATGTCATTCTACCATTAAACATTTAATAAGGAGAAACCAGTATAGCCTGCATGTAGAGTACTTGACGTAGGCTATAATAACTCTATGCAATTCAAATAAAAAAGAAAAAAAATTAGGCCACAATCAACAAAGATATTTCCCAGCATTCATAAAATAATCAAGTTCATAATATTCTACTAAAATGTCACTTTAAAATGAGACGGGTACATACAGTTTGATTAATGAATAAATAATGAAAGTTATATAATATGTATGATGTACAGTACATCTGCGCATTTTGTTAATTTTACATTTATACAAAACATGGGTTATTTTTTATAATCTAAAATTCTATTAAGATCACTCAATTTGCTTTAAGCTTGCAATATCACCGCGTGTCATCATCACACACATCATCATGTCGTGTCACAACTCATTCAAACAAATCATTCATTTCATTTTTCATTCGTTATCTTATCATTTAGATTAGTTTGGAAATAAATTGAGTATTTGCAAATCTATATTAATTCAAACAATAGACGTACAGGAAGGAATATTACGAAACTGTACACCGTTTTGGTCCTCTGAGCCATATAATTATATATTATATTGTATTTTAAAATGTTTTACCTCCTTCCTTATCCCAAGACGTATCACGAAGTGCAGACTCCAGCCACCGCCGAGGGCCGAAGTATTGTCTTTCTCGCCATCTGCTAAACTCCGAAGGCCGCTCTTGAGTGGAGCTGCTGCTCTCACGACTGGCGCCGGCACGCACTCCGCCACTACTTCCACCGCCTCCGCTACGACTGACCACAAATCTATTATTATAGAGAATTTTAAGAAGAATGGTGTGTCATATCGTACTACATCCTTTTTCTTTTATATTATATCGCACAATTGACCAAATTATAATTGAGGTATTTTTGTATAATAATAGAATTTAAAAGTCAAATTTATGATTCATTCACTGGCATTAAATAATCTGTTATATTCTGTAACAGATTATATGTCAGTCATTGATCAAATCAATAAAATGTATGACATCAATAACGTGTTGATGTAGTGGTTTATGATACACCATTAAAAACATAAAATAATTTAAAAAAAAATACCCAATCACGAAACAAAAACGGAAACTGCGTAAGCGTTTGCGTGCTAGATTGGGTCGAGGAGTTACAACTCTAGTGGTGGGAGAAATGAGGCAGAGGAGCGTAGCTTGACAGGATACCTTCTGACAGCCGCGTACCCGAAGATGTCCTCCGAAAACATGGCGTCTGCATCTATAATCACGGATTGGTCCTGTTGAGTTGCATGAAAACCTCCGTCGAGAAGAGATATGAGGTCCTCCGGAACATAGCCGTCCCCGCCTTCGCCGCCTTCCGGCTCCTCCCCCTCTTCATCATCACGGGACAAAAGGTTATTGACAGCTTGATTAACATCCAGGTTTGTACGCTGTCAAAATTTTCGAAACATTAGGTAAATGTAGGTAAAGTTAATATAATGTTACATCACACATGTAACAAAAATTTATATAAAAAAATTAGCATCCCATTAAGTGTTCAGACTAAAAAGACCCGACGACTAAAAATGAAGCGTGTTTATAAGTGTCACACCCTTTTCTGTACTTGCAATACTGTGCGGAGTTCAGTAACTCTCAAACGGATGGGCCGATTTTGATTCTTGTTAGTTATGAGTTAAGTCAGTAATGTAAGAAATTTTTATTTAATTGCTTAAAAAAAGATTGTTTTTAATTTATATACTTGCCTGCAACTCTCTAATTATAAGACTTCTACTTTTCCCCTGAAGTACTACTTGAGCCTGAGTCACCAGATCTTCTGGCACAAATGGTGCCGGTACTGCCGATACTACCCGACCAGAACTTGATGCTCCGATAATGACACCAGTGGCTCTGCTTGTAGATCCTAAACCAACATTTCAAATAATTACACCTAGATCAACACACAGGCACCCAGGCAAAGCTAGGGTAACGTGTAAGTTGTTAATAAATTAAGAAAACCAATTTCATAATCAAGTATTTCCATCTTTTACATACTTACTAATATATTTTAAATTGGGCAATGGTATACAATATACATACTAAAATCACATCCACTTTTTTATGCAAGTTTCTAATATAACATGTATGTATTCAGCCCTTTTCAACGTCCCACTGCTGGGCACGGGCCTTATATCAATACGAGGGGGATCAGGTCATAGTCCACCACGCTGGTCAAGTGCGAGTTTGGCGGACTTCACATGTCTTTCGAAAACTTGCTAGGTTCTCTCAAACATGCAGGTTTTCTCACGATGTTTTCCTTCACCATAAGAAAAGTGGTAATCATGTAAGAAATGATTCGCACATGAAAATATCAGAAGTGCGCGACCCGGGATTTGAACCCGTTCACTCGGTTTCCCAAGTGAGCGCGTTACCACTGGGCTACCACTGCCTTAATATACCATACTTAGGACCAATGCATACTAATAATTTAATCTGACATTTGAAAAAACAAAAGATTTCAATTATTGGTGAGAGGTATATAATACACTAGCATTGCCCGCGGCTCAGCCCGCGTTCAGATGACCAAAAACCAAGTTCTTAAGTTTTACATATTACTATACTCTTACATTGCAGTTTTTGTATTTTTTCTCTGTGGTAAAAAGTATCCTATATGTTGACCCCGATAACCAGCTATCATTATACCAAATTTCATCAAAATCCTTCCAGTGGTTTTTCCGTGATGCGGTAACAGACAGACAAAACTCTAAAAACTATACATTCGGCCTCTGTATCGATAATAATGTCTATTTCAATAAGATTTTCCAAAAAAATATTTAATGTACAGATTCGGCTTAGTTACAATTTTATTATACATTATATAGATTTAGATATACATACATAATACATATATGTATATGTATATTAATTGCTGAGTTATGGCTCTGGACAATTTTTGTCCATATATTTCATTGGCTTTGGAAATTTATGAACTTCTTTGATGTACATATTTCAGGTATACAGGAGAAAGTGGTAATGTTTAATTAGTAAGTTAAACTAGTAAATGTATACAATATATTATATCAAGTTAAATAAATATTTTATGATCCTTAAAGTCTGTCTTTTAATGTGCATTACTAAAAAGATCAGACAGATTCAGATGGACCGGCAAAACAAGCAACCTAATATTGTAAACTTACAGATTTTGTCAAAAATCTTTGTTTAAAATTACAATGGTTGTGTCAGCTGCTTCATCGCCATATAAAACAGACAACACCGACAAAGCAATAAGAGTACAAGCACACTATCACATTGATAATAATATTAGTAGGAGGAATAAAAAATTGTCTACATTAAAAATAGCTTTATTTCATTTCAATTTGTTGAGTAACTAGTAGTTCAAGTTCGTAGTTTTAAAAAGTTGAAGTTAATAGATATGTAAAAGGAATTGATTTTTTTTACCTTGTGAACTAGGAGCAGCTCGGATAGAATTTCTCATAATTCTTGCTCTTGTGCGAGGCTGTTGCCTAGATCCACATCCACCCCCACTTCCTCCTTGCTTTCCCCCACTTGTACCTCCACCACCACTACCTCCTCCACCATTTCCACCGTTTTTACTCGCATCCGCTTTACTCAGATCTAATCTATCCGGAATTATGGAGAATGCAGCACGGCATATAGTGCCATCTTCTAACAGACAGGCAATATGAGCTGGCCCAGCAGCAACTGCTCTCACACCTCTTAGGGAAGTGAGTGCAGATGGCGCTGCACCAGTGCCATATCTGTTCCAACGCTCTGCAACCTCTCTGAGTCTATAAGAAAGTGCAAAACCAATATTACTACCAAAAATATATAATTAGTGAAACTGTAACTCAATTAGACGTATCAGTAAGCTGTATATAGTGCTAAAAGTAAATTAATTATTATCATTCTAACAAAAACTACAGCTTGTAGTACAAGAATGCAGATAAGGTTGTACTCAGTATTAGTAACAGAAGATATTTAATTCTCTTTAAAACTGCATATAAAGAGGAAGTAATTACAAGACAGCAAATTTAAATCATAACAGCCTTTTTTTAACTCAGAAACAAATGTTTATTTACTTTTAATAACTTCTGTACAAATCTTTTCTTAATCCAATTGCTTTAGCTATGTTATGCAAAGCTAAAACGTGATAGGAATGTATGCAGTTCTAATAAATAATAATATTAAATAAACCTTGAAAGACTGATTTTATATATTTATAATTTATGTATATATATATAAATATATATATAAATATATATATATATATATATATATATATATATATATATATTATATAAATACATTATGAGAGAATTTAAAAAAAACTATTATAACTCCAGTGCTGGACTAATAAAATCAATGATATAAAAAAGATGACTCATGAGGATTGTCAAAAATGCATAAATTTAACACCTATAGTCTGATTTTTAATTCGACGGAATTCTGACATTTCAGAAGTGTTGTCAACTTTGACACATTGTCACTAAAAACAGAAAGCATTTTAGCAAAATAAAAAATAAACCTTTCTTGAAGTTAAGGTTTCAATTAGAAAAACTAAGACTAAAAAAATATTGATAACTCTAAAATGGTACTTATTTTTTTTTTGTCATCATATTATTGAAGTTACAATAATTATTAAGGAAATTATTTTTCTATTACAGGAATCCCTGTCCAATAATCCATAGGTTGCAAGCCCTTTTCAGTAAAACCCCTTTGTAAAATATTTTGTTTTACTCTGTTTTATTCATTTGACCATTAAAAATTTACATTAGTTATTGTGTATTGATTGCACAAAACAAAGACTATTTACAATGTCATACATATAGTTTAGTTGATCTATATCTGTTTCATATTTTTTGTTATTTTATATTAAAAAAATAAAAAGCAGAAGAGGTTTATGATATCTGAATTGTCAAAGAATGATAGCTGTTATATTTCCGTGGAATTAAAAATTGACTTTAGTTGTTTATGACATTGTATTTAAAATATTAACTATTAGATTCCTTTCACTTCAGTGTACTGAAAGAATGTGATTGCACAGCAAAAGAAATACATACTCGAGACAACCAAATGTACATATGTTAGCCTGTGAATCACAAAATATATGAAAAAATTTAAAGTAGATCTGCAAGTTAAAAAATGTTACTAGGACAAACGAGAAAGACATTTTATAAACTTTGAAACAAGTATGGCACATGGAACATTTTTTGAATTTGATAAAAATGGGTTAAGTAATGTTATGACTAACAAACTAGGCTATTATTATGTTGCAATTTTTGTGTTACAAAAAAAGTACTTGTAAAAATTTCTAAATCCAAAATGCTAGAGAAATAATAGTAATAATTTAACTAATTGTTTAATATATGAATAGCAAATCTGATAATAGGATTACTTCAATGTTGAAATATAAGTATTTCATAACAAGTATACTAAATTTTAAATTATATTTTTTTATTTAAGAACAAACATAATATATTATTAAAATCTAGGGAATGGAACAAAAATAGAGGTTTAAAACTGAATTACAATCAATAGAAATAGTCTTTTTCTGAAATTATAGATAAATTATTTTTAATAAATACAATAATTTATATACTTCTAGTATATATAAATAAATAAAAAATAAATCAATTTAATTATAAGTATATTTTTTATTTCATATATATTTTATTTAAGTGATCTTGTTTCATTCTTCATTTAGAACTATCTATATAAATTCAAAGTTAAAATATATATAAAAAAATTATACATTATACAAATTCTTTTTGTTTTAATAAATAATTTGTTTTTTCTCATTCTTTTAGATTTCAAACATTAAATATTTTGTATCTTTTTTTTTAAATGTAATGCAATGTTTTTATCAAAATAATATTGTTATCTAGATAAAATCTTTAGGAATAATAATGTACAAAATTATGAAAGCCAAAAGAAAATGGGGTTCGCAAATTAAAGACATCACCATCGTGTCAATTATTTGATTACGATTTAAACGATTACCATTATTCACTCCGTTATTAGAATATAAAAGATTTACTGTGAATCAGCCATATTTTTGCAATAAGATATAAAATTTGACAGATAACATTATAATGCCATCTAAAATGAACGTTGGAATCGAGAGCATCTCCACTAGCCATTTCAAGATGATGAACATATGATTGATCACCATAGCCTTTACAATTCGATATCTATTGTATAAGATTAACGTAATGGAGTCATCTAGAAAGTTAAATAATAGATTTGCTTACCTATCTATCAATTGATCCTCTGTTCCAGGCAATGGATGAACTACGAAATGCATTGAAGACATTTCTATGAGATCTTGTCAATTAATTTAACATAAAGAACACTTCCACATTTGCATTCACTTAAACGCTGTAGAACAAATGAACACTCCTAAAAAAATTTCTAACCACCATATTTCCTCTCAAATCTCAATAGCGTTTTTCGTTCTCAAATACATGTGAGTCGGTACATGACGGAAAAAGAAAGAAAATATCAACATGGCTTCTTTGTCCAAAATGTTGGCAGAATTGATAGACATGAAAATAATTAAAATGGTTCGTAATAAAGAACTTTATATTAAGAAAATAATCAAATGTTTTTAGATATACTCTATATTTGATAAGAATATACAAAACTATCAATTCTTAAATACAATTATTTATGTTGTGTACCAAAATTTATTACATAATGAAGTTAACCCCACAGACTATAAAAATATCACTATTTAATAAACATTACATTTTTATATTATCTGTAAAAAAATGTCAAAAATGGCGGCCAAGTTAAAGAAGCGATTGTCTAAAATTGAAAATAAATTGTTAAAATTAGAAAAATTAGAGATAAAAGACGTTATTTGTTCCATTTGTCAGTCTGTGTTGATAGAACCTGTAACTCTGCCGTGCTATCATGATTTTTGTGAACGTTGCTTTAATGGTAGTATTGAAAATAATGCTTTGTGTTGTCCCCTATGTCGATTGCGGATTGGTTCTTGGTTACGAAGAGCGACAAAACAAAAGAATTTAGTAAATAAGCAGCTGTGGAATTTTATAAAAAATAGATTTCCTAAGGAAATAGACAAGAAATTAAAGGGTGAAGATGTTGACATACCTACAGGTATAAACATGATTTTAATTATGTAGTTGTACATATATTTGAATATAACAAATTCGATTTTTGTAGTTTTTGTTTTTAATTATTTTTATATTAGCATGCATTTAATTAATATATATTTTAATTACATAATGGTATCAAAAATATTTATTCAGTAATACCATTAATTCGACTAAGTAAACCAGGAGAAATAAGATCTGAATATGAAGCTGAGCTAAAAAGATTACAAGCTGAACGTTTGCAGCTTGAACAAAAACAATTTCATGAGACCGAGGTTCTAATAAAGTAAGTTCCTTTAATTGTGTTTTATATAATGAAACCTTGAATTCTTCCATAGCAATATGTAATATTTGGACTGTCGCTATCATATGGTGCAAAATTGTACCTAACTTAAAATTTGATTGAGTTTACTTTTATGTTTTTATCAAAATAACCTTAATGTTCAATGTTTGTGAATGACTTGTTGCTTCTTTGTATATGTATTAGAAATATAATATATGATTGACTTCTTGTAAAATAACCTAAATTTTTATTTTTAATATTACTTTAGTATTTTGTATGTTTTATTACAAAATAAAAATGGCATATAGTTCTTTTTATTGTTTTAGAAAACTCCAAGAAGAAGAAGAGCTAGCATATAAAAGATATTTAGAAAGATTAAAACAAGATGAAATTTTGGCAAAGCAGTTGCAACAGGAAAATGAAATAGCTGATGTTTCTAATATGTCAAAAAATAATGTTATAAAATTTCCTTCTACACAGCATAAATTAAAACCTACTACTATAGATAGCTATTTATCTAAATCCACACTCCAAGCTATAATTACCAAACAGTAAGTATTCATAGATTTTTTTTAATTGTGTTTAGTTAGTAATTAACAAATAATTAATATTAAATTTAAATTATTTTAGCAGCCCATTAATGACTGATGACAATACAAGCACAGATGTGACAACCCCTATAATATCAAATAGTTCAAATAGTAGTCGGCTTTCCCCAGAAATATTGCCCAATTATGGGAAAATTTTGAAAAATATTATCGACAGAAAAACTAGAAATAGACCGAGTACATGGAACAAAGAAAATGGAGATACTACTCCAAAAGATAAGGTGAAATTATCAACTGCAACAATACTTATAAGTTAATACATTAAAAAAGGTCCTTTGCTTCCCTTTTGTGCAAGTTATATTTTATTTTCGTTCTATGAATCTACATATAATCTGTAAATTACATACTGTAAAGGGGAAATTCTAATTTCTGTTAATCTTATAAGCATTACTTAATTCAAAAAAAAAAAACATGCAAGCAAGTATATATCTACTAAAATAGAAAAGTTAGATGTATAATATTGAAAACTTTTATGTAATAACTATTAAAAATACATATTTACCAGATAGCCTTTATTCTAAAATGCAAATATACTTTGTGTTAATAAGTATCTATAAGATACTTACTAAGTGAAAGAATTACAAAAAACTAATGACTATATATAGAATAGTCACTTCATTTCTTTATAATAAGTATAAATCAGGGCTGAATTAACCATATCGGAGAGTGGGGACCCCTAGGCAGTGCAATTCTCAGGGCCCTTTCACCCTTTTCTAACTTATTAAAAACATTTTTTTCTACCACAATGCAATTATAATTAATATTCATAATTACGCTATTAGGTAGATTTCATAAATCTAATTATTGTATTTGTCCTCATGATGGAATTGTCACCTAATTTTTTAATTTTTCAAATTAAATTTTCACTCTATGAAACTTTTTCAATTTTTTTTCTCGTTGCGTGGCGCCCATAGACAGTTGCCTAAACTACCTGATGAATAATCCAGCCCTGGTATAAATTTTGATTTTTTTTAAGCTTAGCAATATGATAATTAGATAATATTATTTAATTAGATCATTTAAATCAACATACATATTTCTAATACAAAGTTTTGTAAAGTTATATCATTTGAAAATTTCAGAAAGGGCAAGAAATTAGCAATATGGACTTATCAAAAAATGATGATAAATGTAAGACGAAAACTGTAGTACAGTCATTACTTGTTTCTTTGCCACTGCCACATGCAGGAATACTTCAAAAGACAAGTTTTCCTGACCATAATAATATTGAGACAAGTAGTGTTGATTCTATGCATCAAGAATTATGCTATTTCAAACCTATTGAAGGAACTACACCTACAAGGTATATATTTATATATTTTGTATACATAACCACAGATCATATAATACTATATACTAGTACAAGGTGCCCCATTTCATACAAAGAAATTGGACATCGCTAATTTGGGTAATTTTGTTGATTTGCAAATAGTTAAAAGTGTTTTATTTCATAAATATGTGCAAATTAATGCATTAATGGTAAATATTGTAAAACTTATCCTGCATTGAAATAAAAAAAAACTGATTTTAACCATTTTTAACTGCAATAAACAATTAATAAAAAGTAAAAACGCCATCTGTGAATACAACCTTTTTTTTTTTAACGTTGGGAAATGCATTTACGCACGACGTGTGGGACTCACCGGCGTAATACAGCCAGTACTTCCCACTAAAACCCAACAAAACCTTCCCCCGTCTTAATGGGGCGTCGCAGGATCGCTTACGCATTCAACTACGACGCCCCGACGGCAGGTCTGCCGAAGCAGACCACCACAACCATGGGGTTGCTCCAAGGTCCACTCTGCTATCAGAGAAGTACCATGAGCAACCCGCATGTTACACCGCCCCCCAAAGAGGGCCACCTCCCACCGTCCACTGAAGTGGGCAACCTCCCTGTGCGTTTCTTAGCTTCGCGCCCGGTTGGATTGCCGGGCACTACTGAGCCCCCCCACCACGACAAGGTGAACGCACGTTGGGGGGTCTGTGAATACATCCTAACCTAACCACAAACCCATCATCTTATAGCTGATATTTCAATAATCAATAAAGTTAACGCAAATTTGATTTACTGGGACATTATTTTGTTTGCCTCCACTTAGAATATTTTTTAGAACAATATTACACCTGTTTGGGATATTTTTTTTTTATCTCTTTGTTAATTTAACACAAGTTTAATAACAAATCGATTCATGTAACATCATCTATTGACATTTTTTTGAACTACTTTTTGTTTGTTCGTGATGAAACGCCATGACATACATAACTCAAAAGGTCAAAATGTGGAATTGATGTGACTTAAAATGATTCATACGTTTTTTCCTTCTGCAATTTTTAAACATTTTGTTACATGTATGTACAAATGTAATTATAAAAAAAGGGTCTGTGTACTAATGCACGTAAGAAGTTTTACTTCTTTGGTGCAACAGAACAAAAATAGCTAAAGATTTTATTCCGTATGTCACAACTCTCTGTTTGTAAAAGGAATGCAGCTAACTCCACCATGTCTCTTTTTGGGTATCGGTGTGCGCCCGCATAGTCAAAATTTTACTTTCATATTTTTTCCAAACATACTAAAAGAAGTATAACTTCAAAAATATAAAATAAAATATATTATTACTATAGTGCTAAGTTATGGGCAATACGTTATCTTAGCATTAAACTAATAATGTTTTTATATTCTTTTGTTTTTAAGTGTAATGCAATTTGATCAAAATTTTATTCATATACGTAATTGACCAAATTTATTTTAAAAATAATATACACAACAAATCTTTAACAACAAAATACTTTATTATGTGAAAATTTTCATATAATTTTTCTTTTAATATGTGATGCATTTTAATTATTTTATTCTCCTTAATTCAAGTCTAAAGCCTTTAGTAATAATCACATAATTTCAATTTTTTTTCAGCTTTAATACTAATAAAGATCTGCCACTGCGTGTCCCATGTATAAGAGTTGATAAAGAAAAGATGGAAATATCTAACTCTGAATCACATCCAAGTCGGGAGCAATATTTGGAAGGTCTATGTCAACTGCGTGATTTATCTTTGACTCACAAGTTACCTTCTGCGTTTGTTATAGCCCTTAGCTTATTGAAAACCAAACAGGTAAACTCTAACTTATACATATTCAAAAATTATATCACTAAAGTCATCTTATGAAGAAATTACTAAATTTACAAATATATTTTGTAACTAGCATTGCCCGCGGCTCCGCCCGTGTTCAGATTACCAAAAAGCAAATTCTTAGGATTTACATATTAATATACTCTTCCAATGCAGTTTTTGTATTTTTTCTTAAAAATGAGATATTTTCCTATATGTTGATGTTAAAAGTATCCTATATGTTGACCCGGATAACCAGCTATCACCGTACCGAATTTCATCAAAATCCGTCCAGTGGTTTTTCTATGATGCGGTAACAGACAGACAGACAAAAATTCTAAAACGTATAAATTCGGCATCTATATCGCTAAAAATGTCTATTACAATAAGATTTTCCAAAAAATATTTAATGTACAGATTTGGCTAAGTTACAATTTTATTATACTTCTATATTATACATAAAATGTTTATTTCATATATTGTAATGAATATTGTGTTATGTGTGTTTTTGTTATGTCCTTGCCAAATTTCATGAAAATCTGTTGAGCCATTTAATTTCGAATAGTTCATAAATAAACAGAGTTAATTTCATATCTATAATATTAATATGGGCATGTCAAGTTGAATTTGTATATTTTCTTATTGACATAAATCTTAAATTTTAAGGAAAATTCTAAGAAATGTACAGCAAATACAAGATCTAAGGCTAAGAAAAGTTCTGCTACCAATTCAAATATTGTAACGCCATTATCATCAAAACGGACTGTAGGTAGATACAAACAAATAGAAATGGTTGACGGTGTCACTAAGCTAAATAAGAAAACAACTTTGAGACGTACTAGATCAATGGACAGTATCCATAAAAACGAAAATGAGATTACACCCAAGAAAAAAGTTAAAGAGAGAAAATTTTATTCTGATAGAAAACCATATTTGAGGAGCGATTCTAAAAGAATGCACCTAAAAATGGAGTCATGTAGTCCACCTTCATGTACTGAAACCATAAATAATAATAAGGTAAATTTAGCTGTAAAAAACTTGTCTAGTCCATTAGAAAATTGTGATGTTAAAAATATTTTGCGAGAGCAACTTAGGATTGAAAAAATTATTGAGCAAGAAAAGATTGATTTTGAGTTGGCGTGCAAGGTGGATGCCGAGTGGAATGGACGGCGCGCCGCTACCAAGCGCCAAGTCAGTCTGACCCACGCTGTTAGACCTGCCAAGAAACTCAAAGTTTAGTGCAGTAATACTACCTCAGGAAAATTTCCATACTCTCATTTTGTTATATTTATGGTTTTTTCAGTAAAAGAATATTTGTGTAGGTATTATTTTTATGTTATATTATCTTAAACAGTTTACCCACCTACAACGTTAGTCCATAAAACAGTTTCTTAAAATGTCTACCACACTTTTAATTTATCTAATATTGTTAAATATTGTCTTCCGAGCCACTAGGTATGAATAATAGGAAAATTATAAAAAATAAAATGTGATTATTATTATATATTGTAATGTTGTAAAAGTTCTGTGTTCAAGACATTCTGTCGCATGTCATTTAGGTACCATTCATTGATTACATAAGGGGGAGGGAGAGTTCTAAAAATTTGAACATGCCTTTATCTGTCATATCTCACGGGTGGTCTTATAATTAAATAAAAAAAAATTACGTTCTATTTGTATATTAATCAGTTGCTTATCATTTTACTCAAACTCACATCAACTCAAACCATCATTTCGCAACTAAGAAAATCCCACAGAGTTGTTTCAATGCTGTTCCAAAAATGGCAGCTTCAGCCCTTTTAAACAATAAAAATCTTTGATTTAAGTCAAATTATGAGTTTAAGTGCAATAAATCTTTTTCTAAAACAGGACAAAATCTTATATTAGGGCGAGAAATCTAATGTGCTCTTACATGGCGGTATGGAGTGGTCAAAAATAACCAAAACTGTCCTTACGTTATTAATGAATGGCCCCGTATAATCATAAGAAGGTGGCGCTTCTTGTAATAGTTGGTAAAATTAAAAAATTACTCATAAAAAGTAGATATCTTGTAACATTAATAGATCTTGTCAATTTATTTTGCATTAATTACAAGTAAGACATCTAAGATGCAGTATGTTAGGCTTTACATTTTTATATTGTATGAATGTAATCCAAAAATGTGTTTGATGTGAAGTAGTTACGCATGAAAACAATCGGAAAATAGAAAAGACTTATTCCATGTGAAAAATTCTATCCATAAATAATCTGAAATTATACAACCTATGAAAGGCAAGGAGAACTATCACCGTGATGAAAGTGTCCGACGAGTAACGTTAAATTATGGTGGCGCCACTGTAGCAAGTGGGTACATTTTGTAGAAAGCGCCAAAAATATTAAAATTTCACAAAAATAAATCACTCACGCTTATATCACCACATTTTTCGGCTATATTTACTAAATTATTTAACTTTACTCAAGTCACCCAAATAATGAAATTTTTCAACTACACACTTCACTTCGTTTACAATTGCTAAATTTATATCATACCCTCTGGCTACGCTAGCGCGATTACGGTGGGTTTCTAAACAATTGTTTACTGCTTACAGGTATATTATAGTTCTCTTTACGCTACATTTACACGCTTGGCAAATCTCGATAAGCGTCCACAAACACAAGCATGTGAAAAGGGTATATAGCTTGACTTGCGTGAGCTTGTCACGATTCGGCTTAGTGTCGGTCCTTGAACATAGATCAAAAGAAGCTTGCGGCAAGCGCTTGTGGCGTATATACACGTTGGTGCGTGTTCAGTGTCGCTCTCACTCACAGCGCTAAAAAATTCAGCAAAAATTCTAAAACTATAGATTCAGCCTCTGTATCGATAATAATGTCTATTTCAATAACATTTTTCAAAAAATATTTAATGTACAGATTCAGCTTAGTTATTTTATTATATGTATAGGTCGTAAAAATATGTCAAGCCGAACACAATAGTTGACTCAACTTCAACGACCACGTCTGCACAGCTTGCCTGTCCGGAACACTAATGCACTTGCAAGTGTGTCAATAGCATCCAAGCGTTTGTAAAGGCTTGGAGCTTGTAGACCGTTTGACAAGCCTCTGCAAGCATGTTAATGTAGTGTTACATCTGCCCTCCAAAAAAAACCCTGTCAAAGTACATATGCAAATTTTCTACACACATTATTTTTTATTATTCAAATCCTGTTTTATCTCAAAATAAACATTGAAATTATTTCATTACATATAATGAAAATAAAAAAAAATAATTAAATATACTTAATATAATTTACAACAATACATCTCTAATTGAGTAATTAAGAGCGAGTTGAGATTAAGTATTTATAAAAGACAAAAAACCTTGTCCAAAGTTCCAATCTGATTGATGACATCAAAATTGTACCACCTCACACTTTTAAATTAAAAATAAAATTGTAATAAAAAAATGACAGTTTTAGGGTGATTTTTACAATTGTTAACGTTATGTGCATACTGCATAGATTCATCTATCATAATTTACAATACACTGGCGTGCAAAAAAATCGGACCACCTAGAGAAAATGGACAAAGTTAAGACGTGATATTTTTTTATTAATTTTGTTATTATATATGGGTAGCTGTATACCATAGGTACCTAAATCAATAATCGTTGAATAATTTAAATAAAAATTATTGCTCGAAAATAGGGGAAAATCAAATTTAATGATTTTTGCGAGTTCGGTATAAAAATGTAAGCCGCAAATTAATGGGAAAATTAAAAGATTTCGATTGGTTTTATGATTTTTAATAATGCTTATTACCGCCTCTATTTTTAATTACAGCTTTTAATCGGTTTTTCAGAGATTTGACACACTTTTTTAGATAATCTTGTGTAATAGACTCCTATTCTTCCAATAAGGCGCTTATTAATTCTTGAATGTTGCTCGGGACTAATACGCGACTTCTAACTTTTCTTTTGAGATGGTCCCATACATTCTCTATCGAATTGAGGTCAGGGCTTCGCGCTGGTCAGGTAATAGTAGACACTCCGACCTCTTGAAGATACTGCCTTACTGATGTAGCAGTGTGTGGGCGAGCATTATCTTGTAAAAAATCTTCTCCTATAAACCCAGTAAATGGCATCACATGATCTTTTAAAACCTCCGTTATATACCTAGCGGCTGTAAGGGATCCATTTTCTATGAATATAAGCTCGGTTTTCGCTTCGTAACAGAATCCTGCCCATAACATAACTGAGCTATTAAGGAGGGGTCATTAAGACACTGTTTCCCGCATAGTGCATGGTGCATATCTTTCACCTGGTCGCCGGTAAACAAAATTACGGCCGTCGACACCATGCAAACACATTCTGCTTTCGTCAGTAATAAGAACCTTCTTCCACTGCTCCAAATTCCAATTCACGTGATCTCGGGCAAAAAGTAATCTTGCAATTCGATGTGCAGGGGTGAGTTTGGGGCCAGTTGCGGACTTGCGTGGCATCAGGGAAGCGGCTCTAAGTCGGCGCCTTGCTGTCCACTCGCTAACATTAACACCTCTCACTTCGCTCAGGAGATTTCGAACGTCAACCCCTGTGCGATGACGATTTCTTAGAGTTGATGACACAATAAATCGATCATCACGCTCTGATATGGCTCTTCGTCGGCCGGGACCATGTCGTACAAAGCCACCTGTCTCTATGTAACGTTTGTACACTCTCTGGACCGTAGAACAAAAACAAAAACGAAAAAAGCTTGAGCCACTTGACGTTGACTTTGTCCAGTTTCAAGCAAAGTCGCAATTCGAGATGATTCAGCCTCGGTCAGATCCATCTTGCAGTATTTTTAATAATCGCAGATCAAAGTAGAAGTGTCTTATTCAATCATTGGAACTCAACTAAGCTTCTAAAATAACAAAAAAACAGTATTTGTGGCTTCAATCCATATTATGCAAATATTCACTAATTACTGGTATTTGACTATAATTAAGCGCACACGTGCACTTCCAGGAATTTTATGACTTTTTTGAAGGAAACTAAAGGCGTCTAATCTCCTTAATTACCTTTGCGGTATTTTTTTCACCAAACAATTGTCAACAAAAAATTATGCTTAAGGGTGGCCCGATTTTTTTGCACGCCAGTGTAGTTATGAATAAAGACTTACACTGAGAGTTTAATGTACTAATACTGAATTATTTTAAAAGTATAGTTCTCGCCAAACTTTTTGGCCGCCCTGAATTGGCGCGAGCCGATGTGTAGAACGAAACATTTAAGGTATTGGTTTACGACACATGTAAAATGTCTTTGATGATTAATTAATGTACTTCATTTCCAAATCCTATTTATTAATTGACTTATTTAATAATATTATTAAAACTATATAAAAAGTAATAATTAACCATACATATTATATAACGCTTTATGAACATCCATATTAATATTATAAATGTGAAAATGTGTTTGTTTGTCCTTCTTTCACGTTAAAACGGATTAACGCTTGATTTTTTTGTGTGGAGAAAGTAGGACGGCTGGAGAGTGACTTTTTTACCGCGAGATATCTCATTCCCACGGGAAAACCCGTTAAAATAAAACCAAAAAAAAATTATGATCAGTGTTACTTGAAATTTGGTATTAATGCTCTTCAATACAATTAAAACAATTCGGGGGTAAAAATAGGGGATAAGTTTTAGCGCGAGTGAAGCCGCGGGCTCTGTTAGTACATTTATAATTATTGTTCTCCACTCAAATGTATCTGCGCAAGATCTCGATAGCGCCAAGTTCAGGGTGGGCAAAAAGTTTGGTGAGAACTATACATGCTGTTTGTTGTATAATATAAATACTATTAAATAAACCTGACACAAGTAGGATAATTTTCAATATATCTCATCAAATTATATGCAGCTACCTGCATAAATAAATAAATACAACTAATAATTTTATCAATTTTTATTTCAGCAAATATTCATTTGAGACTACATAGTTGTGTTAATATGTTCATAGATAAAATAAAAACGGTAATTATGGATCTACAGCTTTAATAATGTTGATAATAAATTATAAGACGCAGCCACATTTAGAAACGACTGGGTAAACAATTTTTTCTTATAATATGAGACTGGCCTTTAGACCAGGGTAGAAGCCTTTAAAAATAATAAAAAGTGAAAAAAAAATAATAGTAGGATGCAACCCATTAGAAAAGGAGGGGAATATTATAAAAATGAAAGGAAAATAATTTACGGGCGATCTGAGGTCGGGAAGGGGGTGGGGGGGAGCTTTTAAGGGTAAAAAACGGTTTTTCTCGATTTCCGGCAAAACTAAAAGTCCTATCGAAAAAAATTAAATGGCAAAGTTGTAGGTAATAAAAAGATCTAAAACTTTTGTATTTACACTTTTTTCACATAACCTCAAAATTTATGTGAAAAAATCAAAAAACCAAGTTTTTGGTTTTTTATTTTTATCTTTTACAAAAATGTTTTTGTTTTAACGAAATTTGGTGAAAACTTACCTTTTTATGTCCCAAATACGCTGTAATTTATTTGATTAAAATTATTTATTTTTTCACCTTATTTTGAATTAACATCGATAAAGCACCCTAATTTTCAATCGAAAATTCACCCGTCAAAATATCAGCTTTTTTCAAAAAGTTGGTGTGTTTTCTGTTCGTTGAAATCTCTACTTTCCGATGGTGAAAAAAAAATATATGTTACTATAGTAAATCTTCTGAGAAAATGCAAAAACAAAAAACCTTTTTTATTTCATACACTTGTTTATCATCTGCCTTATTGCAGATGATACAAACAGATTCATTCATACTGATAATCTGAAAAGACAAAATCGTATTAATAATGCCTTCACTATTTTATCGTGAGTATGGGTGTACTATAAAATATATTATAAATATATTAAAAATCTATACTATACATACTTTTTATGTATAAATATATAAAAAATATGTATAGTATAGATTTTTAATATATTTATAATATATTTTTTATACATTTTGACATTTATTTCTTTAATATATTTTTTTCATGGGGGTATACTCAAGCAAAAGCTCCCCCCACCCCCTTCCCGACCTCAGATCGCCCGTAAATTATTTTTCCTTTCATTTTTATAATATTCCCCTCCTTTTCTAATGGGTTGCATTCTACTATTATTTTTTTTGGTTTCAAAAATTTTCGACTCTGGTCTATTTGAAGGCATTTTTGTGTAAATAATAACCAATGTTCCTAAATCTATTAACCTTTCATAATTACAATATTCAAGATATTACACACTATTTACAAAATATATAGTATATATGTTTATAATACCGAGACTGTGTGTTAAGGAATTATTCAGGGCCAGCTTTTAAAGGTTAAATTGTTTTTAATAAATCTTTGCGTTTACAGAATTCTCCATTCTATGACTTTGTATTGTATGTAAAGTAAATGTACCAATCCACAATTTGTATAATTTAAATGTTTCTATTTGAAAATTTGCCATAATAGCATAATAAAAATGGGAATTACTTGTTAATTGCAAATTATTTTTGTAAATACTTGCTGTGATATACCACTTTTAACTATATGAAAGAATCATATGTGGTAATATGATTTCTTTTTGTAGTAAATAATGTATGTTTTAATGTAAATAAAAATTTATTAAAACTTGAATTTTTCTACATTGATAAAAAACCATGATGCCACCTTTTGTCCTTTCTTATACCTGCTGCCTGCTTCTAGTTCTGAAACAAAAAATAAATAACCAAAGTTGTATTTACATTAAATAGTATAGCAGGGTAATTATGAGAAAGTTAGATTAGATTAAATATTTTTATATATTTTTACCATATTTTTATATGGGGAAACAGTCCTAGACCTAAGTCTCCTTCCAATTTCAGAACTTACCATACTTTACCGACAGACAACAGCAAATATGATCAAGGATCCATGGAGTTTATTAGTGAAGAGACTATTTATCAGTAGTGTTGTCAATTCACTCTTCATGTTAACTACATCCCCTGGGGTATTGCTTGATAGTGTGGTTAAGTATAAATTATCAATGTAAAATCTTAACATAATAGTAGTAAATGTAAAGTGGACTCGTTTTCCGCACTTAGACTCTCATAATGGTAGTATAAATTTACATCCTATGTAGAGTATTTGCTACAAACCTTCGGATAGGAAGTCCTTATCTTTTTGTATATCTTCCCAAATTGAAATTTTCTTTGTAAGTTTCACTTGTCTTTATTAAAAGAATCTGCAAGCAAAGTAACTATTTAAAGCATATTCAAATTTTGAATAAATTATAATGATACACAAAATCAAACTATGAAACAATAAATACTAATTGATAAAAAGTCACATTGGTAGCATTAAAATTATATTGCAGCAAAAATAAAAACATCCCTTTTATGCACAAATTATCCCTGAGCATACCATTACTGCAACTCACTCACCACTTTGATGCAGACGCACTCAGGTGACACTTCTTACGCCAGGAAGCATGTGGCCACATCTTGATTATTATCATTCATACAGACACCAGCTGCCTGCTCTATATTCTTTTATATAATGTTTATTATCTCACACCAAATCAATAATACATTCATACTCAATTCTAAAAGAATTGAGATCAATGCATTCAACCATATAAAAAACTAATACTCAACAAAATATTGATTTATATATTCACCTTGGAATCCATCACACAATGTAGCACAATATCCCACCCAAGCACAAGTGAAACATCCATCTCAAATTACATACTTTATTAATTCATTGTCTCTCACATCATACCATTTCACAAATTACACACAGAACTTTGTCAATTACAATTTACTACAAAGAGATATTATCTTTTAACATTAATGGTGTGATAAGTTTATCACCAAAACATTATAATAGAAACTCTTAATATAAATAGCTTAAGTAATAACAACTTAAACACTTATTATTTATACCTCCCCAAACAGTCATCCCTGGTACGAACATCATCTATGATGGCTCACCTCATGTTTGGGGCTTGCTATTATTATTCCATCCACTATTAGACCCTGAATTTCCTGATCCTCCTCCACCATTGCCTCCCCAACCTTGACCATTAGGCCAATTGCCCTGATTCCAATTACCGCTTTTGCCACCATTCCAGCCAGGATTGTTACTTTGATTCCATGATGGTGGGGGTCCATTTTGACCCCAATTTTGATTATTATTCCAATTTTTGCCAGAACTACCTTGTGGAGGGCCACCCTGCCAATTACTTGGCCCTGAATTACCTGGACCACCTAAAAAGCCACCCCAACCAGCTTGATTAAGAGCAGCTGCCACAAGGCTTATTGGCAAATTAAAATTAGCTGGTGGGCCACCATTTGGATTTATACCCAAATTTTGCATGTTTAAAGTATCTATATTGTTGTTACTAGGGTTGCTGCCAGATCCACCAGAACTTGATCTGTTTCCTTCCCAGTTGTTAGGCCCATATGAATCATCTTTCCAGTTAGGGTTTGACTTACTTTTAATTTTTGGTGCTGCACTTGATACAGAAACTGATGCTCCTTTGATTACATGATCTTCACCACATAGGCTTTGTGCTACTTCTGGATCCAAAAATGTAACAAATCCAAACGCTCTAAAAGGTCGGGGAACAAAAACATCTGTTACTTCACCAAATTTAGAGAAATATTCTCGAAGATCATCAGCAGTCATATCCTCAGTGCATCTACCGACAAAAACTTTACACGGCATTTGTGGTACTACACCCTCTTTTGAATTAGGAATACGAACGTCCACCCAACGACCATCTATATTATGTCTTTGAGCAAGAGCGCGCATTTGAGAAGCATACGTAGCAAATCTTATGAAACCAAAACCTTTGAAAGATCCATTTTTATCTCGTTTTAATTGAACCATTACAACCTCTCCAAACTGTTCAAAATATTGCTTGATAGATTCTTCAGTTGATTTCCAGGGCAAGCCAAGACATATCAAATCAGAGCAAGTGAGTTTCTTTTCCAAGCGTTTTGTTTTAGCTGCAGAATTTTCCGGGGATACATCTTCCATCTTGCGTTTATTTTCTTTAGGGAAAACACATATGTATAGTAGTTTACCCCAACCGGCTTCGTTCGGTGGATGCAATTTGCCATCACTAAGACGTATTCCACGAATTGTTTTACTTTCAGGATGGCGATATTTAAGCCCACATGCTCCAGGAAACTGTGCTACAAGTGTAGATAGTAATAGAGTTCCGTCTGTTTCACAAGGAATTTCTACAGCATTAGAATCGTCTTCATCTTCACTAACTTTGATGTAGTCAAAGGGATCTTCATTGTAACAAGTTTTGTTATTCATTATAAGAGAATTAAAATATAGATATATTTTCTTTGATTAATTTAATCTTATTTTATTTTAGTTCCACTATCAACTTCACGAATCACGATGGTATCAGTAATCAAAATGGCTGCTGCCTGCTATCAATTTTTATAGGAAGCCGAAGCCGTTCCAAATTATCTATGCCCACAGGCCACAAACTATATGGAAATGCTACGCTGTACGCACTACGCGTATCTGTACCATTTACTAGTTATTGCCACTATGGTCAAATGTCAATGGTCATAGATCTGTTTTCCAATTAGAGCAGTAAAGCGCAATATGGGCCATAATGCTAACTTCGAATGTTCCAACTACAGCAACGCTCCGCTCAATCGAGCTTTTTGAAAGTACTGCTTTAGCGTAATGCGTGCAAGGATACTAACTCAATAACAAAATATGAGAAGTGTCTTTCCTTTAAGGTGGCATTGATCATAATTTTATTTACATTATCGTTAGTAATACAATTTGTTTATATATTATTTATATCATTATATATTAATTACATAGTTATGTATTATTATATATCTACACTAATATTATAAAGAGGTAAAGTTTGTGAGTTTGTGACGTTGTAGGGGGTAATCTCTGGATCAACTGAACCGATTAGATGAAATTTGGTAAGATAATTTGAGTTTTATTCCCGGAAATCATCCCTTAAGGGAATGAAAATGGGGATGAAAGTTTGTATTGGGAAGCAAGCTAGGGACGAACCCGAGGGTAGCGAGGGTGATTCGCTAGTTTATTATGTAATTTATAATATCGACGATATGTATTATTATATACATATTTATATTTTTTTTCTTTCAACACTGAACCTAGTGCCCTCTGCTGGTGCACTTGAAAACTAATTCACGTTCTAATTAAGCATTAGTACACTTCGGCATTGTGCGTGAAAGTACGGCATTATGCTCTGTAATTATAAAACAGGGATTATATGTAATTGGTTTAGCAAAGTTTAAATTTTGTTCTATTTGATATACAAAAGTAAAAATTCGTAAATTACATGAGCGTGATATATTAATTATTAAATATAAATTATAAGCAGCCATTTGAATTATAAATATATTTTTTATTTTGAATAAGCATGATCCATGTGGATTGCCAATGATGAATAATCACTATCAGATGAATCTTCGGAACTGCTGTCAGATTCTGTATCAGACTCATTATTTAATTCTATTATGAACCTGTCCATTTCAGCGTCCATATACACATCTCTTTCACGAAGCTTGTCTTCAATGTGGCGCACATGTTCGCATTGTTTTTGCCAGTCTTCTGCAGTGATACTTTGAAAAGCTTCTTCAGCTAAATTAACTATATTGTTTGTTTCTTGTCCAACGTTTTTATTTGCTACTCGCCTTTTGACAAGACTCCACATAAATTCAATTGCGTTTAACTCGCAGTGATACGGCGGTAATCTAGCCACTTTGTGGCAATGAGCTTGAAGCATTTGATCGGCTTCATATATTGGAGCTTCTTTATGTTCTTTTATAATTTTATAAAGTTGAGCTTTTACCATTGTAGGCAGATACGATAACCCCTTATTTATGATCCAGTTTTGCATTTCTGCTTTGGTAGAGCTTAATGTTGGTGCCTTGTTTAACTTTACCGTGTGATAAGGGGCATTATCCATAACCACTAAACTATTAGCTGGCAAGTTAGGAATTAGTTTTTCCTGAAGCCATTTCATGAAATTTGTTTTGTTCATGTCATCATGGTAGTCACCTGATTTCGACTGGGATTGAAAAATTAATAAAGCTTTTGGTATAAACCCCATTTCACCACCCGCATGAACAATTATCCATCGTGCACCAGCAGAATCGTTTTTTAGGACACCTTCATTTTCTATTTGCCAGCATTTATTCACTGTGTAAGACGCGTGAATATAAGTCTCGTCCAAGAATACAACAGGCCTACCTTCATCGCGATGTTGTTTCAAAATAGTTAAGTATCTGTATCTCCAAGCTACAATATCAGGCCTTTCCATAAGTAACTTCCTTTTTGACCCACATTTTTTAAATCGAAATCCAATTTGTCGGATAATTTTCCACAATGTAGTACGACCTCCACGAAAATTTATGTCAGTTTTTAACTCTGCTAAGAGTTTTCCCAAAGTCGGTACCTCTTTTCTGACGGTATACATTTCATGTATTTTATTTCGAACTGCACACAGATCAAAATCATCTAGTATAATTTTCTTTTCTTGCACGCGTTTCTTTCTTGGCGTAGAAATTTTTTGAGATGACTCGCCTTCTTTGGTAATGGTGCTGACGGTTTTTTCAGATATACCTGAAACATGAAAAAAAGCTTTATTTGATAGTCTAGGTATTTCTTAGCCTATTTCTTCTCAATAATGTCCCTACTTACGTTTAAGGTACAATCATTCGCTTCTAAAGGAAAAGTGAAGTACTAATTGTTAGTACAAAATAGAGTACAGCTCGGCCCCTTGTTTATTTTATTATATATTAAAAACAAATAGCAAGGACATGAAAATTAAATATAGAATTAAAGTCAACTGAATACAAAAACTCGACATGATACTATAAAAATAATACATAACAAAACACCACAAAATATTTGTTGTCCTCGTGTAAGTAGACTTACAAAAAAATTAAAAATACAAGCAGTCGAACATGCCTTGTGGTGTTAGCAAATCGAATATCATGTGACAGAACTATATATTATATTGATGGTGGTTATGGTTTAAATTAAAATAAAATTTAAATTGGGTAAAATGTTAAAGACTGGTAACCCTATTTTACATACCTGTCTTGGCGGCTACTCGTTGACGAACATTTCCAAATGGAATTAAAGGAGCATTATTGTCTTTTTCCCTTTCACAAAAATCACGCACTGATAATACAATATTTCTTCCGCTACTTTGAATCCTTTTCGGCATGATTATAGATAAATATCACAAATATTACAGAAAAACGCTAGGAACTTCAAAGGACGAGTCGATACTCGATAGCATAGATGACAAACTCGATAGTAAAGTAAGAGTGAGGCTAAGTAAAGCCAACATAAAGAAAACATATCATGACATCTGTCAGAGGTAAAATAAGTGTGAATGGACTGTAATATCTCTATGGTTTCTTTGCCAGCTGTCATCTAAAATAAAAATGGCGGAAAAGCGCGACAGAGACAAAACGAATGTGCGGCCAGAAGTCTTCTGTATTGAAATACGATTAATGGGTATTTCTCTGATTTCACGCCAATCGCATGTTTTATAGTGCAAAAAAATAAATATCTACATTTCGAGCAATTTAATAACTGTAATGCAACCTAATTACACTTATCTAGCTAGTACACTAAAATGCGACAGTAAAAAAGTAAGTCCATAAAAAGAAAAAAAATATTTTAATGCCAAAATGTCACCACCTTCAGTGTCCTCAACGTGACTACAAAAGAAAACAATTTTAAATTTCAATGAAATAACAGTTTCATATACCTATAATTTATTTATTGCGTTAAGCCAATTGTAAAGTTGACATTTTTATCCTATATAAATATACAAAACGTTAAGTTATTTTTAAAACAATATAATTATCTTTGTCACGAAAAAAATGTCATTTCCGTAAGCCGGAGAGGAAATTCAAATATGTTTTTACGTGTACATCCTACTATCTTCTCGCTTATCCCGTTCGCTTCCGCACAGCTCAGACGACCAAGAGAACCCGACGGAGAAACCCGTGCGTTTGAGTGAAAAAATATATTTACGTTAGTGTTGTTAGAAATCACGTTTGTCACACTTTGGTGGTCTTTACCGTAACCAAAATATTTCGGGTGAGTAAATTTATTTATGTTTATTTAATACGTCTACAATGTTCGTCCTTAGTTCAATTTTTACGAGTAAATTTATATATTTTTTTACATTTATAATAACGGAATTAAAAATAAAAATGACACAAAACGTCACTACCCTCTTAGTCACTACCATCAATTACCATCAGTTTTAAAGTGTAAAGGTAATGACGCAAAAGTAATGGTGATGATCCAGACCTGATTTATTTTTTATTTTTCTTGTTTTTGTTAAAATACGCAAGTTAGATAAAGTTAGGTTGATTAATATGTATAATCCAACAAAACAATGCAGTAGCTCAAAATTTTAATCACCATTGCTACTAATATTTTGTGTATTAACATGGTTTTTTAAGTAGGGATAGTCTTATGTCCAAAATATGGCTAAGAGTACTTTTATCGTAGTCATGTACTCTATGTCATAGGAACGGAGCTGCGGGTAAAAGCTAGTATTCCACCATAAATTTAACAGTGAAGAACATTTATAATATATTTAATATATTTTCTCGTTTTTGTTTTGAAATGTTTTTCGCTATACTATTTTCTTAAGTTTCTTCCAGGGTTTTAACGTAATGTTATTGCTTAATGCCTGACGATTTTTCTCTCCTTTAAGGTAAAATTATGACAAGTCAAGACCAAGAAAACCCGTGAGGAAAAATTGGCTCACGCTCGACTTTATTAGAGGCTAAAATACGCAGACATAAAAGAAGATCCAGAAAAATATTCAATTGAAAAAGAAAGATTAAGATATTTACAGTGAAGAGAGCAAAATATACTTAAAATTATTAGAGATTTAACTCCTAAGGAACAGCGTCAAAAAAGAAGAAATTGGAGAGAGAGTTGCAAACGCTATTTGGAAAAAAAGAAAAAAGAAAGAACACTAGCGCAATTGATTGACAATTCTCCCCATGGCAGTGATCTAGATCCAGTACTCGCAGCAGTTGTAGATCCTTTAGAAGGACCATTGGCGCACATCTTTGAAGCGAGCAATCTCACTTCAATAATAAAATAACAAATCCAAATGTTTGTACTGATTGCATTAAAAACGATGTACTCGTATATCATAAAAGAATGTTAGAACCGAAAAGAGACTTAAAAGAAACACAAAAAAAGAAGGCAGGAATGCAGAGAACTTTACATAGATTCATCAAAGACCAAAGAAAATCGCAAGTAAATAATCTATCGACAGAACAGAAAGTACTAGGTTTAGTTGAGAATATAGAAGAAAGTTAAAAAGAAGAGGTAAAGAAAAGACTTATTTTTAGTGAAATCGTTACTAGAAAAATAAAACCTGGATACAAAATTATGCCAAAAAATGATAAACGCAAATTTAGCCATTTATTTGTCAAAGAAGACTTCAATAAACACAAAATTTTGAATACTATAACTTCATTTACGGTAAAATAACAAAAAACTAAAGAAAATAATAAAAGCAAATTAAACAGGAGATTGAAAACTTTTTCGAAGATGATAGTAACAGCAGAATAGCAGCGGATAAAAAAGAATTTAAAAAAATAGCTGGATTAGTTATGCAGAAGCGGTACCTAACCGATACACTGACAAATTTGCATGCGAAATTTCTTAAGACTCACGACAGTGAAGTTGGATATTTAACATTCTGCAAATATCGTCTATTTTGGGTAGTGTTCCCAAAAGAATCTAATAGAAATACTTGTTCTTGCATATTACATGTAAACATGGACCTTTTGATTAAATCCCTAAATAAAAACTGATTTGATTAAATACACTGTGATTTAATAGCAGTCAAAGTAATAACCTTAATTAAGTACACGGTAATTGCTAAACTGAATAAGTCATAAATAAGTTTAATTTTTTCAGATTGAAGACTGTTACACAAGTTGATGAAATGTGCTATTGTTAGGAACTGATTCCAAAAACGAGGTTATGTTACAATATATTTTTATTTTAACGAGAGTTTATTATAGCAATATCATAATATGATTATGTAAACCTGTAGAGCTAATAATTATATACAGAAAATAAATGAAGGAATAGGAAAATATGGTGTTTTATTTAAAAGAAATTGGATAGCAAGCAATGTCATTACTAGTAGTCACTATGTCATTACCGTCACAACGTAGTCATAACCGTTACCCTAAAAATCATTACCGTAATAATAATAAAAAACCAAAGGCCTATATCTTCGCTATTTATAGGTGCAATTAAAAAAAAAAGTTATTCCTTACTTGTTTATAGTCATTTTTTCAAAATATATCAAAATTTTGAAAATCTAATAATTTCTCTCATTTTTACCGAATTGGATCGAAATCGTAGAATCAGCCTAATGAAGATAGATACTTTTAACCATTTTACATTCAATTATAATATTATAATTTTTCAATCAATATGATACTATATTTTTTTTACATTCCATTTATAAATTCTAATTTTAATGAAAAATAGATTATTGGCCGCATGTTCACTTACTCTCTTTCTAAAGAGTAGTCAATTTCACGAAAGTATTGCTCAATCCATTCTATGAAGACTATAGACAAGGAGTCTAATCTCGGTATGTAAGTCCCAAAAATTCGAAAAAATAATATGATCGTGGTTGCGCGAGAGCATTGCGGTCGCTATGTCCCAAGAGCAAAGGGAAAATCCCTTACCTGGCGAGTCGCTAAATTGAAGGAGAGAAAAAAGATGAGCCTCGCAACAAGGAAGGAAAGCAAAGTTAATCTAAAGGTATAGTATGTTTAACATTTTATCGAGTTTTAACTGTATTATGGACTTTATCTAGGCTTTATATGTTTTAATATAAATTTTAATTTTTTAATTAATTATTGCTAGCCATAATCTTGTTATTGATAAACAAGATGAGTTTAAGTACTTGGTATCGAAATGAGTATTTCATGTGAAAACATTTTCTTCTCAGGTTGGACGGAAGCTTACAACAGAAAGTGCTATTTTAATGTCGGCGGGGAGTAGACATGGGTGGATGCGATCTGCGATTTTTAACTGGAGCAATAAAAATAAAAAAATGTTAAGTATAAGTGTTTTCTAATAAATTATAACTAAAACTAGTTAAAATACATAAGTTTTGAAACATGATGTTGGCTTTTCCTGAGATATTCTAAACTTGGAAATTTATAAACACCAGTTTCTTTACAAACATAGGCTACACAACGACCCATATTTTAGTTTTTATAAGAAAACTGTAAATTATTTTATGCAGTTTCTATAGAGATTGAAAGACTGTACGTTTTTAATTTTTTCCTATAGATTCTAGACACACACTGCATGTGTGTATGTAGGTGGGTGTGTGTACTGTGTACGTGCGTGCGTGTGTGTATGTATGCCCGACCCTATGTTCTCTTGTTATTACTAAACGGCTTAACCGATTTTGATGATTCATACATCGTTAGATTCGTATTTACAACGCGAGTGTCATAGGATATATAGATAACATTAAAAATTAAAATTGCGGTTGCTAGGCGCTAATTTGTGTCTTGAAAAATAAAATCTCTTCCGAATCAATCGAGTGGCGTATCAAAATACAGGTTTTTAAGAGGCGATTACAAAAATATACACGACTTATATGTTGCAGTCATGCGGATACATCCACTCACTTGACGGCCTTGAATCTTGACTTCTACTAGATATTGCCTAATTTGAATATGTATTTTAACCAATATTAAACGTTTAAACTTTAGCTTTAAAGTTACATAGATACCTTTTACTAATATTTTATTAAGGAGTATAATCTACCTAAGATATTATTTGTATTCTTACTTTTAGTTTCAGATTTTTGATTAAATAGAAATAAATAATAAGTGAGCTGTGAGTACATAAGTAATCCAGTACCTATGTGACACAATTTAGATTTAAAGTAATAAAAAAAAACAAATAATTTTTGTGATCAATATTTGTTTCTATTAACGATATCAATAATTATTATTTACCAATTTTAGTCAACGAATTCTTTTTGACGTGAAACGTCTTTAAAAAATCACAACGCAACATAAGGGTACCTCAGAAAAGTGGGCTGTAACGAAATCGTCTATATCGTCCTCACTTAATAATTTCAAAACTATTCGTATTACAAACATAAATCTAGCGTCATTATTTAGCTTATATAGT